AGTTTACAATAGTCCCTCACAACACCAACATTTGGAATATTACAACCTCCAGTACGACTTAGTTATGGTTCCTCCAAGAAAGAATTGTCATGCAATAGATCTACAATAAGCAAGAGTACCACTATAAAATTCTATTAAACCCTTTTCATCTTCCAGTTATCACTTGCAATTTTGTAACATGGCATCTTGTATGGCACTTCCAAATACGCAGCAGTCCAATATGAACTCTAGAAGTCTGGATCTCAAATTAACATGTATATTCTTTAACCACGACACGTTTAACTGCATACATGACACACATTTATAATGCTGTACCTAAGAAATAACGTTCAAACCCAATAGAGTCTGATAATTCTGTATGGCAGTAAGTTAAGTGCAATGGCAAACAATGCCCAACGGGATTGTAAACACTGTTTATAGATCATGCTTCCTTTTTCTTGTCTGAATGAATCTGGGCATTTGACATGATTTTAGGCTGAAATTAGCAGACCAAAGCAGAGTTTCTAATTGATGTGGGAGTCAAGCTATAAACGCCTCCTCCTTTCAAATAGGATACTGTATTTAATTTCCACCTAAATACAGCTAGATGACACCCTGATACAATGTCTCACCTGAAAGGAGATGCTTGTCTGTGAACTCATCATAATAATAATACAATTTACATTAATATAACACCTTACCCTTTGGGAGGACATCCCAAACCGCTTGACGATGCTGAATGAGCACCTGAGGTGGGGTGGGAGGGAAGTGGGTAAGATTACTACTGAAAGCGAGATCAAAGAGATACCGATTGAGATACGACTTGAACGAGGGGAGGGAACGCACTGGAGGGACTCCGGAATGGAGTTTTGGGGAGTGAGGGCAGAATACCTGAAAGCTCTCCCACCACTGGTGGGGCAGATCGGGCAAAGAACATGAAGCAGGACAGTGTTCACTGAGCAAAGGAAGTGGTCAGGTCAGCTCACTGCGCACAACTATGTCCTATTAAGTGAACAACTAGAACTTCTCTTTTTGAAAGATAATGTCATAGAATCTTTATTGCCCACCTGAACAAGAGACAATGTAATGTTTTATCTGGAAGACAACACAGCATTCCCCCAGCATAACAAGGATGGGTCAACTTAGACTGTGAGGCTCAAAGTCCCAAAATAAGGCTGGAATCCACAACTTTGAGGATCATAGGCAAGAGTCCTTTTAACTGAGCCAAGCTGATATTTTAAAACACAAACGATTGATGGTTTGCTTGGATTTGTACACTTTGAACATTTTCTGTTGGGTCACTTAATATTTTGCACTCTAAAGAGCTGTATTATAGTAGTCTCAAAGTACGTTCCAGTATCTACTCTTTGATTCAAAGAAGCATTTTAATTAGAACTGCATTACCAAGCAGCTGCAGTTTTTTTTGTGTATGTGTCTTTCCCCTCCCTTCTCTATGTAGATACACTGAATTCCTTTGTGCATGCTTCTGAGCACGTGAACAATAGGAATTTCAGATCTCCGGTTACACTCTGAATATAATCACATTTTTTAATATAAATTAATTTAGAAGTATACATCTGCAAATCTGTTTAAATATTTCTGGTGATTGAAACATTGGAATAAATATGAACTTACACATTAGGTAAAACTTTCTTCAGTACATTTGTGTTTTTTAAATATATATATATAACCTGTCTAATATAAGATGGCACTAGAATGGAGAATTTATTCACACAGGAATTGTACGAAACACAAAATATAGCCAATAAATCAACAAAGCTCATCAGAGTCATTTTAGTCAAATTCTAATTGGTATAGCCCAGGAATATGAACTTGTGCCCTCATGCTTGTTACTTTATTGGTAAACAATACCTATGGGAAGCAATGCTGCAAATATCATCTTTTATTTTAAAAGAACATCAAATAATTTTATATCACAATAAAAAACAGTGAGTGACATTTTGTAAATGGCAAATGTATGAATACATGACTGCAATTGATATATTACTCCCATTCTATTTGACAAGATTGTATACACAGAAAAATAGACTCTTATAAGGTTCAAAATCTGTGAAAACAGATTCAAACTGAATAATTCCCATGTCAACCTCAGAAGTTTCATCTATCTTAAATTCATTTCTTCACAATGAAATCACTGACAGAATATTTAGCTAATATTAACAAATAGTAACCAATTCATATTAACTAAAAATCTGAAACAGAAATTCCTATAATGGATGGAGTCATACCACCACATAACATAGTACTGTATATATCTGGTTCATTCATTCACATTCTATTTGAGACCAATGACAGTTTTGCAAAAAACATTGAAAGATATTATTGCTACTCAGCACATACTGATGGGACAAAATTAATCTTGAGTGATATTGAAATCACTCACCACAGTTTTACTGTCCAAGACTAAAAATGTCCTTGATCACTGATGTTTTAGAATTAAAGTACATTACTGTTCAGGTGATAATGCAAATGATCAGTTGGCACAATGCCAATACATTCAACAATACTTTAGTAAAAACAATCTTTCGTCTAGGTAGCTGTCTGATGCATTATTTTAACAAATGCCAAATATTGACAAGGCAAAAAAAATGCTGCTCATTTCCTTACACAAACTCGCCTTTGCTTGCTCATCAATCTCATCCTTGCCACACTGTATTATCGCTCTTACCACAAACTGTTTTAGATCCGTACTATCACCTATAAATTCATACGCATCCTTGCCCTCTCTACCATTGTGACTTTCCCAACCTCAATGTTCTGACAGCCCCACCACCCTCAGCTAACTCCAACCTACTGAGCCTCTCACATCCTTTATGCCCACAACTGGGTATCCAAGCCTTTAGCCACTATACTATTATCCACTGGGATCCCCTCTTTATCAGTCCAGTAAAAGCCTCCTGAAAACCTATCTTTTTGACCGTACCTTTGGTCACCTCCCTTCCACTCAGTATCCAGCACAATCTTTGCAAAGTGCTTTGAGATGGTACTCTACACTAAAGTCACTAAATAAATGCAAATTGTTGATGTACTCCTGCTTTGATTCAGCAAACCACAAGGCACCTTTGCATTTTATTTCTAAAATATATTTGAATTTTCATCTCACTACCACAATTAAAACTGTTCATTCCATTCATCTCCGTGGGCTGCTCTGCATTTTACGATACCACTAATAGGAAATGAACACATGGTGAAAGAAATGTTTCAACACGCTTGCCTGGACAAACGTTTCACACACTTGCCCTGGACAAATGTTTCACACGCTTGCCCTGGACAAATGTTTCACACGCTTGTCTTGGGCCTGTCCCAGAGCACCTTTACAATTACAACTGACCCAAAGTGACAAAAGAAACAGCAACTTGCCCAAAAAGATGCAGTACCGGGCCATAACCCCAGGTTGCAGAAACATGGAGGAGTTGATAGGCTTTTAAGCTTAAAGTTTTGCATTCCTGCTAAATCTGCGTGATTACACTAAACGTAAACCCACGTGTGTCGCATATTTATTGTGGAAACCAGTTAGACCACCTACATACATCAAATACAACATCAGAAGGTAACCAAGTAGTTCAAGCTCTGTCTTAAGGAAACAGAAATGTAGCAAAACTGTCAATTTTGGAAGGCAGAAAAAGACCCAACTAATAAAACAGTTGAATGGATCTGCAATTTGACATTTTTGTCCAGATTTAACATTCGGCAACTAAACACAAGTCCCAGGAAAGCTCAGCTTGAAGCACAAGTGTTTCCACACGAACAAGGAGCAAAGAGTGGGATACAAGTGGGGACGTGGCTACAGGCGCTTCGTTTCACTGAGCTTTCCGTGCGATTATTTTGGTGGCAATTTTTGTGATCTGGGGTTGGGGAGCAGTGTGCGATTTGTGGGGGGGGGGGGGGGGTGAAGGGAAGGAGTATGTGTGTGTGTGTGTGGGTGGAGGGGGGGAGTGTGTGGGGGGGGGAAGTGGAGTCACGAAAGGTGACTTCGAGTGCCAGTGAAGGGCTGAGAGTCGGCCTGAGTGAATCAGTGGCAGACTGCGAGCGAGCTCTTGCTGACAGCCATTTGTTTTGTTCTCTTCCTGGCAAAGCCCAGCGCCGCACGCAACAGGGAGGGAGGGAGGGAGGGGGAGAGAGAGAGAGAGAGAGGAGGAGGAGGCCGTCCAGACAGTCCTGGGCGATCCCCGCGCTCGCCCCGGCCATTAAAGCCCGGGACGCGGGGCGCTCTGCCCAGCGACTCGACGGGAGTCTTACCCCCACCCGTGGGGGAGAGGGAGGGAGGGAGGGAGGGAGAGAGAGAGAGAGGAGATGTGGGGGGGCAAAAAAAAATCACCCGGTGCAAGTGGAGAGAAGAGTGAACAGCCTTCCCCCCCCCACCCCCCCCCCCTCGGCTCAACCCGAGTGGGAGGCGGGGGGACCGGGAGGGACCAGTCCGCACCCATTGCCCCCCCTCTCTCTCTCTCTCTCTCTCTGCTCCCCACCCCACCCCCCGCGGGAGAACCAGCCTGGGGTGGGGGGGGGGGGGGGGGAGGGGAAGTGTGTGTGTGTGTGTGTGTGTGGGGAGAGAGGGGGGTCCTCCCTTTAAATCTTTGAAGAGCAACGTGGAACCGCGGCCTCCGGTGGAACCGCAGCCCCCGCGCGCTTCTCACGGACGCGACACCGAAACTTTTTTTTTACCCCCTCCTCTCTCTCTCTCTCTCTCTCTCTCTCCCCGGGGTATGAGAGGAGGCGCTGCCGCCCGTTTCCCCCCTCTCTCTCTCCCTCTCTCCCCCACCACCAACCACCCCGTTCTCCCTCCCTTCTTCTTTCTCTCTCACACACTCACACACACACTCACTCACTCACACACCCTCCCTCCCTCCTTCCCTACCTCACCTCTCGTTGCCTCACCCGGGCGCGGTGGTGTTTGAGAGCGAGAGAGAGGGAGAGAGAGAGGGAGAGAAAGAGGGAGAGAAGGAGAAAGAGAGAGAGGGAGAGGAGAGAGAGCGAGAGGGGGCCCCGAGCCCGGCACTTACCTCACTTCCGCACTGGTTGAACCAGCGCTCGGCCGCCATCTTGCCGCGGACCATGCTCCAGCCCTTCCCACAATCCCCCGCGCCGCCAATGCACAGAGAGCCCAGAGGACGGGGCTGAGAGCTGTGTGTGAGCAGCAGCACTGCACTGCACAGCACTGCACTACACTGGCCACACAGCCCAGCCCTGCCCAGCCCTGCCCAGGCAATGCTCTCAATCTGCTCAAACGGGACCCCCCCACCCCCCCCCCCCCACCCACCTTTGCATTTTGTTCCCCAGCGACCCGCACCCGCCCCGCCCCTCGCGCCGATGGCGTTTCCCCCCCCACCCCACCCCTCCCTCTCGAGCGGGTCGTTGGGGGTCCACGGGTCGGGCGCGTGTCCCGATAGGTCGTACACCCGGTACCCGCGCACGGCTCGAGGCGTCTCGAAAGCGGGCTCGCGGGGGCGCGCCGCAAAAAGTGAATCGGCCCGCGCGATTGGCGGGCGAGACGGGGCAGCCGGTCGCGGGCAGCAGCGTCCCACAAACAGGCGTGGAGTGACCAATTTCTTTTAGAGATGTACATATATATATGTGTGTGTCTACACGTATAGATATAAATTGTAATGTTCCATCCCTCTCATCGCTGTGTTAGACAAAGACAATGCAAATGTTTGCAAATAAAAAAAGGAGCAGCAATTTTCACCAGTGTTAGGCAATATGCAAATGTTGCTAGCCCTTTGTGTTACACCAACGTGCAACCGTTTTATAAAAAACAGCATTTTTTTGTGTTGGGCAACAACCTGCAGACTTTTCTGAAGCGCCAAACACTAGTATTTACAGATTTGTTCAAATGTTTACAAAACATCCATAAACATGTTTGCAAAACATTGATAAAAGATGAATTGATCACAGAGTTTAGACAGATGTTATTTTGTAAAGTATACTTTGACGGGTTGATTTCAACATACATTATTAAAGCGAGCCAGAAAATTTTGAACATCCCTAATGGAAGCTTACGAATAAAACTTATTACTTATATTGTTAAATTATTACTTTTTCAGACAAATGTTAAGGTGCAATACTGAGATATATAGACATAATCATACACAGGAAATCAGTTTGGCAAGTGGATTGCTGTGGATATGGAGTGTTGCTCTCAAGTTTGACAAGTTTTGGGCCAAGTAGCTGATGAAGATTGAGAGTGGTGTGCTGCAGGCTAGAGCTGGGCTAAAATGTATACCGCATTTCAAAATAATCTAGCAGTATTTCGGGTTTGGGTTTTCTTGTCAATACTCAGCTGGAAAACCCATGGGAGAAAAAAATAAAACCAGAAGTTGCATTCTTGTAAAAAAANGAAAATTGCAAATTTTCAAATGCAACAAGAAGCAAATATTAAAGTAGCAGACAACAGCATTGATTTTAATAAAGGCCAAGGGAAGAGATTTTTGAGATACACCAGGAAAATAAAACTTTACAAACCATTACACACGTAAATCAGTTAGAAACTAATCAGAACGGCATCAAAATAATAGTGTGGTGTTAAACGATTCAATACACTCCTGTTTAAGAGACTAAAGGCTCCCTGCAGGAAAGTACATATGTATGGATGTCAAGTGAGGGTAGGATCTAATTCAGCTTAATGTTTTTCCTCCCTCAACCATCTGTGAACCCACTCTCTGTGCTCCCATATGTAGAATGTCCACTTTTGTGAGATACTGGAGAGAATCACATCTCAAGTTCAGGCAGCACCTAAAGAGGGAATAAAATCTGGGGGTGGGGGGGGGGGCGGGAAGAGAGAGAAATAATTAATTCTGTGTTTGTTTCTTTTGGATATTGTTTTCCACCCACCAGTCCAGAATTGCATTGCTCAATCCCAATCAGGATGAGGCAAGATTCAGCCATCAAAAGCTTGAAATAAATATACAAAATAAACATTGCAGGGAAGCCACATTCACACTGAAAACACAAATTTGTGTTTGTGTTAAGTACCCTAAATTAAAGTACTTGTGTGGCACAATGGCAGTTTACAGCACAAACAGAATCTCAAAAGGCAGCACTAAGAAAATTTCAACAACTTTCATGTGAAAAATATTCAATATCCCAGGCAGCACAGGGAACACAATCATTGCAAATAAACAGATATGAGTTGATGTGGTGCCATACGTGCAGGATTTTAGATACAAGTCCTTAGATACAAAATGGATCTCCCTTTTTTCCTCATTCCTACTTTTTTAAAAAAAAACAAGTATACAAATTTCATCCCGAATATGCAGAGCAATGAATAGCACCATAGTTTAATACTGGCAATAACCAAAGCTGCACAATTAGCTGTTCATTTGCAGACAGATTGTTTCTGTAATTGTTTGAAAATTTGGCACTTTGAAACTGAGATTGGCAGTAACCATTTTTATGTATTAAATGCTGCTTTAATGCTTACTTGCTTTTTTTTAAAAATGGTATGGGAAAAAATATAACACCCAGGCCTTATAGGTTGAATTTTATATCAGAAATGTTCCCAAGTATTTTACCTACGATATGAATCAACAGTCAAAATATCTCCTAAGGTTTCATAGAAAATGTTTATTGCTTCAGTCTATTAATAGAGTTCTCAGCAACTGCAAGTACTAATATCGTCAATACATAAATAAAACTGTTAATGGTACTATTTAATACAACCTATAATGCCCAACAATTAAACATAATGAGTTTAGTTTAATGTTCAGTTTCTGTTGACTTGATAAGTGACAACCACAGCATCTTAAAAGTGAGAGGAAGAGGGAGAAGAGAGACAAACAGCTGCCATGAAAAGTCTCCTCTTAAGATTTTAATATGCAAAAAATGGCTCTATCCAGGCATCGGGAATTCTCAAGTGTATTGCACGACCAATGCTCAGCTCAAATAGATCAATAAAGACTAACTTTTATTGACTCAATTAAAGTCTCTACCAATTAAAAGCTAATGGGAGCCAAGATATCAACAAAAAATGCATGCAAATTTCAAGCATTATTTAAACCTAATCATCCTAAAATTAATTTTTCAATCAAACTAGAACAATCCCAATTAAAAAAATCCAATAGTCAAAGGACATTGCAAAGCAAACCTTCCAAACACAGACAGCCTCTGGATAAACATAGACTCAGGAGTCTGAACATCGTAGGTGGTCTCCTGGTGTTCAAGGATGGTTTAAGTGTAGGTATTTTGGATTAAATAGCATACATTAAAACAAATTATCAAAGTTCAAGAGTAACTAATTTTATTGAACATAAAAGGCCATCTCAACTGTTCCACAGCAGCAGCAGGCAAAGATAAGACATCCTTTGTTGACATTTTGCATTCCAAAACCACTTCCTGGGTTGTGTATTTCTGAATCAATGCAGTATTTTCACATCAATGATCCTGACATCACAAACATAACATGCAAAGGCGTATTTATCTATTAAGTACTTAATTTGAAGAACGTAGATGGAGACTGGTTCAGTTAATTCTGTTGATACAATTAAATTCTTCAAAAAGGTACACTTGCATTCTTTACAAATGATTAGAACAGGTAAGAGTCATGATTTCTTCAAAGTGCTAGTTCAAATCAACATCACATTTGCAGTGATTACATGCACGTTAAAAAAAAACTAGAGAAAAATCTGATGAAATACACCTAAAGTCACATTCCGGTTTATAGGTTGTTTTAATGTATGGAACATTCCTTTGAGGCACATGCTAAAGGCATTGTTATTCGAAGTATAGTAAATCCAATAAAGCTGTTACACAAGACCAATTGGTAAATCTCGGAAGCTTCAGGAGCAGTTGCATCAACAGAATATTACTTCGGAAGATAATAAGCTGTGCTTTTAAAGGAATAATTCCACGAAAGCTCGTAGGAATTGTATTTGTGAGCCTAATCCCAACCAACAAATTTACAAGCACTATTCTTTGTAATTACTGTATTCTTTTCTTCATCAATCATTTGGGAAATAGAATAAAAAGAGGTGAATCCAATTAATTTAGAATATTGCAATTTATAATGATTGAATTTAGACTCACAACTATAATTTCTGTCAGCTTTCCTATTCCTTTGACAGTATAATCAAGCCATTTGAAAGGGTAATCACACTTGAAGTTTTCATCCACAATACAGTGCAAACAAGACATCAGTGTTTTCCTGAGTTGACTTAATATAAGCAACCTGTTTCACGAGTAAACTTTCAGTGCATAGGTCTTTTACAGACCAAAGCTACATCACATACGATTAGAAAACACTTCCATCTTTAAATACATATAAGAATGCTTAAACATACATCAATCTATATTACAAGACAAGTGTTTATCGATTGTCCCTCAAAACAGAGAATGCAATTGAAAGAATTGTTTAGAAAATATATTACTTCCTGGAATGCTCTTAGAAGTCCAGCACAATTAAAATCACAATTCAGCATTTTCTTCAACACTTATTGCACTGGACGGGTTTCAATCTCGATTTTCTCTTCTACACCTGATGTCGCTGCATCATGATGGCTGACATTTTGCCATAGGGTAATCTCTGGACCCCCTCCATAGATGGAGTGAAGAAAATTCCAAGTTTCTTCCGAGATTTGTCCAGAATCTGCTCCTAAAGTTTACAAATGTACATTAGGTAATATGATCTAATCATAAATGATGAACTTGAAAATTCATAGGTTTATATGTAAAATCTAAAGATACCATACCAAGAGAGGAGTCTAATTATCTTATCATTAATAGTGGTTGATCTCATACCAATTTAACCTTGATGAGCCAAATGCCCTCATCCTTTACTGTGGAGTCCTGCAGCTCAGTGGTTAGAGCACTCGCTTTGCAAGCGAGAGACCCGAGTTCAATTCCAGGCAGGGTGAAACCTTGGGCAAGTTTCCTTACTCCACACACCTAATAATAATCCCTCCAAAACCAAAAACAATAATAAATTGGTCATTTTCAATCTACGACTGTTTGTGGGACATTGCTGTGCACAATTGGCTGCCGCCTTCGCCCACAAATATACAGTCAATTCACTTTACAGTGTGTTCTGTGAAGCGCTCTGGGACTTCCTCCCGACGTGAAAAGCACTATATCAAATGCAAGGATTATTATTATTATTATTATTAATTGTATGATTACAAAATACAGTAGAATTATGTTATAAGGTGCCACTGCTCGATCACTTATAATAACTTGATTCAAGTATATAGAATAGCTTGCGAAAACATCCCACTATGGATTATAAGGAGATAAAACGTATCATTGGGTTCAAGAGAACTATAGTGCACACCAAATGTTGATGTATTGCTTTAATCTAAAGTGGTACTTTAGTATTAAGCGCTCCAAGATGTTATCTGCTTGGAGACACTATATAAATGCAAGTTGTTGTTGAGTCACTGATCTCTTGAAACACCCAAGCAAAAATAACTACCTTATTAAAATATTAAAGATTAAAATGTCAAATTGTTAAAGATTAAATTGTCACTACCCATTTGAATCCCCTCCATCTGACTGTGTCATATGTAAAAGATGTGAATGAAGAAACACAAATACCCACAAGATTGAAAGCACTGTGAAGATACACTCACCTTGCTTTAAACTCATGTGACCAGTCTTGCTGACAGCTATCTTGATATTATCAATTTGACCAGGAGGCTCTAAGACAGTGAATTAAAGCATTAAATATTGTGACCATGATTTTAACAAAGCACGATATTGTATTATTCAGCTACATTAATGGCTGCACACAGTTATATAAATGAAAATATATTTGTGATGTAGCAACATGTTTTTCTTATTGAAATTAAGGCTTATTATTCTAGTGAACATGAGGCACAGTCAAGTCCTTCACTTTTATCAACTTGAATTGTTGCTCATTTCTATGGTTCACAATTCCTACCAGTTAAAATAAAGCCCTGGGGAGAGAAAAATCCATTGTAGTTTAAAACGCACTAGAAAAATGTGATCATTCACATGCAAATATTTTGCTATGGTGTGACGTAATTGTTTTTAATCATTTATGTATTCTTTCACAGAACATTTGGTTCTACAAGATTACATTTTGAGTTTATAGGTACAGGAGAAACGAATCGTCAAATTGGAATCTGAAGCTTGACTTGAGGAGCTAGTGAGTGAACTGAGGATCTAAATTCCCGTACTCTGTAATCATTTGGCAGGAGTTACACATACGCCCTCCCTCCACATACTTCAATAAAAAGGCACAATTTGCATCTTCACATCTAAAATACATCCATCAAATTAACAAAATACAGGATACTTGAAACATTATGGTTATAACATACCACTTTCTTTGCCTTTGACAAATGTTTCCCATTCTCTGAACCACTGCATACTAATGCAGTAAATGACAGCAGGTGATTCTTCTTCCTGAAAGGCTTTATTTAACTGCATTACAAAAGTTTAGAAAATAGATTATAGTATGCATATAATGTGTTTGAGTCTCAATGCTGTGTATATAGTATATTCTGCAGGGAAAGAGATTTTTGTTCGCACCTATATATTACCACATTCTAAAGTTTCTAATCTTGATTTTTATCGTGAAGGGAGGTGCTGGCAAGAAGTCTGGTGCTTTTGCACAAATAGAAAAATGAAAGGGCAGGTGAGCCATGAACAGCTAAACAACAGATTCCCTGCATAGCATTTTATGTGGGGTAGATGCACAGTGAGGGAGTTGGAACAATTTAAATGGGGCAAATAAATAAGAAATGCCAACAACTTTCTTGATTCATAGTCATGTTCAGCATCTGGAGCCTTGGAATAAAATAGTTGGTATAGCAACCCTAAAAAAATGTTACCTATTTTAGGATTGGCATTCCCCATTCAAAACGATTCTAAAATTCTGAATTTTCAATCCGACTGAAGGTGGAAACAAGCCGGATTGCACCATTCTATTATGAAGTCAATCACCACAGTTCCCATTCACTCAAGCATCACTCTTCAGTTTCCTTGCACAATCCCACTTTAATTTCACACCTTATTCCCTTACCCTATTGCCAGAAAATGAACAGAACACAAAACAGATGCATTTGTATTAACATAAATTGCTGTTATCTTGACAGAGCTGCAACTGGTTGTGCTGCTGCTGCACCACTATTTTCAAATAGATTAACTACTTGGGACCTAACAATTAATATTAAGGTTTCAGTTTACATCTACTACAGGGGACAGACGTTGAAGCAAATTTATTTAATCAGCAAGTTATTTGAACCCAGGACAAGGGCAGCTGAGAGGAAAAATATATAGAAAGTGATGTTATATTTGCTGAGGGATTGTATATGCATGACTGCTGAAAGATCATACTTTGTATAAATTTTCATATAGTTAATAATAGTTAATAATTAAAGAACTGTCAAAACGTTCTGCATGCCTATGTCGCAGTGAGAGCAGACAGACTAAGTTTAAGGGTGTCTGACATTTATTAATACAAGTGAGTTTCTTGGTACTTCTAACACAAATCAATAAAAACAGCACACACGAATAAACATGAAGTAGATTTTCTGAAATTACTTGTTACTGCATGACGAGTTTAACGACTGCAACTAACTAAGTCAGTTGTATATCCACCATAAACCATAGTCATATGTAAAAGCAATAAAACACGTTTGACATACATTACATAAGAAATAGAAATGAATTCAATGAAGCCTCTGTTCCTCCCAATAAATGATACTTTAAATCTGGCAAACTCCAAAAGCTTCAATACATGGAGAAATGTAAATGAAATATTCTTTAAAAATGCAATTAAATGTGAACAGATTTTAAGGAATTTTAAATCTCTTACCCGGATAAATATTTCCAATTCAACTTTTCTTCTTTTTTCAAGTTTTGCAATCTCCATTTGACAGGTTTGGCAGGTGTACAGATGATTGACAGCTGGCCCTCCACCATATCTGAAAGAATCGCAGAACAGATGTTCTACCAGGTTTGATTGTAAAACCAAAGCTCGCAACTCGGTTCATTAAACGAGAAATAATACAAACTCCATCAGCCAATGATAGTTAGTTAAATCTTTTACTGTCCTGACAAACTGAACTACGGTTCAGAATCCGGATTCATTGACTGCAAAGAATAGAAGGCGATGGTTTATTCTTAGGCAGAATAGAGGGAAACTCAGCTGTCGTGCTGCCTCACTTAGAACACATATTTACTGTGGATAGAGCACTTAGAACATATGTCCACTGTCCACCTGACTTCTGGTGATGACTAGTAAACCTCCCACGCTACAAAATGGTCCTACTTCTGGTTTGGCAGGTCACATATGAGCAGGAAACATCAATGATGTCAGGGGGCTTCTTGTGAAAGCAGACAACACATGGGAGGTGACATCAGCAGCAAGCTGATAACCTGCAAGTCAAACTTTTTTTCACACCTCACTTAACCACTGAGCTATTGGACTCAGAGGACCACTTTATAACAAGGCCCCCTCCCTCAGTATATTTAAAAAGGTAAACAAAAATCAAACTTGTGCAGGATGAATATTTCAAATATCCACTAGCATACAAGAAATTTATAATCACCCTGCCTTCTAATCAAACATTGAACTGCTTTCTATAACATTCAAAATGGCCATCAAAACAGCTCAACACAATTCAATACGAAAAGACGATCAGAATTTGTGTTCATTTAAGAGTTTGCTCACTATAACCTTGCAAGAACACTCCACATGTACCTTGTCTAAGGGACCTCATGGGGCAGTGAGTGTTGATAAGCTTTACAATCACAGAGAAAATTAAAGACAGCCCAGTTCCTGTCCACTCTTGATGTTCATACAATGGACAGGATTCACAAACTTAACAATGGCCGACTTTTCCCTTCTCTGGCCAAGTAACACTGAGGTCAACCGCAGTGTCAGTTTTGTGCCCTGGCTAAAAATCACTTCTTTAGCAGAAACAATAGCACTTTACTCACCTGCTGTAGAGATAGTCCCACACATTCTGAGGCAACATCACTACCAGTTCATCTGTATAGCTCGCCTTCTGAGGAGGGACACCTGAAAACAGAGTCAGATCAAATTTTTTTTTCCTCATTTTTGCATCAAAAATATTTTTTTTTACAAAAACACAGCATAAAAATGCAATAAAATTAACAGCATTTATTTTTAATATTTCAAGTGTCACCTTACCTCCGTGAGCACAGAGGAATTCGTTGTTGTTAATTGGGCCTGGTTCAGCAAATGTCTTGAATTTATTCAACCATTGGCGGGATATATAAAACTGAAGCAGACTCGGTTCCATTAGGTTTAATAGATTAGATACCGTCTGCCTCTCCTTCTCCATCCCTTCACTACTTTTCCTGTAAAATAAAAATAATGCAACATTGGAAATTTACAGTCACTAATTTTCTGCTTTTGTTATTTTCTGCAGTTATTTTCTTCTCTTCCCTAAAATGTCAAGTCTAGGTTAATGGAATTATTTTCATCAGTAATTTATCAGATGAAAAATAAATCACTTAGTAAGCAAAATAGTTAAATTATTACACAGGCCGCACATTTCTTATTTTCTATGTATAAAGGATACAGCCACTTCTCTGACCCTTTGGGTCAAAATCTAGAAATCAATAACACTGTTAAACATTAAGGGTTTCATTATGCAAAGCAATGGAAAGAACAGAAAGTAAATAATGAATGAGAAATCTAGAGGGACTACATTCTGTTCAAAGTACTCCCCCAGCCCAGATACAGAAAAATGTATAAAAGCAACACTTTCTCTGTTGCAAGTAAGGAATCTTTTCAATATTACCCAGGACTATTTTCACTCAGTCCAGGCCACTTCAGCAAATTGTATTAACATATGAACTAGCTAGGGAGCTGATCTGAAACCACCCGACAGAAAGCACTGTCCCAAGCTAAGTGTTGCTACATTCTCACCTGCACAAGGCTGTTCTGGGAATCGAGGAATTACCGATTAGCTCCAAGATTGTGTTAAAGCTCCTAGACGGGGTCAAAGCTCCGACTGCCATTAAACTCAAAGGAACCACTTCAAGACATATAGGAAAAACTGCAGCAGAAAATTAGCTGCTGTGATTTTCAATGTTTCATACATTACCCAAGGGGTTTGTACAAGAGAACACAAGTCCCGTACTGTATTAAAGCAAAGATTCCTCTTACAGGTACAAATATATTGTTTTCTCTATGCATGTGAGGGGAAAGGTACTCAGAATAATTTCCGCTAGACATCTTTCCCTTCAATCAAATGTATGAAGAAACATCATTATTTTCAATGAAATTGTATTTTGCTATATAAAAAAAGGCACAAGTTCATCGTCCTGCAGTTTCAATTCACAGCCCAATTTGAATAAATGGAACTCAGCTTGCAAGCGTGACATGCTTGACAGCCTTATACAATCAGGGGCACTGCACAGCAGCTGAAATTCCTATTAAGCATGCCACAGCTTTTGTCTCTTCTCCTCTCCCACAAAATCTAGATGAGAGTTTCCTGAATATTTATATCTTACAATTTCATAATATTGTGTTAATGGCAATGGAATTGCGATGTTAGCATTGAATTTGAACGTGTTGATGAGTAAAATGCACTGAATATTAAAACTGAAAAAAAATTATCTTATATTCAGAAAAAACTATGGAGCATTCAGATAGATATATTAAAATGAGTCATATATCTGTCTTGTTCTTCAGCATATAGTGGGTGTGAAGGAGACAATTTTACTGCACTGTTGGAGACGTTTTACTGCACTGCACCATTCATACAGATAAACATCATTGATTTTATCCTTTTTAAAATTCAATGTTTATCAATGGAAGCCTAAAAAGATTCCTCTTGTAAAAATATTACTTATAAATGCTTCCAAAGTGGCTAGATGCAAAATAAATCAACCCTTACTATGAAGCTGAGTAACAAACCCTAGTAAATGAGCATTAACACTGTTGAATTGTTGCTAAGCAAAGCAACTCTTTACTGAGCTATCTTATGCAATCTTGCCATTACATTTTTTAAATTTGTTATATTTTATTTGAATTTCTCAGGCAGCTATAAACCTTTGAACTGTCAGTGCAGTTTTCCTCAGGAAAATGCAGTTAAAAAACCCCCGCAAATCTGCTTTAAATATGAGTGGAAAAATATTTAGATTTTCCAGCTGAGCTCATGATCTAAGCTTCTTAATATAGATAAAGCATTTGAACAGCTTGACTTACACTGAGGAGCACAGTGGGTAAAATTCCAAGAGGTAATAGATACTACCTGCATGGATTTAAACACCGCGCAAACCTTAACAAAGACAATGTTAGCGCGACAGTGTGATTTCACCTACACTAAGCAACTATCAGAAAAGGAGTTTGACATCACGGGCACATAATACTTACATTTTTCACATCTCTCATATTGGGAAGATCTAACAGTTAAAGCTTAGCATGTGTTAATTGAACAAGATGACAAGTCTGAAGAAATATTTCAGGTACATATAAATGGTCCCACCTGTAGAAAAGTACGTAGGCTTCTGCATTTTGCACAGTGGATTCTGACACTTCAGTAACACTCTGGTCATCAAATTCATACCATCTACTATTCAGATCATTTAGGCAAAATGCTGTATAATGGCCACCTAGTAAGTACACGGAAATGCAAGTTATAGGAACATAACATTTTCTAAAGGTAGTATTCCAGCTGTAGGAGGAATGAAAGGTCAGATTTCATTATCATGAATTGGTGTTTTCATTCAGACTAATGCTGCTGCCGGACAATGCCTGTAAACTTTGTAATACAAAGACTTTAGCTTTAGCAATAATCTGATTAATTAGTCGCCATTGCAAGCAGCCCATTGGTGGATAAGAATTTGTCTGACAATAACTTGTTCCATTTTTGTTGTGTAATCAGGGCATAAAGCACAAATGAAAATGTTTAGTTTCCAGCAACAAATTCAAATTTTGAATTCAAAGAATAATTACTACATCTTTTTTTCCCTGCATATCACTTCTTCTCATTCTCCCAAATGAAGGCAAAAAATCTGATTAGGAGCCAACACAATAGCAAAAATTGCTTGTCAAATTTATCAGCAACAAAGCAATTCCAAAATAATCTATGTGACCAGTGAAGGTCAAGAATTCAGAAAACTGCAGACATAAACTACATCTTACCATACAGTGAAATATCATGTTGAATCAGCAATGTGCTATGCTATACATACCTAATGTCTTGTTTTACAATTCAAGATGTTAGAGACAACAATCTATATGCAAGTACAATATACCTTCCTGACATTACTATGTTTAACAAAGCTGAATTCCCTTTGGTGTTTCAAAAAAAAGCATTTGAAATACTTACAACTGGCAGTACCATGATGGCAGATGACTGATAAAAGATCATAAGTTGTGATTTGGGGTGGGCTTTCCTTAGCGAGAAAAGGTTGAAGATCAAGTCCCTCCAAAGGAAATGATACGTGATTGTTGATCTTGGTAGAAAACATGAGTTCGTGTCTGAATCTCTTCAAGTGTATGCACAAAATCTAGAAGTCAATAAAATGATCACATTATTAGTGGTGATGTTTCTAATATTGCAAACTCGATATTTCAGAGGGAGACGTAGGAGCAATTAGGGGAAAGAAAAATGTTAAGCGCTGAGATGGATGTTGGAAGTACTCTGCCTTGAAACAATTACACATTATGCTTATATTGACATCATTTTGAGAATGGTTAAGTGCAGTTTTAAACAATGTCTTTAAATCAAAGAATATTTACCTCTGGTAGATTTTGTACTTTGCAGAATTTCACCCCGTTTCTCAATCTGGAAATAAAAGTATACGTTTCAAAATGAATCATAAGAGCAGATAAGGATACTCAACAAAAATATATGGAATTTAAATCATCCTTACATACTGTATTATTCTTCCCTTTCCCACAAAACATTTGGTTTGCTAAATTGGAAGCTTGTTGTGGGTGGTGACCAGGGGCTACAGTGACAGAATACTCCTAAATTTGATAGCAGGAAATTAGGAAGGAAAATAATCTGCAAATGGAAGGCTTCTTTGCAAAAGAGGGAGGGGAGTTGAATTCTGTAATTTAAAGTTACTATTTTCATTTTATAATAAATAATCCTTGCATTTGACATAGCGCTTTTCAAATCTTCTAGACATCTCAAAGCGCTTCACTGAATATACTCTAAAATGAATTGCCTGTACATTTGTGGGCGAAACGCAGTAGCCCATTGTGCACAGCAGTGTCCCACAAACAATCATGGATTGAGTGAAGTGACAAAATTATTATTGTTTTGTTTTGAGAGATTATTATCCCCAGAAAAGCAATCCACCAATTGACTAACAACCGGGTTCTGACTTACTGCTAGGTAAAGAGTATCATGTGAAGTAAGGAAACTTGCCCAACGTTTCGCCCTGCCGGGAATAGAACCCAGGTCTCTTACTTGCGAGGCGAGTGCTCTTAACCACTGAGCTACAGGACTTCACAGTGGTTAATCTTATTCAGAATCCACTGAAATATGTGAATTCTAATATTTTAAAATTAGAAAGAACCATAATGTTATACAAACTTTTTTTTAAGAACAGAGCTGAGTGTAGCAGTGTCAAATAAGATTTGCAAAGTTCAGTGATTGTTTATCTGTCTAATCCAAATGGGTCAACTTTTACCAATGAAGTCATACAGCCATTGGCGACACCCAGTGGAAAAATAGCTTTGCAACAAGCGGCAGCTTTTGCAATTCTTAACGCGATTAGAATTTCACTCAGAATTTACGAACGGCAAAACATAATGGTATCAATAGTAATTGCTCCACACCCATTTTAAATAAATTTAACAGACAATCCACCTAAACATGCAGATAAGACTTTGTTTAACATCTCACCCGAAAGGCGGCACCTCCACCCTATTGGAACCTAGAATATGTAAATTCAAAGTTCTTGCATTGGAAGTTTGAAGCCACAACCTTCTCATTCAAAGGCGAAAGTGTTACAAACTGATCCAGGCTTACTCTTAAACATGCCATGCAACTCAGTCAATCCCCAAGAAACAATCAGTTTTGCCCCAGTAACAAGGTCACTTTGAAGAGCTGGCCTGATACCAATACTGCGTGAATGCAATTCTTTTGTACCAGTGCTCCATGCGTCTATTTAAGATGGCGATATAACAACAACTTGGATTTATATAGCGCCCTCCACGCCGGACGGCGTCTCAGAGCGCTTTAAATCTCGTATCTAAATATCCAGATCAGAATTTAAAGAATACTTACTTTTTGCATTTTTCACAGCTGTACATGTTGTCTCCTATAAGATTAAACCATTTTAAAACTGATACCAATTCAAAAAAGCATCCAACAAAGCAAATACTTTATTTAGAATGACAAATATAGAAAAACATTTTGCTTGTAGAATCATCCACATTCCAATTTTGAAAACAGTGATACTCAGTAATACTGTATCAAAGACCGACAGTACATATCAATATTTTCATTAAGAAACACAAGTCACAATTGACTACAGCATCTATAGTATTCTTTTAAAACATACTTTGTTGCCAGATTACAACTATTTCATGTCATTGGAAATGTTTACTAATTGATAATTAGAATAATCAAAAGCAGCACGATTAAAATAATTATTTCAACTTTTAATGCAATATCAAGGTCAGTATAATGTACTTTATAAGCATTTAATATATTTTAAGTACAAAGTCTATTCTCACCTTTGAGTTCATCTCTTGCAAAAAAGGCAGCCAGGCAATCTTGCAAAGATACCACAGGGCCCCAGAACCAACTAGGAAGAGGAAACAATCCAGAAATATCAACCCTGCTGCCCTTATAAAAATAAAGCAGACTTTAATGTATTTCTCATTAGTGTAAATTTCAAGCAAATTCAGTACACACCTCTTTATATATTCCATAACGTAAGCTATCCAACCCTGTGGTGTATATGCCTCTCCACATGAGCCTGCTTTGACTAAGGACGTCTGGTGACTTGCGGAATGCAGCTTGGCCAAGTCTTCCTTACCTGGGATAGGCAAAGAAAGATCTTGGAAAGTCTCCAAAGTTGTGGACACCTAAAGACCAAACAGGCAGAAAATCGCTTTCATTTTCTGGAACAGAACTAACCATTTGATATGTAACGCACACCATTCCTTATGTAGAAAGCTTTGTTTATAAACATCCATTTGAATTGTAAAGGCTGCCAACACCGAGAAGACAGGGAGGAGGAAGGAGGGGAAAAAAATGGTACTTTGTTCCATACCAATGAGGTATTTAAATTCCGATTAATTATCCTTATGCTGCAGCTATACATCTACCTCCTGTGAAAATAACCACAATTTATACCCACCCGATCGCAGGTCAAACACTGCACAGAGCTCACAATAGTGCCGTCAAAGATATCCGAGATGACACTCCTATATTTTGTTTGCTTTCTCTTTTTAAAAGATGGGAGGGATGTAACTGGAAAAAAAAACACAAATACACCATGAAAACCCTACTGAATCATTCCTAACCACTTTACATATTTGGGCAAGTAAGCTGTAGAACCCATGTGAATTCTAAATCTTTTTTTAAAAAATCAGCTCCAATCTAAAGAAAAGCATACCTTTTTTATGTGAGGAAACAAGTCCTCCCCAGACTGAATTTGATCTTGGGGGGCTGCTGGATAGCTTTAAATTCACAGTTTCATTGAATGCAGGACTACTTGGTCTTGAAGGACTATGCATAGCCACATCAGAGTTTACCTCTAAAGAAAGAGCAACAACTGGTGACACATTGCATTGGAAAATCTTGTCCAGTACATACATGGCTGCATTAAAATCTCCCGCCAATAAAAGAAGTGAATGTATGAAATATGTATGTTAAATATAAAGGTACTGAAACAAAATTGCACTGTACCTTCATTGTAGTTAAAGCTGCATAAGCAAGTTCACTTTTTTTGCTGAAATAAGTTTTCACCCAAATAATTCCAACAATAGTATACAATTTAAATCCATTTTGAGATTGAATATTCAGATAATAATAATCCTTACATTTGACGTAGTGCCTTATCACGTCGTTGAGACGTCTCAAAGCGCTTCACAAGTTAATATGAAATGAACAAGAAAGTCCAGGATTACCTGACAATCTATTTTGAATCTGAACTTTCATTGTCACTTGATTGTCCTGAATTTGACCAGAATCTGTCGTGTCCATGTCTTTATCCAAATCCTCCCCCGAGTTAGACCTATAAAGTTTCTGAAGATAGTTTTTATCTCTGTGCCAGTCCTTCACCAGCACATGACTTTTTAATTCCTCCTGCACAAGTAACTCAGCTTCCACATGGTCCTCTGAAAATAGCTTGGAGTTGGTCTCAGAATCAGCCTTATCGCTACTACCACATGATTCACAAGACTGAAATTCATTGTCTGATGAGTTCTTTTCTTCTTCCATGTTTATGCATTGTGAATCTTCAACTTGTTCTATTACTTGTTCTTTTAATTCCTCGTGGAGTTGATCCATCAAACAGCGTAAAAACTCTTGGGCATCCTTGGGAGTAAACAAGAGAATTGGGCTATAAATTTTATGCAAACCTGAAGAATAGCAGCTACATCAAACAGAAATTGAAGCATACCTATGTTAAACGTTCCAATGTCAGCAAAATGAATATTGTAATTGTAAATATAAAATTACTTCAACATGTTTATTCCATTTCTGTTAAAAGTTTGTATATGTCTCATTAGTATACATTTTAAAGTTACAGAATGATTAAAATCAATTACATACCAAAAGAAAAAAGAATGTAAATATTACCAAAAATAACAATGTTTGGAAGTATCTAATAGCCCTCTTTTTAAAAAAAAACAAATGCATCTTTAAATGTACTTTTAAGTGTTCTGAGATGCTACCCTGCATGGAGGGCGCTATATAACTGCAAGTTTTTATTGTGCTTTCACTAATGTCATGATTTATAATAATCTTTGCAATTGACTGTGTATTCTCCTCGACATTTGGTAAGAATAATTGAAATTGTCCTCCAAAAATTGCAAAGATGTGTCCTCACCTGTTGAGAATATCCTCGAAACATTGGATTCACTGTCTTAATTCCTTGGAACAGACTTGTAGGTACAACATAACTAGGCCTGTAGGAACAATGCCATCAATAATGAGGTAAAATCAATATAAAAGTTAGTTTATATGCAAAAATGTGTTGAAGCCAGTGGGTAGGAAGTCACTAACATGTTATTTCCATCTAGGAATTCACAACCAATTTAATTATGAATGTATATCTTCCCCCGTACTGTTACAAATACTGATATCTTGATAAATTTCCAGATAAAGCAATACAAAAGCTGCCAAGAATTTGCACCTTGAAATAAACAATTTGGCTCATTTGCATGTAAGTCTCATGAGAGAGATCTCAAACTAAAAAATTTCAATCAGCATAGCTTACCGATTCTTGTGCCATATCTCTGCAATCAATTTCTGGTAGCTTTTGGACAAAGCCGGCTTCTTGTCTGTCTGTACTAATCCCCCACAGTCAAGGAAAAACATGGTCAAAGGAGGGCTGGGGGGAGGGAAGAAGAAGTACATTATTATCTTTAACTTCTCAATTTATATACATTTGGAAAGAAGAAATTTGCAGAAATTCTACAGTGAAACTTAAGGTAGCTTTTAGAATTATAGTTTAGCGATAAAATGAGGGCATGACATACATAGGCACAACAACTTGAATCACAATATTTATTTCTGTACAAAACACTGAAATAATTAATCCACAGGAAAATAGCAACATCGCACAAAATTAAGTTGTACAGTTCAGTAAGTACCATACACAAATCAGGAATGAACTAGGAATGAAATGTTAGTGAGGACTATTAAAAAAAAATCTGTCAATGATTAATCTTACCAGTTGGAAAGAGCTTGAAGAGCAGCATTCAAGTAACAAGTGTTTCCAATGTTTTTCAATCCAGTGAGACCTAAAAGAGAAGATGTAGTCACAAATAAATGTCATCACATTTCTCCATGGATGCGAAAAATGTACTGTCACAGAAAATACACAATTTAAATTCTATCCTTCAATCAGACTTCCAAACGGTTTAGCTTTCTAATTTCCAAAATACCTTTACCCCATGCACAAAGGTTTAGGAAACCGAATAAGGGTCAGATAGTCAATACCATACCTCTCGTCTTCATGTCGTCATACTCAGCTTCCACTTCTAGATCATCACTCACTATGGTAACCGGAGACGCAAATGGCTGATCACAAGAAGAATCCTAGGGTTAAAAAAAAACACAATATAAAATCCCTACAAAACTCTTAAATGAGTGAAGTTAAAATGTAGAACATGGTGTGGTACGATTCAATGGCTTAAAAATCTGACCGACATCTTAATGTATGAATACGTTTCTACGTTGTCCATCCAGATTCAAACCCAAGTATTAATTTGTGCCATCTCAAAAATGAATATTATTCAATAAAAGGATGCACTGACATCTTCCAGCAACGAGCTGAAGTAATTACTAAGATAGATGAGTAATAGACCGTCTGTTAAAGTGAATTCCAAGCAAGTGTGCAGTTCAGTCGCCCATACAAACCCAATCTAAAACAAAATCTAGACAGATCCTCTGACTTAGTCAACTATTATTTAGCAGATACTTTGCTTGTAGGGTACTTTCCCCATATTTTGAAGGATGATCAATATGTTCATTGGTGAACAATGATCAGCATCTTATCAGCGAACCAAATCATCGGGTGTGGCATCATCGGAAGTGAAAACGCAACACATTACAACAGTTTTCAAATGTACTGGAAAAATTACAAATTCTGCTTTGCAAACCTGCATTTTAAGATGATATCAAGCACACGTTATATTTAGAATTGCAATACTGGGTATGTTACTGCCACTGATTTTTTGTTTAAATTGCTGACACTTCCAAATCAGTCACCAAGATCAAAACAAAAGCCTAATCCATACTCTGCCTGCAGACCTGCCGCTGCAGTCAGCTGAATAGCTTGATTTGGGTGACATCCAAACGTGAAAATTAAAATGCTACACAGTGTAAAGATATTGACACGCAGCCGCTTGCTTTCCATCAACTCAACTGTATCCATATGAAAGGCTACTTACAGCAAATGAAAAACTTGATTGTTTCGAATGGTGCAGTTTTTATTAAAAATTATTAAAATATCCATGACGAGTTTAATTTCAACACATTTCCACCCACAAGGTGAATTTTATTCCCTCTTTCCCTAAATATCAGATAATCTAGGCGAACAAGTTATAAAATGACGATTTACTCTGAACACCACTTGAGACTGGCAAATATTGTAAAAGTAACAGTTATTTCTACCTGATGTTCATGCACTTGCTGCTGCATTCTTCCATGCTGTACTTGAGACGGGGGACCAAGTTTTCTCTCCAAAAATACTTCTTTCCCACATGCGTAACACCAAACTCTTAAAGTGGTCAGGTTTACAGTAAGATTGTGCCTAGTTTCCTAAGAAAGGCAAAACAGAATATACGTAAACAGTTTGGGGGATGTTTAACGTTTAATATGAAATAACAGAATAATGGTTATGTGAAAGTATTCAAAAAAAACTCAGTTTATTCTCAATATAAACTAATCTGCTAAAGCTGATAAATAATAAAAAAAAGGCACAAGAACCAGGAAGAATTTTCAAAAATTAATATTCGTAAGGACTGAATCTCACCATTCCCAGTTAATAAGCAAGTTTATTTCCATCCATTTTTCTTCTCGCAGAGTTACTAATGACCATTGAAGTTGATTTTCACCAATTTGTATTCCATCAATAAATACCTGGCTATTTTGGTGGGTCAATCAATAAAACTATTTTTTCCTGAATGAGATTTGAAAAAAATTTAATTACCTTTCTTCCCCCCACTGGTTTTCAGGAATGCACATGTTCCAGATTGGGTAAATCTTTAATAATTTGCATATTGTATCCATTAGAGACAAAAATTTAGAGACTCGGAGAAATAAAGAGTGGAATAGTCAACGTGTGTGAGAGAGAGAGAGGACAGGCAGAGAAAAACGGGGCAAACAGAGAAGGGCTGGTACAGTTTGGTACAACAGTTAGAGGATAACTCCCAAAGTAACAAATTTTCAATTAGTGGTGTTGCCAATATGTATTTTGCATGATGTTCAAATAACTGCATTGTTTGTTTATCCACAACAGTGCTGGTGCTAAATAGTGTGGATAATCATGTTATCAATAATAGTATTCATTAATGTTGGATCTAGATTATTCAAAATTTTCAATGTTCCAAAATAAATCTTGATTTACCGAGGGGGGGGGGGGAGGAGGAATGCATCTATCCATCCACCATTTCTTTCTTTTAACACAAAAAATAGACCACAAAGAATATCCAGGATTTTACTTTATTGATAAAATGTAACTTTAATGCTCCTTATCTGTTGCCCATGGCAGCAGTAACACTACTTCCCACTAGGTGGTAGGAAGGCATGCTTCTGCAAACACATATTTAAATACTGCTGAACCAGATTTCAAATTTGACTTCTCCAACATGGACATTCAGGTTTTCTACTTCTCCACTACTTTTGACAATTACAAACAGTCAGCAAAGAAAATAGAAGTAATTATTTCTGTCAAATAAAATAGAAATGTTCCTGTGATAATGGAGCATGACAGTCCAAAATTACCAAAAATCGATCTGCCTAAACATTTCCAGTAACAGAACTTTTTTTTGAAAAAAAATTGTTGCAATAATGGTAGAATTCAATCATGAAATAATGAATGGGTAAAGGAGAAGGAAGCTAATAAAGGAGGTTGTCCTTCAGCATGTTCCCCTTTGAAAGTGCAATCATCATGACTCATCCTGGCTAAGTTCTACACCGGAACTGGTTGTGTAGCAGTGGCGAAGTGTTGCATTGTCAGAGTATTAATCTTCTGCATAAAATGCTAAACTTTGCTCCCTTGTGCCAATAGAGGTAGAAGTTAAAGATCCTTTCTAATTAGTCATCTTAATTCTTTACGACTGCAGGCAATAAGAGCAACTTGAGAATATGGATAGTACTATTTAATATTATTTATTGTTCAATTATTCGCTTGTAAATTCTCTTAGGGACTCAGCTTCAGCACCTATTTATATTAAATTATTCCACAAAAAAATTCTCTCTCCTGTTGATCTACACTCTTACTGATGTCATTTTTTTTAAACAGGCCTCTGAGCTCCTCCAATGCTTAGGGGCAAAGGTATCCCAGTGACAATCTTCCTGCACAAGTGTTGAATGACTTGCTGCTATTTTCTTGTCAACAGTGGAGGGCATGAGCCAATCTATAGAGAGCACATTCCAGCAGGGACACCTGCATAACAATCACAAATGGGAATCCTGCCTGATTTTTCTATTCTCTTGTCAAGTGAAGCACCCCACAACCATCGAGATTCAAACCTGCAATATTCTGGTCTGTACAGCTGACTGATACTTTGCATGGTAACCTTCACATCCTGGATTGGCCTCAGGAACACCAATCATTTATTTTTATAATGGGTAACAAATCTATAAACAGTAAATCAGGTGATTTTTACAAGCTGAAATAAACCTGCAGAACTTGCAACTGATCTACTCTTTGTTTTAAGAAACCAAACTAGTCACATACCTGGGAATGAATCGTGCTGTGATCTGAATGAGATTCTCCACATCCAACATAGGAACAGCCATTCTGTTAGCAAAGGGAAAAAAAAAGTCCAGAAACGAGAATGTGGTAAGCTTTCAACTCGGTTTGAAATGTCGCAGCACCTCCATCCTTTCTCAGGTATTTCAACGAAAAATTGCCAGATCTTGTGCCTCATCTTACCTCCAAACACGCCCATAGGTTTGGTCCTCTAACTTTACAGTCTTGACACGTACCCTATCCAAAATATATGAGAGTATATAATTAGCACCGCAAGAAATACAAAGTACCCATAAACAAGATACATTTGTTGCTGCCAATAAGAAAGAACCAATTCATGATAGTGTAAAATTGCCACTTCATGATAGCGTAAAATTGCCACTCTCCAGTATCTTTTCCAAGTGACAATTTCTATTAAGTAAACCTAAATGTTAGCACGCTATTGGTGGTTAGAGCTTTGAGAGCACAACCAAGCAGTAGAAAAAAATGTTGTGACTGCACCAACCCATTTGAGTACTGGACTTGTAAAATGCCAATTTCAGATACAGTTGTTCACTTCTTCGTGATCTGAATTGCACCGGGAAAAAAACAGGGAATTGCAAGAAAAAAATGCTTAGTGCATCACCTGAGACCTGCCATGCATTCCTAGCAGGTCATGTAGGTTATTTTGATGCTTGCTGGTAATGAATCAATAACTCTGAACCTCGTTCCATCATTTTGCAGGCCAAGATTAGATTAGAATCTGCATTAATCATCCTTTAGCAAAAGTGAAGGGAAGAGTCACTTTGAAATAACAATTGCTCAATGTTCAATAAATTCCTGACTTAGATTTTATATTAACATTTTTAAACCGCTAAACATTTATGAAGCTATAATGATCCACAGCTTTTTCTGGCAGATATTCTCTCTTGTGTTAAACGTCCGTTTAAGTTTCCTAAAACTAAGCTATGTCAGAAAAAAATGTAGAGAAGTTTGTACTTACATGAGACTTCAGAATTAATTCATCTTTTGTTACTTCACCAACCGATTCCAAATGTATGCAATCACTACTGAGATGTGACATCTTAACAGCAACGCAGTCTTGATTTTATAAGTATGCAAAGAATCAATGCCACCTGCACAATAAAAATAATGCAATTAAATAAACTGCAAACGTAAAGCTTAAAAAAAACTTACAAGCTTTTCAGCAAATATATCCAAATGGAATCAGCGAGTATGAAACACTACGATTTCGGGGAAAAAATTCAAGTTCAGCACTATGTGAACTATAATAAAATGATTTGCAGTGTCCAGCCTCTCCCTTTAATGTCCTGAATAGTGCACCAATTTCATATTGGTATGATCTTACTCCATTCAGCAATGGGCTTTAACAATATGCAGAGTGACCAAAAAGTCGTGAAGCTACCCTATTATCTAAATATACATATATATCTCAGCATCTATTTAAGACTTATTAGACAAGGTAATGGTATTGTGACATTTTGGTCACCCTGTATTTCCTCAAGCTTCTATCAAATTAAAATGATTTGAAGATCAAGAATCTATAAGTAGCATGAAACAATTTAAAAATACTGTGGATTGCTCGTTTATTGATTTACTGTGATTGCTGAAATCCTTTTGAATATATGAGAACAACAAACAACTTAAAGAGCAGGCAGAACAGTGAACAGGCCAAATGGTGCACTGATCTAAGCAAAGAAAAGACCAGCTTAAAATCTATCTTGAGGTATTGATGATCACCATCTAGAAAGATGGGACACCTGAAAATCATGTGAAAGGCTTCAAAATAAGATAGCATATTTTATGCCATGTTTGAACCTGGAATAAAACAGTCCATTGCTCTGAGGCTTCATACTGTCAAAAGCCATATAGACTCATAAACTTGAAGATAGTCTGCCTAGCTCATGCTGGATTTCTTTTTCCAGAACACGAAATGTGCAGCATCATCACCACAATGACAAAAACTTAAACCTCACCATTTATAGAAAGAACACCGAGGCTGTTGGAGCTGCATTTCAACAACATTTGGAATATGTAATTACAGTTGTCACCATCTGCACTATGATTATGGCATTCAGTATAGCCCCTTTCAACAGCTCTAAAAGCTTATAACAGCAGCGTGTGCATCATTTAAGGGCTGCCAGGGCAATTTCCAATATGTCTCGAGACCTCAGATTTTGCTTCAGTGCTTTTCCTTATTCACTCGCGGAACACAATTCTGATCCGTCTCAATTCGCCCACAAATATACAGTTAATTCACTTTACAGTGTGTTCTGTGAAGCGCTTTGGGACGTCCTCCTGACGTGAAAAGCGCTATATCAAATGCAAGGATTATTATTATTATAATTTGCTCCCTTTCAGATGCTATTATTGTAATTTTAAGTCCTCAAATCATAATTCATAGCATGTAGAAAAACATTCATAGTAGGTATTAAAAAAAATCATATTCTATACACCAAAAGGACTAAAAGCAGAACATACCCTACTGCAGTCACCATGGGAACAATATTTGGAAAATATTTCAATAACTCTTTAACCTGCACCACTCTACACTGTAACCAGGGGTTGATTCATGCCCCAAATTTCTTACCTTTTGTCTTTATATCCTACCAGTATCCGAACTAGGAACTTTCTTTCCAGGGAAATCACTAGCAAAAGAGAAAGCTGCCAAAATTCATAAACAGAGTATTCCTCCTCCCACCTATTTTCACCCGAAGATAATAAATCCTGATGGGGTTTGAGTGCCAGCAGCCCTCCCAATACTTTTCTAAAGTGGCTATTTTAGCCATCAATGTAAACTACCACTGTGGTGGATGCATTGCTATGTTGCCCCTGAAGATCAACAGTTAGATAAGAGACAACTGGCAAATGCCAAGTGGTTTGAAATCAATAAGTGAGTTCAAGATGCTTCAACATTAGGAAACATTTCTTTCTATCCACCGATTCTAGAAGAAATTAGTCTGATCTGATCATAATATCCATGAGCTAGAAATGCTCCACATTCATAGACACGTACAGGCTCAGTAATGTAACAGCAAGGTCCACAAACCATGAGGTGAATGACTAATTTATCTGAAGCGTTACTGACAAGGACTTTAGAAAAAACACTCTGAACAGGCAAAGAACAGCACTTCTGATTAGCTGCATTTCCAATTTTAGAAAATGGTCCATGTCCAAATACACTGATTCAGTTGGAAAATTAGTTGGCCAAGTACAGACTGTAAAAATTGATTGAGAACATCTTTTTTTAAAAGCAACAAACAAATTATAGTTTTCTAAAGTTAGGTCCATATATCTTTTGTTACATACAAGCTGTCATGCTGGCCAGCTGACTAGTCCAAAATACTAAAACTGTTAGTTAGCTTTATTGCCTTCAAATATACAATGGTTTGTAGCAATACATAACTTTTTCATGCACCTAGAAAGATTTGACATAAGGTTTGATTATGAGAAAGTACAGATTTTTCAAATAATTTTTTTTCCCCTGGACCACTTTCAATCCAAATAAAGATCTAGATTGAAAGAATTATCCTTGATATTCCAAAATCACTTTAGTATTCCCAGAAGAATGTAATGGGCACAGTTCCTGAAATCTAGAACTCAAAACCAAAGCTCTAAAGCAAATTTTATGCAAATTAATAATTTCCTTTTATAATTGTTGTGTCTGACATTGTAAAGAATGTCTTAATGCACTTCACAGGATTTTTTTTATTCTGACATTGCATCTTTAGGAGAACACTGCAGCCAGCTTACACACATCAATGTGAAGTGAATGACCAATTTCATCTGGAAGATTGTTGGCCAAGGCACCAGGAGAAGATCCTCTTTTCAAATAATGCCATGGAGTCTTTTACACCTTGATTTTGGATGCTATTTGTACCATAGATTGCACATAAGATCCTATCTAAGGTCCAGTGGAAATGAAGCGCTTCCCATTGAAAAAGGCATGGGAAGGAAATTAACTTTAGACCCTTGTTTCAGCGCTTTGGGACGTCCTCCCGATGTGAAAGACGCTATACAAATGTAGTTTGTATTGTATTATTGACATATACTTCTATCCAAACATTCCATAAAAATCCGCAAGCAATCACTTTACCACATTTACATCGGGATTCAAATTCAGTTCATACCCTACTTGTTTCCATCATTATCTTCATTTCCAAAGCCTAATTGCATCACTCTGAATCCAATATACCCACAAAGCTTCTCCTAGCAGTTTAGAAAAAAGTTGGAAAAAGCTGTGAGGTTGCGAGATTCGGAAATCTAAGATCAGAAAATGGGGCTCAAGCAATTCTAGTTACAACAGCTGCACTTTGCCTCACTCCATACAGTGGATTTGAGTCCTCCAGTTACCAATGGAGAAGGCAGTTACACTATTGCTTGTTACACCTATTGTGGAAAATAAAGGGTCACACCAATAGGCTTTGCAATGATTAATACTATAGCATATGAGTACTGTGAAGAAATACTAGAAATAGTCTGTCCATCTAACCAACTACAAATGACTTTAACGTGCAGCACTGGCATTACAATTGATATCACACCATACAATCATCAGCAAACAAAGACACAGAAGGATACAAACAGAATTTGAGTCATTAATCGCTAATGGCACAAACACTGCACCATTATATGTTATAAAGCATAGCACCATTTTAAACTCAGGGTTCAGATAAGGACTCATCTCATCTTTTTTTATATTGGTTTAAAATGTTACCCGTAACCTCAACTCGACTGCTGCTTTGCAATCATTCCGTGAGAGCCATCTTATTTATTTATCCAGACAGACAAAATCCGAGGGGGAAAAAAATAAGTCACGGTAGGGAGGGTTTAAGTCAATTTCGAACAAAACAGATCTCAGCTGAGGCAGCAATACGAGGCGCTGAAATTGAACTGAGAGAAGAGGATAGTAATCGATCAGCTTTGGGGCCCTGATGGAAAGTGACACAAGATATTGGATAGAAAGCAAAATCAGCTTTGATGCCCTCTCCCAAAGGGGAGGTGGGGGGGAGAGGGCATCAGCTGTTGGGAGATGGGAGAGAGAGGAGAGTATCCTCAGTGGGGGGGGCAAGGGGGTGTGCGGGAGAGGGGTGTCTGGGGGAGAGGGGTGCGGGGGAGAGGGGGGGGGTGTCCGGGGGGGGGGGGGGGGTGTCCAGGGGAGAGGGGTGCAGAGAAGTGGGGGTGAATGTGGGGGGAGGGGGTGATGTGGGGGTGATGTGGGGGGGGGGTGATGTGGGGGTGATGTGGGGGGAGGGGGGGGAATGTGGGGGTGATGTGGGGGGAGGGAGGGATGTGGGGGTGATGTGGGGGGATGGGGGGATGTGGGGGGAATGTGAGGGTGATGTGGGGGGAGGGAGGGATGTGGGGGTGATGTGGGGGGAATGTGGGGGTGATGTGGGGGTGGGGTGATGTGGGGGTGATGTGGGGGGAGGGGGTGATGTGGGGGGAGGGGGGGATGTGGGGGGAGGGGGGGATGTGGGGGTGATGTGGGGGGAGGGGGTGATGTGGGGGGAGGGGGGGATGTGGGGAGGGGGGAGTTGAGCAAACCTGCAGCACTGACTCTCACACTCTGGGGGCCGGAGCCGCAGCGGCCGCCGCCCTCTCTCTGCACCGAGGCTTTGAGCCGCTCAGCCGCGGCTCTGAGGAGAGGCCGAGCCTCAGAGGCCCCACATACACCCCACCCTCCGGGGGGGGGGGGAGTGAAGCCCGAGCCCTGCGGCAGCCGAGAGATCCGCGGCTACAACACTCAGCTCAGGCCCCGCGGCCTGGACACGGCGGCTCCTGGTTTTCCTCAGATGCGGCTAAAGGCCTCGCTCTCACCTGCCGGGGCCTCGGCCTCTCGCTGGGTGTCGGGCGGCGACAAGCGCAGGGTCTCCGGATCCTCCTCCCGCACAGTGCCGGCTCTGGGCGGACACGGCGGCTCCTTCCGGAGGCGGCGGCGCACTTCCTGCAGCTCCTGTCACTGCCCCTCCCCCTCAGCTCCTGGCACCGCCCCTCCCCCTCAGCTCCTGTCACTGCCCCTCCCCCTCAACTCCTGTCACCGCCCCTCACCCCTCAGCTCCCGGCACCGCCCCTCCCCCTCAGCTCCCGGCACCGCCCCTCCCCCTCAGCTCCCGGCACCGCCCCTCCCCCTCAGCTCCCGGCACCGCCCCCTCTCACCCCTCAGCTCCTGGCACCGCCCCTCCCCCTCAGCTCCCGGCACCGCCCCCTCTCACCCCTCAGCTCCTGGCACCGCCCCTCCCCCTCAGCTCCCGGCACCGCCCCCTCTCACCCCTCAGCCACTGGCACCGCCCCTCCCCCTCAGCTCCCGGCACCGCCCCTCCCCCTCAGCTCCTGTCACTGCCCCTCACCCCTCAGCTCCTGGCACTGCCCCTCCCCCTCAGCTCCTGGCACTGCCCTCCCCCTCAGCTCCCGGCACCGCCCCTCCCCCTCAGCTCCTGGCACCGCCCCTCCCCCTCAGCTCCTGGCACCACCCCTCCCCTCAGCTCCCGGCACCGCCCCTCCCCCTCAGCTCCCGGCACCGCCCCCTCTCACCCCCCAGCCACTGGCACTGCCCCTCTACCCCTCAGCTCCTGGCACTGCTCCTCCCCCCTCAACTCTTGGCACTGCCCCCCTCAGCCCCTGGCATTGCCCCCCCCCCTCAGCCCCTGGCATTGCCCCCCCTCTCAGCTCCTGGCATTGCCCCTCCCTCAGCTCCTGGCACTGCCACTCCCCCCCTCCCCCATCAGCTCCTTGCACTGCCCCTTCACCCTCAGTTCCTGGCACTGCCCCCACCCCTCAGTTTGTGGACTGCCTTCACCTCTCAGCTCCTGACACTACGCCCCCACCCCACTACTCAGTACTTGGCACCGCCCCCAACCCACCCCAGTTCCTGAGACTGCTCCCCACCCAGCTTCCAGCACTGCCCCCCCTACAGCTCCTGGCACTGCCCTCCCCCCTCAGCTGCTGGCACTACACCCCTCCCCACAGCTTCCCTGACAATTGCACTTACCTCTTCCTAACACTCACAGACTCCTCATTTCTCCCCCCACCCGCCCCCGACACTCACAGCCTCCAACCCCCACCCCAACACTCAGAGCCTCTTTCTTCCTCGCACTTCTTCCTCCACACTTATGTATTAATTAGAATCCTTGCATTTAATACAGCACCTTGTCATTTCATCAAAATGTCTCAAAGCACTTCAACTGTAAAGTATGGCAATTATTTGTAGGCAAACACAGAAGTTAGATAAGGGACAGCTATTCCGGGAACGGAATCTACGACACTGGGTTATAGTCTTAAAATTAAAGCCAAGCCATTCAGAAGTGAGATTGGAAAATATTCCTTTCACGCGAAGCAACGTGAGGACGGAGTGTACGGCCTCAGAAGGCTGCAGATACGGAATTGATTGAGATGTTGGAAACGTTAGTGGAGAGATATTTGGGTATTCATGAGAAATGGAGCAAAGTTGAGAAACCTAATAAAAAGATGGTACAGGCTCAATGAGTTGGAAGGACTACTTCTGTTCCAAGCAAATGTACACCATCATGGACTCCGCGGCCACCCAATGAATCTCTTGAGAAAAACATTCCGCACAACTACTCCAATTCCCGAAGTCAATATTGCAAAGCTGTACAATATTCACACGTATTCACGATTCAGTCCTGTTTCTTTGCTTTTGCAGACAACACTCTCTACCCTCTTCCTCCAACCAGCACGTAACTCGAAATTTCAAGACGGATGTCGGGAAGTTTTTCTTTACCCAGAAGGTAATCGACGACTGGAACAGGTTGCCAGGAAGGCCAGGACACTGCACTGATGGGGTGGGAGTGGGCAGGAGGTGTGTGTGTGTGTGTGTTTTGGAAAGATGTGATCAGAAGGGTTGAGGACCAATCTTGTGATCTTAATGTGGAGTGTTGGATCAGTTATCTATGTAACCTTTAAACTCATCCTCCACCAGATATTTATCCATCAAATTCCAAATGAATGAATAACAACAGAATCTTGGGTTTCCTTGGGAGCCTGTGCCATGTGACAGTTAACTTGGAAGAGTATTATTCGCAGGTTTTCTGTTTCCATGCCAAGTGAGAGCAGACGGTGCACACTGCTGGCCTGGCCTGTGACTTTCCAGGACACGTTCGCTGCAGTAAAACAGACCAGAACCAAGGTACCAGTGCATTGCATCTCTCTGTGCTGGGCTTCAGAGAGGGATTGTTGCAAAAAAAAGAGAGAGAGAGAGAGATTGAACCCGGAAGCACTGTGTGCAACAACGTGATTGTCAATCAGAGCCCCAATACACATTGCACTGCACAAGAGGAGGCAGCGACTCAGCACAAAAGCAGCAGCACTGGGGGGGGTGGGGGGGGGGCTCTGGCTCTCCTCTGCCCACGCACAGCGATCGCTCCCCTGGTTTGCTCTCACCTGCCCGGCTTCACCATCGCCTACCAGGTACTGAGACGAGCGCAACAGCCTCCCCTTTTTTTTCAAAAAAAATGTGCTGGTCGAATCCGTGAGGCTGGGGGTGGGGGGAAAAAAAGTGCGCAAAAAAAAGAAAGCACATTGGGTCCGCAGTGACAGTGACCTTGTTGTTGCTGTTGCTTCTGCTGCTGCTGCTGCATCCATCCTCAATAACGTTTGAGATCCAGGATTCACCAGCCACAGTGGGCAGCCAATGCCACCTGCAGCAGGTGGCAATGTCAATTGTTGTTGCAAATATTCAGTGGGAAAGTGATGTGCCACTTTTTTTAAAAAAAATCGTTCCTGGTTTTTTTTTGAACCAGAAAAATACTGTATAAAAAAAAGCAAATGTCAAAGAAAATCAAAGCTGGACCTCAGGTACGATGATTGCAGTGATCGATTTCACCCAATATCAAATGAATTAGTTTAACAGTGGTGGCATGCAAATGCAGCTTTCTTTCCTTTAAAAGCATGTATATTTTTGTTTGAAAGTGACATTATTGGATGATTCCTGTGGGCTAAAAAAAATTAAATCGATTTGTAATTTTGTGTTTACCGTTATAGGAAGTCGGTTATCAACATGAATGTGGGGTGGAATGGTGCTGAAGCTTATGGAAGATAGAAGATATGGAAGAGATATCAGAGGAAACCATTAAAGATTCCCAATCTTCTTTGAAGACTGTGGTTCTGAGAGTGGTAGATCTGCCGGCATCATTGTATAATTCTCTTCTAGAGGTAAAGCACTTTACAGTAAAGCTAAATGTGAAACATTGCAGGTTTGAAGAACTTGTCTTTACCTAATACAGTATTAATCATTGTGTTTTCATAAGCCGTATCAGTGAAATTCTAATCACATTTCAATGTAAAAATAGTGCCAGTTAAGATTAGTTACAGACAGAATACATGTAACATATATATGATATCCTCCCGATGTGAAAGGTGCAGTATAAATGTAGATGATAGTGTACTGTAATAGTAAATAGCATAAATGGCTTAGTATTTAGATATATAATCATTACATCATCAGATTACCATTATAGGTAGTCTTCAGTTTACAATAATGTTTGTGCTGTTTAAGGAATATCCAGCCTGCTCCTAAAGCTGACAGATTTCCAGTTGGGGCAAGTGACATTTGTCTATATGAGTTCAAGCATACAAGGGTGGTTGCGAGAAGTAAAATATAGTACAGTATTTGAATGCTTTATGTGCTGTAAATGTGTTGCTTCACTATTAAAACATTACCTATGCCAGCAACTGGAGTATAGGCCGACTTGCTCTTCATTCAATATATGCTTTGATACATGGCTCTAGATTTTATTTCATTTCATTTTTGGGATGCAGTTAATATACTGGCATAACTGAATATGAAAATGCGAATGAGAATTTTGCAATATCTGCATTAGCACAGATTTTTTACAGTGTGCATTAAATCAAGCCCTTCCACAGATGCATGAATTCAATTAGATTATGAACACTTTCAGCTGAAAAATAAAGACAGATTTTTTTTTAAAAAATCAACTTATCAAACACTGAGATCAAGGCGAACGTTCAAGTACTTGTAAAAGTGATAGTAAATTAGCTTTGAATGGTGAATTGTCATCTCGCATGTATTGCAGAAATGTACTGGGACAACCTTTCCTTTTAGAGTTGTCAAATAACTCTCCCTTTCCTTCCCTGCCCCCCACCCACCCCCGCCAACCTCCCCCCATCCCTTCCATTCTGTTAGGTAAAGCTTTCTTCTGGTGTAAAGAAATTATTCTTGATCTCTGTTCTGGGGGCTGCATCATTTGTTTTTTTGGCTCACCAACTGAAGCGAAGGCGTGGGAAGAAGAAGTCACCATGGGAACAAGAGCTTTTCATTCCTGAATTTTCCAGGACATCAGCATCAGAAAAAGGTGCATTTATATTGTTAGCTTGTTTGATGTTTCTGACTTCCATTATGATATGAATAATTTATTATGGCTTCACCAAAAAAGATGCGTGTAATGCATTAGTGTTTGCAGTGCCTAAATATTTAAAACCACCCGTAATGTGTAACATTGTTGATTGTTCTTTCAGTCCACATGTTAGAGTAAAATTATTGTTAATCTTCCGATGTTGTGTAAAAATAATTCTCCCTCATTTCATTGCATATTAAACATATGCCTTTGCATATTAAGCTGCCTTTCTCAGAATTGAATGCTGTGATCCAGTCTAACATTGTAACATGAGTCATTGGATCCTCTTTCAGAACATTTTAAGTCCTGAGGTTACAATTCTGAAGTTGAAGGTTAAACACCCTGAAGCAAAGTGCCAACAAATAATTGTTTGTATTGTTTAGAAAAATGGCTGAGAATAATTTTAAGTGAAGTAATCTAATTGTGAGGTCCAGGCGATAGTTCTGAACAGATTCAATTCGATATCACTGTTCATAATATCATCTGTATCCTACAATGCCTTGTAATCATTCCTGGGCTTCATTTATTCTCTGAATAAGCTCTACAAAATATTGAGTATCTCCAGCAAGGTCAGGCTGTAAGACGTGTCCTAGAAACACAATAAAGTTTTGTCCTTTTCCAAATCCAGCATTTAAATCACTGTATTTCACTGCAAATCACATTTAAATCAAGGAAAGCTGTTGAAGTTGCTTTAAAATGAACATCCTCACAGTTGCAGGTGGGTGCTGTGTTATATAATAGCACAGCAGATGTAATGAATAGGGGAGACATTGAAAGTGAACAGAAAGAAATTCCTGAGCAGATGTGCCCTTTTTTTCTTGCTGTTCTGTGCTTACGTGAGAACGAATGTGATGCACACTAAATTACGTCCACCATATGCAACAACAGAAAAGAAAGCTGCATCAGCAATGTTTATAATCATAATATTTACGCTTGATATGTTTATAAAACACATGGGGAGATTTTCCAATGGCATCTAGATTTACTCTATTTATTTCGCATTCCACCTCTTGTTGAATTCAGTTTTAAGATTGAAATGGGTTTTCTGCACATTAAAATAATTTACAGAAATCGCCTTCAAACTTAAGGCTGTGTTTAAGAATTTGGGGATTTGCCCATTACAACATTTTTTAAGTGTTTTTGTTTCTCCGTCAAAATATAATTGTATTTGAAAATCAGAAATGGATGAATGTTTTAACCCATAGATTGTTGGCAGGTGGACTGACCAGTTTTGCACATTTTCAGCTCAAACACTGTCACCTGAAAAAAATATTAATAGTTGTAGTAATTAAGATGTTGAAACGTCAGGAATAGGATTACCATTATAATCCACTAACCCATTTAACTAAATTAATTTGCACAATTTGGATTAAAAATAAACACTTTATAAGCTTTACATGTAACCAATAAAAAGGTGAATGATCAGCAATTCACAGAAATGTCCAATAAACCTTGTTCTATAATGCTGACAAATATTTTTTCTGCCTTTAGAATATGATTACCCACTGTAAAAAAAAGATTTTTGCATTAGCAAATGGTTTGATCTTGGGATCGCTTGATGTTATTTCAGTCACGTCGGAACTATGAATGTGTGAACATTGTCACTTCAAAATTCAGTATTGTTTTTCTGGTAATTAAATTCTAGAGAGGATTATTTGTAAGACATTTTGGCTCCAGATTATTTATAAAATCAAATACATAATTGAAACATTAACAGCAGCTTTTACTTCTTTGGAAACATTCTCCTTTGGTTATTAATTGTGTTTATATCACAGTGCTCTGCAGGCTTACAATGTATAAAATGCAGGAAACAAAGTAACTCTGAAAATAAAGAGGGATAAAGAATGAAACTGATATTCTTTTCACAGATTCTAGTTGTGCTAGCAGCAGACAGAACCTGAGCCTTTCCTTACAATCAAAGGCTTCTCAGTCGCACAACATCTACGCTTCTGCTGGACTCTTCAGCAAGTATTCAAGCTCAGTACAGAGTCTGACATCAGTAAGTAACTCACAAGCATATAACCAATTCCTGTAGCAGAATGTTAATGCTGGACATAATGAGCACTTCAACAAAAGTTCAAATTGTATCCATATTCCACCTTTAAAGATAAAATAGTACTGGCCCATCTCACAATTTCTTTATTCACTCCTGGGCCAACATGACTCATTGACTCACCCATGCACGTGTCTGCCTATCCAGCCCATTTATATCCTTGCAGAAGGGTTTGGAACATTTGGAGCATTTGAAGCTGGTCAACTGTATAATGGAGAACGTCCAATGATTTGCTGAATCTTAAGTTATGCAACCACCACCACTGCGCTGCTGGTCGTTTCTTGTCCCAATTCTTGTCCCCATTATTCTTATTGTATTTTTTAAACATGCTCTAGGGTGTATGAATATTATAATAAGAATATGTTCTTCCAGCAGTAGAAATTCAGGAATATTATCTATAAAATTCAGAAAAATGTTGGTCAACTGTGGAACACAGAAAACATTTTAAGTTAAAAGATGCACAGTAAAGCCTATTATCTTAAATCTCTGAGACAATAGATCTAATCCTGTATTTAAGGAGCTTGAATGATTAGCTCAGTAAAACCATTCTGAGTTTGGGTCTATGGAACATTTTTAATCTAAGAAAGTGATCAATTTCTTTTAAAGCATATCATTAATATTGCACAAGTGTAAGATGATATAAACCTACATCTGCCTGCTTTTTTTATGGCTTAGGTTCGGAGTGTAAACTCCTCACACAGTTGTATTTGTGCAGCTTCAAACCTGTGGGACAAAGTTGGTGAAGAAAATGAAGTCAATCTTGTCAATGTGCCAGTAACTACTCCTGAAAATTTATATCTGATGGGTACGTAACAAAATGGAGAAATGCAGCCAAATGAGGAACAAGTTTGAGTTACATACCAGAATCATTGATTGCCTATTGATACGGGGACATATTATATGCATTGTTTTTCTTGTGACACTAAACTATGTGGGAGAGTAAGCTCTGAGGATGATGCAAAAAGATTGCAACGAGATATAGAGAGGCTAGGGGAGTGGGCGAGTCGGTGGCAGATGGAATTTAATGTGGGGAAGTGTGAAGTTATTCACCTAGGTAGAAAAAATATAAAAACAGATTATTTTCTAGAGGGGGAGAGATTAGATAATGTTAGTGTTCAGAGGGATTTGGGTGTCCTTGTACACCAGTCTCAAAAAGTTAGTTTGCAGGTGCAGCAAGCAACTAAGAAGGTGAACGGCATGTTAACGTTCATTGCAAAAGGTTTAGAGTACAAGAGCAGGAAAGTCTTGCTGCAACTGTATAGGGCCTTGGTGAGACCGCACCTAGAGTATTGTGTGCAGTTTTGGTCTCCTTATTTAAAAAAGGACATACTTGCCTCAGAGGGGGTGCAGCGTAGATTCACTCGGTTTGTTCCTGGGATGAGGGGACTGACCTATGAGGATAGGCTGAATAAACTAAGGCTATATTCTCTAGAGTACAGAAGAATTAGGGGAGATCTTATTGAAACATATAAGATTCTTAAAGGGCTGGATAAAGCAGACACTGAGGGACTGTTTCCCCTGGTAGGAGAATCTATAACCAGGGGTCACAGTCATAAAATTAAGGGTCAGCCTTTTAGAACAGAGTTGAGGAAACATTTCTTCACTCAGAGGGTAGTGAATTTATGGAATTCACTACCCCATAAGGCTGTAGATGCTCAGTCCTTGAACATCTTCAAGGCTGAGACTGATATTTTTTTAAAAAATAGAGGGATTAGAGGATATGGGGATAGGGCAGGTAATTAGTTACGTCAGAAGATCAGCCATGATCTTATCGAATGGCGGGGAAGGCTCACGGGGCTGAATGGCCTACTCCTGCTCCTAATTCTTATGTTCTTCTGTCCAACTATGTTTTGTCATCTAAAGTGTTAGATAATTAAAAAGTATTTGGTTATACATTTAGAGTACATTAAATAGCATTGAATTGAATTAGATGGTCTTATATCACACAGTGGCAGTATGGCACTGGGATCTGTGCAAACAAGTAAGAGGGAGCATGGAACAGTGAGATCAAAGCTGAGATTTAGAGGTTTTTAATAATACCAAGAACAAAACCGGATAGAAAACTAATAAAGGGAAGAATTGGAAAATTACCTAAGGCAGAGAGGAAGAACAAATATGATCTGGAGGGACAAGCCGTTCTGTGGACAGATGCCAGGTCAGCATGCTGGGGTTTTATTACACTCAGTCGCATCTAATTCATTCATACATAATTCAAAGTGCCACATAAAAAATCCATTTTGCAGCTCCATAAAAGAAGAAAATGCAGCAGTGTAAATGTGTCAAATGAATATTACACTCATATTTAGATTTTTAAAAAAAAATGGATTTCAAATTTGGTCCAAACCACTGCTAAAGATATGAATCAGAAACTTTGAATAGTTTAAACAAATTGGATGCAGATGCATTTGGCAGTCTGGTCGAAGGCTCTCTTTATCAAAGAAAGGGAGTCACGGCATCTGGCCGAATTGATATATTCTATTGTATCCTGTGGTGTTCAGATTTATCTGAATTGTTATTGCATAGATCTACAGTCCAGGAACCATTTTGTGTAACATTAAAAATAAATATTTTTACATGAATTTTTATTTGTGAGTCCAGAAACTTTAGATACCCACTAAGTTTAGTTGATTGAAGCCGCCACTGAGTCAAAAGATTGTGGGTACAAACCCCACGTACAGAATTTTAAATTCACATTCCATGCTGACACTCATTTAAAGTGTGGGGGAATGCTGAATTATTAGAGGTGCTGTCTTTCAGATGAGACGTAAACCAAGGTCCCATCTGCCTGTTCAGGTGGATGTTAAAGATCCCATAACATGTTTCGAAAAGAGAAGGGAGTTTCTCTCGGTGTCCTGGCCAACAATCTCCCCAGATAAAATTGGTGATTCACTTCACGGTTGTTTGTTGCCTATTGCCGACACAAAGTAGCTGCTATGTTTGTTTACCAAAATACACTTTGCAGTAAATACAATGAAACGCTTTGAGACACCTCCAAACATGAACGGCACTGTATCAAATTCAAGATTTTCATGTCATTATTTTTCAACATATACCAGTATATTAGGTAGAGAGACATGCAAGCTGCGCTTGTTTCCCTGGTGTGAAAACAATTCATTCGAAAGAATGTGCAGTATCACTGAGTTTGCGATTGATAGCACCTCCAACGTTACATCGAAAAATAATCTCAAATGGGTATTGATTTTCAAGAGATAGTGTATCGATAAATAAATGAACCTTGCATAGGCTTTGTAAGTTGAGGGCTTGTATGAATGCGCGTGCGTGTGTGTTTTTTTTTACTGTGGCTCTCTGCACCCAGCAGGAATGGAATTGTTTGAAGAGGCACTGAGGCGATGGGAGCAAGCCCTCACATTCCGCAGTACACAGGCAGAGGATGAAGCAAATTGCTCTGCTGTCAAACTAGGAGCAGGAGACACCATTGCAGAAGAAAGCATTGAGGTAAGCCTGAGCCAGAAGGAAGTCTCAATCCATAAAATTTTAAAGGGATGGATTGAGCACACCAGTGCTGCGCTGTGGAGTGATGGACTTTTATTTCAAGCAAGCCAGGGTTCATCACCGGGGTTTGGGTTTTTGTTGTAACTTTTATGTCATTTCCTCTGCCTTCGTCTAAAAAAAAATCTCAGAATGTAAATTATCTCCGTGCAATGCTCATTTCTGTAAGGGTGTGAAATGCTGGCAGTGTGAAAGTGGGTCTATTATTTGAGTTGTGTAATGCATGTGTATTACGTGAGTTGTATAAGCAGATGTAAATTACTACATAATTATGGACACTCTTATTCCCTCTTTACACCTGTTTTTCACACATGGTTTATATAAAATACCCAATAGACCCAAATGTGGTGGGAGCTTTTGTTTTGGCACCATCCCATTTTTGGCAAGTGTACAGTGAATCGTGCTAAACATAAGAGAGTTTAAAATCAGTTGCAGATCCCAAACTGGTTACCATTGAAGCTTCTCAATATCTACTTACTTCTGCCAGAGAATACAGGGGAATATTATCCTCTACTCTCTGTTGTTTCTGAAGCTCAGCGTATTCATGTAAAATATCAATTCCTACACACACACACACATATATAATATGTATTTATATATAAATCACATTCCATGGTACAAAATATATCTAGACCTCTATCTGCACTAATCAACTCACAGGAAGATACAAGTTAAAATCAGATATTTACTCAAAATAAAATCTTTTAAGGATCTGAAAATGCCGCAAAACAAGAGACCAAAGGTGGAGGAAAAAATCCGCTTTCTTCTGCAGGAAGTAGACTTCTAAATTTAGGAGCTAAACCAGAAGGTGACCAAGTAATCTTTCAGACCAAAAATAGGGCCTGAAATGTTGCAGACACCCAAAGGTCACAGAAAGAGATTGTGTAGAGATTTGCAATAATCTCCCAGGTTACAAAGGTGCTTGATAATACAATCATAGATTAAAGTAGCAGAGTGGATGGCATTGTTCTAACCTTTTTCTCCACTCTTATTTTGAGTATTTTCAAATGGGCCGCATGGTTCATCTTATTCTCCATGCTCCCCAGGGGAGTGAGTATTTGCAGCCCTGCATATGAAATCTTTAAAGTGTTAAATTTCAGACATGACCCATCTGAAAGCTCCTTCTCTGAGTATCAGTCAGGATCTTGAGTAGGTCATTACTTGCAAAATGAAGATGTACCTAAACATATAGGAGACTCTCATGATCAGGATGGAAGCCAGTGAAACAGCCTCCTGTGATTAACAGTGCAAAGTCATTTCTTATGTCATCTTCCTTAGCATTAACATTAAACAGGGCTGAGCTTCCTAGTAGTGACAGGACAAGTGAGTGTATCTGTCTAAATAGAAATAATCCAGCCTTCAGTCATTGATCAACAGCAGTTATCTGACTGGGTCCTAATTTCAGTTAGGATTCATGTGCATATCCAAGCAAATGCATTGTAAAAAGGTTTCTTCAGTGTATTTATTAATTGACAAATATGCCAGAGAATTAAACTGAATGATATCTGCCACTCATTGGAGGAAGTAAGATATTTCACACAGTTTGGGGCCACTTACCAGATTTGATTGACTTTCTGTAACACTGTATTTCCTAAACACAATGTTACAGAAAGGTCAAAAAAAAATCACATCTGTAGGCTAGCCATGCCTTCCTGCCTTTTACTTTTAATGTGATGACAGTGGTTCACTCATCTCCTCTGCTGTTAAGATGGCTTCTCTATTAACAAATCAATTCAGACCATCTGGAAATATTCCTTTTCTTGAGTTAAATTATTTAGCATCAGTAAAGTCTTACAACATGATAGTAGAATAGAAAAGTCTGGTGCAGTTTTTATGAACAGCTTTGAAGCAGCAGCTCTTAGCAAAGGTGGCACATCACATGTTTTGCTGCATACATTTGCCATAGCTTGAGACGGTGGACCACTGCTTATATTCGGAGTTGAAGGGTTTTCAATCCCGTTTGCAGATAAACTGTTGTAAGGCACTGATGGCAGTTTTAGGGGAGATAATTTGTAGAGACAGTTTTTTTCATATAATTTGTTGTAGTTGTGATCTGCAAATGGTAATGTCAGAGAGCAATCCTTTGCAGTGAAATGAACAACTTGGCAGATTTCTCCACTATACTATTTCACTGTTTATTTAAGGGCAGAAGTGCACAACATTAATGCAGTCACTCAAAATGATGGGTCGATTCTCTGTAGGATTCCAAGGAATGGTCCATGTAAGAAGAGGGCTTTATATTAACTTTTTTAATCCATAAAAATAGAAATTATCTGCAGCAATGCATCTGGATCTTAAACAGCTTTTATCTGATAGAACACAGAAAAGGGAAGTAGTAAGCAGCTTATTGCTTTAAATAGTCCAAGCAAATGGGGAGGGAGGGTAAAAGAAAATGTTGGCTGTAGCAAAGCTTTGCTTATTTTATTTTGGCTAAAAGAAATGCCATTATCGACAGGAACTGCAGAACTGCATACAAACATCACAGAAGAAATTACCACTGTGTGAACTCTACTCAGTTTTAAATGAAAACATTGAAAAGGTACTTATCTGATCTGGAAAACGAACTCAAGGATGTCACAGAAAAAAAGTTGTGACACTATTCATATCACGACCAGCATGGCTGCCAAACAGCTAGGTAAACTTAAGATGAATAAATCTCAGGGGAGGATAAATTGCATCGGAGCATTCTTAAGGATCTAAGGGAGGAAGTTGCAGAAACCTGCTTTATAAGGACAATTGAAACTGAAATTTTTCTGAACACTTTTCTCTTTTTCTCCACCCCCCCCCCCCCCCCCAATAGGACATCATTAGTGCAGAATTCATACATAAATTAGAGGCTTTGCTTCAGAGGGCTTATCGGCTGCAAGAGGAATTTGAGGCCACTTTGGGGGCATCTGATCCAGCTTCACTGGCAAATGATATTGGTAAGTCTGAGCTCCTCTAATTTATACAAACCATAATATTGTCTTGCCTCTTAGCTGAAAAATTGATGAAATATGATCTGAAAAGTGACAATTTATTGGAATGCATTTATACATAAAACAGCAATGAGTCTATGTACATCTAACAAGGGAGATGTTTGAAGAACTATTTTGAAAACCTCTTCACTCTCTCTGGTTTAGTGAGTACACCAAACCAATTCTCCCATTGGTGTCATAAGTGGATTATGTGTAATTAAATTTAAATAAGCCACAGAAAGAGGGAAAAAAATGTTGAAATTAATGAGCGTTCTTTCATATTGCTTTCATTTGAAAGGGCTGTTCTCCTTTCATATTGTTTTCATATTAAAGGGGCCATTCTCACTAGAAGTACACAGAAACACGGGGGGAGGGGGTGATCTTGGAATTTTTTTTGTAGTTTGGAAGGGTCATTTTCTGTTTTAAAAAGGGAGGCAGTAATTTCAACATGGTCAGAAGTTAGTGTTTGAAATAGGCTGACTACCCTTCTGCTTCTAGTGCTGTATTAGAACAATTGAAACAATCCCATTTTACACTGCTCCTTACTGCAGACATCACTGGTCAGGATAACCAACAACAGTAACAACAACAACAGAGTGCTTAAATATCACCCGACCCCAGTAATAATAATAATAATCCTTGCATTTGATATAGCGCTTTTTCATGTCTTCTAGACGTCTCAAAGCGCTGTAAACTGAATTGACTGTATATTTGTGGGCGAAATGCGGCAGCCAGTTGCGCACAGCAGTATCCCACAAACAGTCGTGACCAATTTTATTATTGTAAAAGTGTATTTATCGACAGCTAAAAGGCTTCTGGTAGAACTATGCTTTAGCCATGCTTGAGTGGGACTCTGGGGGCCGGGGAGGCGGTGTTTCTCCTGACCTCACTGCAGTCAACCCATGGCTGGAGGGTTTTGGGCTGCATTGGCTTAAGGGTTCATTTGATGGCCCATTTTTCAATCCGTAATTCTTAGTGTGGCTTTTGAATCCTTGGATAAAACCTGCAATCTAACTGGGCAGTTTGCTTCAGTCATCTAATCTCCCACAAATGCTTTGAATCCAAAAAAGCAAAGAGAAACTTGTGGTTAAAAGCTTTGATTGCTGGCTGGGCTAGGTAGGAAAATATTCAGATTAATGTATTTTAGTTGAGCTACTGCCTGTTGCTCAAGCTAAAATTCCAGTTTAGCCATGTTCTCATATTCATTTATTTATGCTCCTCACACCTCAAGATAAACCATCATCCTGCTGAGGACAAGAGACAAAGACAATATCCCGACGTGAGGTTTACAGTCTCTGAGCACAGCTCGTGTTCCTGTGCTCCCATACTCTGACAGACCTGCCTACAGACAGGATTAATTCTAAACTGATTCTAAATGTTACAATCTTGGTGCTGTGCATATTTCTGTAATCCTTGGTCAAGACATCTTGGTATCTGCTTGTATTTTGTCTTAGGCCCCTTAAATTGATCAAAATGGTTTTGTTAACATTTATTATTATTATTATAATGTCAAAATGTTTTTGTTGGTTCATCCAAAAGCTTCAGTACCTTTGATAAATTAAATTGATGTCAAGTGGCGATCTCCGGTCATTACTGTGTGGTCTTGCAATACCACACACAGGAAATACTTCTGACATCACTTTGAAAGAGAAGTAATGTAAGCAGTGCTTCATGCGTGTAGAATACATGCGCAGCACACAGCAAATTACATTAGTGGTACTTTCTGCGTGTAGCACCCTTCGCATACACAACACGCAGGATGTAACTCAGCAGCCCTGGAAGTCTGGCTTTTTTGTGTCTTTTGCTTACAAGGCAATCTCTGACTCATTAGACCTAAGTGGATGCGTTATAACAGTGGGTGGCCCTGTTCTAATTTCATGAAATACTCACCAGAGGGCAGCAGTGACCCCAGCTTGTCCCTGTTGCTTGTGCTGTGTCATTGCCTCACTTAACCAGGGATTTGGGGAGCCAAATTTGGAGACTTCCAGGCTGCCTTGCATTCTTTCTTGTCACCTGCTGTTTTAACTCAGCAAATAAGGCTGCTGTTTCGCAGCACACGGCTTGCTGTGCAGAGCTGCGGAATCTTTCATTGGTTTAGTATTTGTAGCCCAGAATGAGGATCCCAGCTGCTGCCTATCAGATTTTCAAATTTCCCAATGGGATTTATAATCTAGAATTAACAGGTTACAAGGAGGTGTTTCAATGCTTGAAACCACTAAAAATGTACATGCCTCATATCCGTTTATGCCCATTGATTTAACCTCAGCACCTGTTTCACTGAGAGAGAAAGAGAGAGCTGTGGCCAAAGAAATTTTCTTGCCCAACAAATGTTTCCCCCTCTCTCTTCCGAAAGGGCTTATCTCCTCATTTGTTTCTTTTGGGAGTAAGGTCCATTGCCAGGCTGCTAGGCACACTTGCAGTGCCTTATGTAGCCATTATTCATGTTTAAATCTTGCCGGTGAAGGTTAGGAGGGTATTTCAAAGGGGGATAGGGGGGAGGAAAGGGGATAAAATCACAGCCAACCCAATCATGCCCCCTCTCGCCATCTCGCCTCTACCTTAGCTTAATTTCCCTTCCCCATGCCAGGAATGCTATGGCCAATTGTAGTCCCACAACATTTCAAATCAGCACTTCATAGGCTGAGATTTCAACCTGAAGCCTTTGATGTGTGAGTTGCACACATGGATCAGGTCTTGTGATACTTTAAATAACACGATTATTCTTGATTAAGTATCGGGACTTCACAACACCCCTTTCCCCAGTAGCCTAGGTTTTATGCTGATATTTCTACGGCTCCCCAATTCCCTAAAAGCTCAAGCAGTTGCTAAACATTATCTGAACATTTTACTTAGATTACTGCCTTGTAATAACCCACAGTTCCATTACCTCCAACAATTGATACAGTGAAATTAATGAAACAGAGTTGTTTTGTTTTGGATCTTTTTTGCTGACAGCAGAAATGAACATTGTAAATTATATTTTAATAACAATTGAGCCACAAAACAATTGCAATGCGTAAACCAATGAGCAACAAATTTCAAAAGCGATCACTATGTTGATCAATTATTATTCTCTGTAACTTTCCATTTCCCCACACAGTAACCTTCTTATTTAAGAGCTTTCAGTTTATTTAAGGATTTATAATAGTTGGCTCCTTTTCTAAGAGATGTTTGAACAATGTATAGCTTCAAAATTAGACCACCAGTCTGTATTTAGTCTAATGCCACCAACAAGTCATGGATTGAGAAACAGTTTCTTACACTAGCTCCCACAGAGGCAAGGGAATGGTGACAGTGAGATCCTACCTAACCATCCTCAACATTTACAAAGCAATAAAAAGAAGTGCTAATGGTTTTCCTGGAGGCTGGGTGGACTGTAGGAGGTCTCTTGGTATTTCCATTACATGTTATTTGAACTTTATTCTTATTTGCTCTTCAACTCAATGCTGAGAGATTTGGATAAAACGCAGCTTTGATAAGTCATGCGTCCTGCACTAAAGAAGCTTCCTTTGGAGAAAAGTCTTAATTATTCTAATTACCCTTAAGATGCTTACAAACGGCTTGAAGAAGGTGACATTAATTTGAGGTTACAGACACAGCATTTTATTCTCGAGCAGAGCACATCCTTTTTAATTACATAGGAATGTCACCATTACCATTTAATAAAATTCTTCATTCGATTTCAAAGTATCTAATAATTCTTCCAGCTGAGTTGACCCTTCATCTTACCTGCTGAAGTGCGCACTTGGTGTGTAAGAAATCTCACCTACAGAAGACATTTAAAGTACCATTGGTTACTCACTTCTGTGCTGCACTCCAGTCAGTATTCAGTTCAGCCACTTAAGAAGAAGTTCTGAGAGCAATATCTGCCCACATGAGAGCGACTTATAATAATAATCCTTGCATTTGATATAGCGCCTTATCACATCTTCGAGACGTCTCAAAGCGCTTCACAGAATATACCATAAAGTGAATTGAGTGGATATTTTGTTCAATACGTCAGTTGTCCAGTGTATTTAAACATTTGGTAGAAAACTACTCTTGGTATCTTGATTAGATTTGTAACTTTGTTTCCTGTGGAAGTGACACTTTAAAGCTAAAGGCTCCATCAGCCAAACACTTTGACAGGATGATCCAAGTGATATGAGCAACATAGCTGTGAAAATTATAAGGGACTATTCTGGATCTTCCCCCTCCCCTGTGATAAAGATAGTACACTTTTTAAAACAATTATGTATGTGTAATGCTGTAGTCAAGTTTCTAACAAGCATTTTCTGCGGTTTTGTTTTCCTTTAGAATTTGCATGACTTTCTCTTGATCTTTTTTTCAAACGCAACTCTTAAAACAGATTACCTACAGTGAACACATCAATCTTCACTGTTATCCATAAATCACAAATGGGGGCCCAGTTTAATTGCTCAAAGCAATATCACAGAAGCAAGCTCTTTGATTTGTAAGCATGTATGGTATGTATGGAAGTTAGTGTCTGTGATGGGTTAAAGTGCATTCTTGACATTGCTGTATGTACTCTATGTTGACCAAGTCTCACCAAGAAAAGCAAAAGTTAATGTCTCCTGTTTGTGGGGAACGGAGTAAAAAAATAATGTGTTAAAGCATTACTATTGCAAGTTATAAACAGATTAAGCTTCCATTACTTTGAATCTTGTTTGACTTATTTTATGGGACCTCTTTTTGTTGAAGAGCATGCATTTTGCCGATGAAGATCTCCTGTTTCACTTTCAGGTTTACAAACAAACCTTTGCAAATACATGTTTGTATAAAACTAACCAAAAATCATGAGTTACTCAGGTTCACAAATTTTAAAACCACTGCTGGGAGAAGTACACAGTATTTATATTATGTGACTACTGAAACATCTGCCATTGTGCAGTGCCACAACCACAATCCAATGATGGTTTGTACAAGATGTCATGGTAGGAAGTAGGTTATAGGGAATCAGTGCATAATGTAAATCCAGCGTCAACATTCCATCAGGAGACAGGAAATAAATATTGCGTGGTTGTGACAGGAAACCTGTTTATATGTGCAGGAGCCTGGATCCAATGGGCTAATTGCTCATAGAACGTGGAGGTTAGACTGACTCGAGTGATTCCTGTGTTGGGAAGAATTGAAGTTGGCACATCCTTAGATGGAGAGCCAGTCACAGATTTCCTGAACTCTGCTGCCAGTATCTTGGCCTTTGGCTCTTTTGGGAACACATAACTCGTGCCTCTATGATGGTTGATACTGAAGACCAGCCTGTACAATATTACCAAAATAAGTTTGGAACACCTCCCTTCCTCTCCTGAAGGCATTCGACTCCTTTCTAGGTTATAGGTCTGTGAGCACCAGTTATCTTTAGATATCTTACCTAACGGTTATTTTTCATGAATTAGCCTCAACAGCCCCAGATTTCACTGAACTTTACAGTTCTGAACACCGTGGTCAGCATCTACAAGCAGGAAGGATGCTAGCCCATGCTTATTCTGAATGGCACCAGTGAAAGATGGTCCCACCAGATAGATCAACTAAGTGGGTCTTTATCAGCCAGACGTCGTGGGTCTCTGTGGGCTGTGTTTGCACCTGGCACACAGAGAATCTTTTCTCTTGGGGAGGAGAAATTCCTTGAGCTTCATTTTACACAGTCCTATTAAGATTAAAAGAACTTTTCGCTCTTTCCCCCCTTGGTACAGTGTTTTATCTTCAATTAATCTACATGTTGACAATTGCAGATGAAACTCCCAGCTGTCGAAATTTCTTTCCCTGCAAGTGTGTTTAGCATTAAACACTTTTAACCATTGTAGCGAATTTGGCCTTCAACAAAATATTGCAGCAACAAGAAAGCATTCCTTGCATTTTTGATAGTAATCTAAATAACTACACATGGTGTTTGGTAAATTTAGGGGCCGAAGCTCTTGAGCTGAACATTCACACATCCTACAAGGAAACATCAATCAACTGCATCCAGGTTCCGGCCTTCCCTGTTATCCAACATAATTTATACTAATAATACTTTTCAGACAATCAGGGCCTCCCTGACTTCCCATTCTGTGCTCCACTGGCTCTATAATCTATTCATCACTCATTTCTGAAAAATATGGATAACGACCCCTTGCCTCTCCTCTCCGCCTCCCACCCCACTCCCAAGTGAACTAGACCATGAGGGTAGCAACTGTATTGCATTCAATTCTGCAATTCATTTCCTCACTGCCTTTCAGTTTTTGATGTATCTACTAGCCTTGGCAATTTAGTACAGGTCAAATCCTTGAGTGCAGTTTCTTCTTTTCCTCCATATCCTCCAGATCTAAACTTTGTCTAAACTGGAAGCAGCTTTACATTCAGTACAATACCAGTACAAAACCATCCTTCATTTTGACAACAGTTTTGTTCACTCCTTTCCCCAGAATGCACATTTTTTTAACAAAAAATCTTTAAATATTATGTCCATGTATAAATCTTAAGAAGCAGAAGTTCACTCTGTACAAAATTCTGAAACTTTCAGTGAAAAAGGCCGTAACTCACGAGCTCAGCGTAGCTTGTGAGTTACCATCTGATTACAAGCTGGATGAAATAGCTTCCATCTTATTACTTATCTTTGGTACTACCGATAAATAATAAGATGGTAGCGATTTCAAACAGCTTGGAGAATCTGATACAATCTCCCAACAATTCCAAATGTTTTAGAGGAACACTGGGAGGCCTCTACACATTCTAACAGCTCATGTGAGCAGCTAATCTCACAAGCAGTTGAACTATTGTAACATTTTGATAAGGTTAGCATGGCATGGAAATCTCTGTTGAGTCTCTGACAAATTGCCGAGGAAAGCATAGCTCGCCAAGTCCAAAATATGCATAGACACATCCACTCTGCAAAACTACATTAGCAGTCTGAGCCTTGCTATGTGCATAGGATTATAAAAAGTAGACGTAACCTTCTGAAAATAGTTCTAGTTATTTAGATCATTTTGACAAGTGAGAAGAAGAAACATATTTCGGGTCAAGATGACTTCCTGGTGAAAATAGCTGCAAAGTAATCTCTGGATCTGGTCTGCTCCTTCGAGATTCTGTTTATTAGACTCATTTAAGCATTGACTTGTTCTGGACGTGTCGAAAAATCACAGAGGTAGCTAGATTTGGATAAGGCTCGGTGAACAAACTATTCCAAAGGGTGACTTGGCACTCAGCCCAATTACAATCTTTTTTTAGCAGAGCAACAGTAGCTGATACGAACTGCATGAGGTTGTTGAAAGTTGTCAACTGATGGAAGAGAAACAGAGACCCTCAACAGTCTATGTTTAATTCTGGGTAACCTGAGCTCAGAGCCCACAGCACAGTCAAGATTAAAATGGGGGAAATGAAGCACTGTATAGGCCAAAGTTGGTCTGTCACATTGATGTATTTGCTGATGCTTGTGTTCCACTAATTAAATGATGACCTTAAGGGGCCTTAACATTTTATATTCACTATTGTAGCATATCAGAGATAAAGACTGAGGAGATCAAGTTTTCTTGGCTGTGGGGGTGGGGGGACGGCTAGGAAGAGTTTCTCATTGAAGATATTAAATCACTGATCATTAGTGTGTGTATAAAAGTGTAAGTAAGCCAACGACTACCAGTGGAATTACAGCATTTAGACAGGAATGGTAATGAATCCCACTGGAATAGACCCAGAGAGGCAGGCATCCATTTTCATGTGGACACTGACAATGGTGTGCGGTTACAATGATAAATTCAATGTAAAATATTTTGGTCTAAGCTGAGCATTATATATCATTTAGACTGCCGTTATTTACAAGAGAGTCTAATCTTGTATACATGGCGGGAAACCTAATTAGAAAACACCAAATGCTCACAGCATAGGCTGTGTGAGATGAAGGTTTGACTGATGGAGCACGAGGCTTTGTCGTCAGAACACTGCAAATTGAGACACTGATGTGCTGTGAGTGAATGAATGGAATGCAATGATCACGTGTGGGCTATTGTTTACACCCAGCAATAATAACTTGGCGCCAGTATTAATCCTTCGTTGTAACCAAGTTATTTTGAGGGGTTTGTGCTGTTATCTCGTGACGAACAGTAAAAGTGAGGGGTCAAAAGAAACCAGAGTCATTTGTAACAAAAGAAGGCTTAGGAAATAATGTCAATTAATGGGAAAGCATTTTCAATACAGCAAGGAACAGCGGCCGTTTGGTTCAGAAATAGCAGGCTTGATCTGCTCCACATTTCTCAACTCAGCGCTTTCAGAGAATGAAAAGCAAGCCAGATGCCGTTCTGTAAGTGCAGTTGTTCAGTGGTAACCTGTGGTTGACACCTCCACAGTGTGTATCAGAGCCTCTGCCCATCCAAAATATTTAGGTCATTGAAGAGACTGAATACCGAATCACATTTCTGCAAATAAATCGGATTTTTAAAAGTAAAAATAATATGCAGTACATCAAAGGGAGGATCTTTTTCCTTCAAATGTACTAATCATTGAATGTACCTCTATAGTCTATACTGGCAAAGTTACAAAACGTCCAAGTGTCACAGTGCTAACGTCAACACTTGTCATTGGAAAATGGGAAAAGTTCCCGTGGCAGTTTGTTAAGTTATGAAGCAGCTGATAAAGAATGTCAGTTTTAGCCAACTCCAGTTGTAAATCACTGCGCAGCTTCCTGCCTTCAGACGACACTTACAATGTGCAAAGAGCTACCTGAAACAGATGTGGTCATCCAGAGCATTCCCTTTCAGTGACAAGTTTCCTATTATTCTAGTGCATTAGAAACTTCAGTATCATCCTTTAAAAACATTTGAGTCAGTTGTACTTTGTTCTGAATTTATTCAGATAATTCGCACAAGCTTATTACAATACGCCATGTGTGCTGAACTCCACTTCTCTCCCCCAGACTGTTCTGAAGACATCTTGTAATTATTAAGTGTGATGGGGAGCCTCAAGAGCACGTTCATTGTGGGGGTGGGGGGGTGGTCAAATATCTTGACATGTTGAGGGCACAATCCTCAAAATACTTAAAATCAAGAATAAAGATCAAAAATAAAGTTTGACTTTGAATTTCTCATAGCTGAAATTCCATAATATTATACTCATGTATATGCTGAACCTTTTAGACTCTAGATTAATTAATTCTTATTTAGTATGCTTGTCGTATTATCCAGCATCACACTTCCTGTGCTTAAGCAGGCAGCGGACAAGCACTTGGGCCCCTCTGGCAGTGTTTTTGGTTGGTCTATATCTCTTATTTCTCCTTCACTGCTGCTCAGCACATTCCCACAACATACTACAAGATCAGAAATGTTTAGAGTGGATGGACAGGAAGAATTCATCCAGCCTCTTGGTTCTACAGTTGGGCATTGTTGAACAATGGACAAATTAACTATGTTTGACAATATACTGTTTGCTTTTGATGTTGTGAAAGAACATCCACTGGTTGCATATTGACACTTTACATCCATGGCCTAATGAGGCCCTGGTTTTGCATGAAAATCACACGAACCAAAGGCCGTAGTTACTGCATTAATCCTATTGTTTTTTGTGACTGTGCTAAAATGGAACCTAATCTGGGATTTTTCTCATTACAGACAGGGAGACTGACATTACTGTCAAGGACGATACTGATGATTTCTGTCTGAGAGATACAACGAGCATTGCATCCACAGATTCGTTTGTTTCAGCGGCTGAGGTGGGCACATTGCTTACATTAGGCTTCAATTTGCAGGTCATGTTAACCTTGCGTAAATGAAAAGGATCAGAGGTTTACATAACAACTTCTAATCCTTTTCATTAGTTGTTAGTCTTGAATGAAGGCAGATGCGATTGTCTGTACGTTTACACATGAGTTACGTTAGACCCCATTACCTCATAGAGATGATATCTATTTGAATTGGTCAAGATGTTAGGTTTGGTGTTTGAACTGCACAAAGGCATGCATTGGTGGTATATGGTAAAGAGAGGTGACAGGGTATTGAGTTCAGATATTATGACAGGAAAGTAGTAAATAGAACAGTAAGTTATGAGAGTATTGACCCCTATCCTCACCCATCCATGGCCCAGTCTGTCCCATCTCCCAATGTGACATTCCTATCAACAGTGTTGGTGTGGGAGGTGGGGGGGCGAGAAGAGACAGAAAATAAATCTGGAATTGAAATCCCGCCAGTAGATCATATTTACTGTCTCCAGCAGGTGAAGATCACAGAGCAGTTGGTGAGACCCCGTCGTTAGTGTTGTGTGAAATAAATTAGCTCTGCATCTTGTTCTTGCTAGATATAACCTGGCAGTACTTGATGTAGGCATAGGCGTAAAGTGTAGAGTAAAGCCTTTTCAATTTGCAGCACTGATATCTTTTAGCTTTCTGAGCCCCCAAATTTCACCCCTACCTCAGAGTGCCGTGAGCTTAGTGCAGTAGAGTAATCTGATGCATCATCTTTAAAGCCAGAAAGCATCATTTCACACTGCTAGGCCTTTGACTTTTGTGGCTGCACAAAAATGCTGATGAGCTGAATCTGAGCTACTAAAGGTTACATGCAGTGGCAATGTTGGCTTGAAACCCGACAGAGTACAAAATAGGGGGTTCCAGGTGAAAAACGGGTATGAAAAGAAAAGCTTTGGATTAAAAATTAAAACAAAAATTGCTAGAAATCTACATGGGGTAAATTATTCTAGGAGAAAGATAAGTTAGTGTGTCCTTTCAAGTATGACGGAAATGATATTCTGAGTTGAAAGCACATGTTGCTTTGTAAAAAAGGGAGGATTCGATTGTAAGCACCTCTAATCTGACCTTAAACTGTTTTAGACTGACCTTATTTGGAGAAGTAGCTATACCTGACTGGCAGATTGCCCTGTAACAGCATACTGATCTGGAAAAAGATGCCACATATTTTCCGGATTATAACTTGGTGCAAATATAAAGGGTGACTGAAGGCGAGTGTTGAACAGTAAAGGAAACCCCAGTGTGATATCGAGCCACGCATCATCCCAAATACTATGAGACGGTTTATTTTTCGATGAATCACCACTCAGAAGTTCTCAGTATCGCGCTAGGATATGGACATTTAACATTATATTTAAAATAAATGATACATTAATGGCCCTGTGCTGCCCACTCCATGATGCATGGAACAGCTCAGGTAGTTTCTTGCTGAGACAGGGCCTAGTCACTTACTGCTGAGCACAAGCAGAAACTAATACATTGGTCACACAATGCATTTCACTGGCCATCTACTGCAAGAAAGAAAGTGCAACACAGGGGCTTAAAAAAAAACTTCCAAAACTCCCTCTGTAACCAACCTCTGTGTAAACAGAAATACAGCGTCTTTCTCATATATTAAGAGCATACCTCTGACAGATTTTAACAGATGGCTACAGACAGTTAGCTAAATATATAATTGCAACGCAGCAAAAATCAGAGGCAGTAAAGATATCCATGAGCTTTAAATGTTTTGACTGTCTTACTGGAATGTTTGGAGATGGCTGCTCCTGCTCTGGGCTTTACTAATGGAATGGAATTCACACTGGACAGTCCGTTTATCATATATCAGTGTACCTCCCGCAGACACTGTAGATTCTGCAATAAAATATAACTGGGTCTTTAAGGCTGGACTGCTAAACATAAATATAGCACAGTGAAGTAACATTTCACTCCCAAGCTTCCTGTTTGAAATAAAATGTCCCGTTTACTGAACACTTGCTAAGGCCCTCAGTTAAATTATTTTTATAAAGATGCAACACTACACTCAGATCTTTCATCTACTTCCAACAAAGAAAAGTAAATCAATGTCCAAGTTACTGTTTTGAAGTAAAAAACAGCATCTTAAATGATAAAGTGGTATATCACTCAAGGAATTCTACAGTTTATAACTGTATTGACGTGTTAGCCTGGACAATATGAATTCAATGTCCCAATTTTATCCCTCTATTTGTAAATACACAAATGACTTGCTCAGCTGAGTTGAGGCAGGATATTAAATTCTTGCTTCTCTGAGTTAGGGGCAACCCATTAATGTTTGTACAGACAGATTAATGATGTATTTAAGTGCACCGATCTACTGCCTACGTTCTGTTCATTTATCCTGCAAACGCTGTGGTTACAGAGTATGAACCGACCAGCTATCCAGAATTGTGTGCATAAAAGGTCAAACTGAATTAGCATTAGGGTCGTTAAAAAGATGTACCAGATCACATCTGCTACGCATTATTTTAAAACGTAAATCCTTATGTGGACATTTTGGTCAGAATTCTCTCCCATTTACTATGCATGGAGGATGAATTCCAAACGATGTGTTGAATCATTAAATGCCACAAATAGTTTGTACTCCATTATCAAACTGTTGATGCACCACAGACCAGTCAGCTTTAAGAATTACTCAACGTTGGTAGGTTTCATCAGTCTGACCGAATGTCATGAACTCTTGACAACCTTGATTATGTTTTCACAAATATTCATTTACTTAATTGGCTTAAGAGTAAATTTTAATTATTGATTTCACAAATAGCTGCCTTCTAAAATTATGAATACTGTCATCTACATGCGCACACCATTCGCAAATTAGGAATAAACTACTGATAAAGTGTTCTAGATTTGTGACCTAGATTTCACAACAAGCATAAGTAGGGCAAAAGGAAATCCAAAAAATCTGGATCAATTTAGCAGAAGGCAAAGAAGAGGTAGATCATACTTTAGTGGAGATAAATATAAGGTAACATGTATTGGAACAAGAAACAGTACATATACATTCAAAGGACAATGTGTGTGCAATGACGGATTAATGATGCATCTCAGTAGCCAAATAAGAGCAACAAGGATGATTCTAGGTCTTAGAGCTCCAGGAGAGGAGAGGTTTGCAGAGCTGAATTTCCATTCAGTGAAGAGAAAAAGATTTCCAAAAGATTTCACTCAAGATCCTTAAAAACCATTAGAGGGATAAGCATATCACTATTTTTAGTTAGCTAGGAAGACTGGCTATGCAGTGATAAGATGAAATCACAGAACACAATAACCATATAACACAATAGCCTAACATTGGTGTTTAGCTTTTCTAAATAAGATGTAAATTGGACCAATTCATTATGAACACAAATGTTGAACTTTCTGTTCTATTATATTAAAGTAGACACCATGGACATTTCTCAAAATGACATTTTAAAACCACAAATTCAACCATATCCAAGAAGAAGTAAACACAAAGTGTGGCATTGAGTCAACGTGATAGTTTCCTTATTAAGAATATATAGTGATTTCCAGATGACACGTTAGCTGGAAGACAAATGGGGTTGAAATGTATGAATTATTTTTGCAGTTTGTGCAGGAAGATTTTTTTCCCCTCTGATTCTGGAATATCTTTGTAACCATATATGAGAAACTATGTACGACCATTTCCTTACTTCAATCCATTAAATGCTTTATTCATTTTTGTCCAACACCTTTACTTAAAAATGCAACCTTATCTAACATTTCAGGATTCATATCATACCACTAAACGCAGCGTAAATTACAGAAAAACTGCAATTGGCAGGAACATGCAAGAGGTCAAACTTGCAGAGCAGCACATTCCAGTCATCATAATTTAGTCTGTCTACTGTGGGTCTTGTTTTAGACAATATGCTTTAACCAGTGATCCCTTAGATAACAACAGTCACTCAAAAGATAATTGTTTATTTTTGACAACAGTCACCAAATCAACCTTCACCGTCTTTTTATTAAAAAGTACTGCACTTACAATCAGGTATATTCTTCAAATAAGATTTCCATTTTATAGCAATGTTGAAAAAGCCAAGTTGGGTGATGCTAAATTAGCACTTAAATCAACACCATAAACTACCAACAAAATTAGCATTTTAAGGTGGCAATAAAAATTTTGGATTTGATTTTGGACCATAACGGACAAAAAGCACAGCATTCTTTGCTTGATTAACACACTCACAAAACACTGCTAGAATGGTTCACGATGTGCAACTTCAGTAAAGTGGTTGGGCCAAGAACTATATCAAGTGTTTTTTATTAGTGAAAATGGATCACTTTGTAAGCATAATTGTAGTACTGTAGCATTGATGGAACTAAGATACATTAGTACTGTGTATATAAAATAATGTCTGCACTGAAAATCTAAGATTATGGGCAGCAGTCAGATCATGATTTATAAATTCATGTTGCTCAATTTCTGTGCAATTTCAATGGATTGTGAATAATGATAGGACAGTAATGTATCTGATTTCATCACTGACCCCATTATTTCTTTTAATGTCTTCTAAACACATGGTCAAACATGACTGATAATCTATCTTCCCTGTAATGTTCTTCACAGCTCACAGAACACAGGGAGACGAGGAATTGTGCTTATGGGCTTGGGTCCTGGTGTCACCTGCCTCTCTATGAAGCAGCAATGCATTTAGCAGAAGATGGAAATGTTTCTTGCAGAGTGCTAAGGCAAGTAACTCTATCCTCGGGCTATCGTTTAGCACAATGTATTCTTCATCTACAAAGACTAGCATCAAGTAGACAATGATTTTGTATCAGTCCCAAATATTGATGATATTGTAATGAGCCAATTCTGTGACTCAAATTCTTTGACAAGGTGTATTTAAATGCAAACAACATTTATCTTTGTCTTATCATCTTCCAGAATTTACAAGTCACTGTTTCTGATTTTAATCCGGCTTTCTCCCACAGGACTGAGCTGCTCGAATGCGTGGGAGACAGTGATTTTCTCGCAAAAGTACACTGTGTGCGTCAAGCTTTCCAGGTATTACTTTGAAAGAATGAAATTAGTATGAATATAAACTCATGTCACAGAGGTTAAAAAAAAGGAATCCTTCTCACTTGTAACTGAGGAAATAGAAGTTTGCTTATTCAAGAGGGAAAGCAGTTTCCATTAGGAAATTGAGAACATAAATGTTACTTTAATTAATCAAAATTCATTTTTAAGAACTGAAACAACATAAATTAATGAATTTTTAGGCAATACTGGGTAGCCACAGTAAGCAGACCACGTCCCCTACATTATATTGGGACGTCCTCCTGACGTGAAAGGCGCTTTATAAATGGAATCTTGTTGTTGTTGTTGTTGTATATAAGGTATAGTTGATACAGCAGAGACAGCCCTGCTTCTAACAATTAACTCTCAACAGGAATCTCCTGCTATATCACCAAGACAGAATATTATCTGGTGTCAAAAGGACACCAGATATTATACACAGACAGGTTTTCTCATGGTCATGTGCACAGAATTGAATATACTTATTCCTGCAAGAAATGTACTTCTATTGGGAGTGCATTTCTTGCAGGAATAAGTCGATTCAATTCAAGCTGGTTGGTCTCAGCAATTTATTTCAGAGTACCTTGATAGAATTTGAGTGTGTATTCATGGAGCCTTGTGCCCTGTTAAACAGCTGAAAACCTTGTTTGAGGACTCCCAATATCTTTACCATTTTTCTTTTAAGCTCAATCACCTTCGATCTCCTTTCTAAAAATGGATATTTGATACTTAAAATTATCAAAGTTAAAACATATGGGCAGAGGGTGCTTTTTTCCTTGTCTAAGAAAATGATGTGCTGAGTTTGGCCAGAGAGTCTTAAAATACAGTGGTACGCAGTAATGTGCACTAGATGTGGAAGCTCCCAAACTGTCACTTGGTTGATAAGGAGGCATTTTGCACCTTCATGTTAATTAAAAAGAGAATGACACCAGCCACTGCCACCAACTCCCTCCCCCACCTCCCTGGAACTGAAGAGCAAAGTCTGTGTGGTATCATTTCCAGAAGGTTAAATCTTGAAGAATTTTGACAATATAATTATATATTAAAGTAATTTAAATTTGGCCAAACTCTTACAATTTGTCACGTAGATGTAAAAGGATGTTTTCATGTTTAATAGTGTATTTCTTGCATGTTTTTCAGGTAATTCTTTCCGATGCAGCAAATGCTAAATATTTTGCTGAGACTGGAAGAAAGATCCTGTCGGCTATCATAATGAAAGCGCACAAGGTATGTTATTTTATAATTGTTTATTTTCCCCAAATCCCTACCTACATCATGCTGGAGTACAGTTCCTACAGGCACTAGTTAATACCTTGCTAAAGTGGCAATTATTATTATTAATAATAATAATCCCTGCATTTGATGTAGCCCCTATCATGTTTGGAGGATGTCTCAAAGTGCTTGACAGGTTTTACTGTAAAGTGCAGGAACTGCTTATTTTGTAGCCAAGTATGGGAACACTCCAGTTGTAGCAAAGTTAAGAGAAAGATCGGCTCAATTAAACACAATTGTTTTCTTAAAAGAAGCATTTCAGCAGTCTTCAAATCACCCAAATTAAAATTATTTTAATTATGGCATATTAGCTCCTTAAGGAGAAAGAAATCACAAAATCTAACCATAGCTCAATTGGTAAGACTTTTGCCTCTGGATCGAAGCATTTTAGGTTCAAGCACAAAATCAGGTCTTTGAAGTAGTGGGGAGTGCTGCATTGTTAGATACGCCATCCTTCAGATGAGATGTTAAACTGAGTTCCCATCTGTTGATCTGAGAGGAGTTTTACGATCCTAGGCACGATTTATCAAGAAAAGTGAGTTTCTCCCAATGTACTGCCCAACAATTCTGTAGATAAGATTGGTCATTCACTTCATGGCTGTTTGTGGAACATTGCTGTGCGCACACTTGCTGTTGCCTTGAACTACAACTACAGGAATTACCTTTGAGGTGGCCTTGCGATGTGAAACACACAATATCAAATACAAGGATTATTGGACCATATTGTATTGCTACAAATCTAATTAACAGACTTAAATTGTCTCTTCCATCTGGGTGGGAAATATGTTTATAAAGAATTTTGATTAATTCTTTCTGAAAATTGAATACAATCCAATATGTTCCAATAAATCTTCTTACCAAACAGATTGCAGTAAATCAAGGAGAAAGCAATACTGATCTGCTGACATAATGCAGTCCAGCTGGTGTGTATAGTCAGAATTAGTTTTTGAGTTTGACTATAAATATTGTATATAATATTCAATTCCAATTTATTCGAAGTTTGACGATAACATAACCAGAAAGAACTTGAATTTTTATAGTGTTTTATCACGCCAAAACATCTCAAAGCACTTCACATGGAATCACTGTCAAGTGCTGGGATCGTTTTTGTAGGCAAACACATACGCCATTTGCACCAACAAGGTCCCACAATCCATGAGGTGAGGATCATTAGCCATACAACAGGAAAAATTTGATTCTCTTTTTAAATAGTATCATAGGATCTTTAATGTCCTCAATTGATAGACTGCAGGCACCTTTGACAACGCAGCACAGCTGCCTTGCATTGCACTGGAGTGTCAGCCAAGCCTGTGAGCTTAAGCCAAGTTTATACATAAATAAAATACAATAATATTCCTTGCATTTGATATAGCGCCTTATTGTGTCTTCGAGACATCTCAAAGCACTTCACAGAATATACTGAAAGATGAATGGGCTGTATATTTTGTGGGCTAAATGCGGCAGCCAATTGCACACAGCAGTGTCCCTCAAACAGTCATGGATTGAGTGACCAAATTATTGTTTCATTTATTTGAAGGGATTATTCCCCCCAGAAAAGTGATCCGTCAAGCGACTAACAACTGGGTTCCTATTTACTGCTAGGTAAACACGATTATGGAGTAAGGAAACTTGCCCAACATTTCACCCAGCCTGGGAATCGAACCCAGCTTGCGAGGCGAGTGCTGTAACCACTAAGCTACAGGATTCCAAAATAGTGATTTAAGTCTAAACGTTGGCTTGTTATTCTAGAATCCCAAAAGGTTTGAGGAGGTCTTTGAGGAGATGATGTACTTTCTACAGCAAATGGATCACTGGGAGACAACTCAACAAGAACTCGCTACAAGAGGGGTGAGTTTTACACAATCTGGCTCTTGGGAGCTGTCAACATCCTTACCTGCTGGCAGTATAAGGGTTAAAATCTGGCACCTCAAATAAATTTAAAATATTTTGAAAAGGAATTAACAAGTCTACGAAGTGAATAAAAAATATTTCCGTATATTGAAAACACTTTCAAGAATTTCTGGCAGAAATACCAAACCATCATGAACTACGCTGGAGAAATTAAATGCATTTCAGTCGTTCTTGGCAGATTGGATACATACTCTGTACCACAGGGAAAATAAACACATCTTTGCAAGTTATCAGAGTGCTTTACATTTTTGTTACAGATGATCTACTTTGTCTGGGAATGGTGCAATAATTAATGGAATACTCTTCAATTACGCCCTGTGATGATTATCCCTGCGTATTCCTTAAGACCATTTTAGGATCTTTTCCTTTAAGTGTACACTCACTGTTAGTCAGCAGTGGTTGGTAGCATGCAAGTGTGTGTCCCCTTTTGTATTCATACAAATACTTGTACTTCACAAAACAGGTTAAACATCTGAACTTTTATGATGTTGTCCTTGACTTCATCCTGATGGATTCCTTTGAAGATTTAGAGAATCCGCCTACTTCCATACAGAATGTAGTCAACAACCGCTGGCTTAACAACTCTTTTAAGGAAACTGTGAGTAAAAAANGGCAAATTTAAATAATGTTACCTATGAGTTATGCTGTAATTTGATTTTTTTCAAGAATTAATGTGATGTGCTTTATTAGTAAACAGATGTGGTTTCCGAAGTTCCATCTCCCACTATTGTATATGTAATGTGTCACTCTGGCTTGAGAAAGCAAGTTTGATTTCAGGCATGATATTAGCTGAGCAATATTTCAAGACTGCTTTCTTTGCAATGGGTTAGTACCTTATATGGACAAAACTGGATTGCTAAAGCTTAACCATCCAAACTATGCTAGTTAAAAAGGCCAAGTTTCATCATAACCAGTTCACATACCTCTGCTGTGTGGTTTTGGTTAAAGCAGTCTTAAGTATTCCTAGATATATTGCTTTGAACTTGGCATCAGATTCAGTTTTTTTGGCCTCAATCCTGGATTTGTATCTACAAAACTGTTTTCTTACCATGGTGTACAGCCTGTAAAAAAAAAACCTTCAGATTTCATTTTGAAATAAACTATGAATGCTCAAAAAATGTACAAACTAACAAATGAATTTTTATACATCATATACGTTATATATTTTGTGGATATTTCATTCAATGTCTGAACCTATGATTTAGTTTTTCGGGTTTAAAAGGACACCAGAACCAGGCAGTAGGAAGGAACAGGTACACAAACAATTTATAAGGCAATGGAGATTACCTCTGCATTGAAAGCATAGTTCATTTCAACTGTGGCAGTCGAGTTCTATACAATAGTCATGTAAATTCAATAATGCAAACCTAACATATCATGTTTGTCCAATAATCAGAAGTTATTGTAAGATAGTAATTGCATGCCCAGTTGTTAAAATACACTATATGCACGCTGTACAAAAACCTTATAGTAATTATAAACATAGAAGGTACTAGACAAAACATCCAAACTTGCTTAATAATGCAACCTTATTAATTCATATGAATAGTAGATTTTTAGTTCAGTTCTCCTCCCAAAAGTCTGTTATTTTGTAAAGAACAGTCAAATTCCCATTTCTTACCTTCAGTGATGAAGATAACTGTCAGTCATGTTGGGAATTAGTTGATTTCACCCAATGATCCTGTTGATTAATTTCAATTGGACTGAAACATCGGGAATGAAACAACATAATTAACTCTCGGTAGGAGACCTGGAAATCAATACATGCGAATTATGAAGACATCGCTATCAGAGCAGGGAAAATCATGTGCATTTCTAAACAGATTCAGTGTTTGACAATTCTCATTCTATCTTCACAGGCTGTGGCTTCAAGTTGTTGGTCAGTGCTGAAGACAAAGAGACAGCATCTGAAGGCAAGTATTGACCCTCCCCTCCCCACCCCCACCTCCTAGAAACAGTGAATGGAAGAATAAAGTATCCATTCATCGTTTTTTTTTCTCTCTGGCTTCTCCATATATATATATATATTTACAACTATTGTACATACACCGTGCATCTCAGCCTCTTTAAAGCAGGCAATGTAAGTTTCAAACCTTCCAATTTTTACTCTGCAAAAAAGGTAGCAACTCCAACTGGCCAGTACAGTACTTGCGGTGATGAGTACAATCAAGACAACAAGTGAGGGGCCAATGAAATGTACACTACGTGTTTCTAATGGAACATCATTCCACAAGACCTTTTGTGAATCCAGCCCGGATTTTAAGGCTGGATTTGAATGGAGCGCAGTAAAGCAGCTGAATCAACAGAATTTTCACCATGACATGAACTCACTGTACCAGAGCAAAACTTTAACTGGTTTCCAAATCGAACAATTCAGAGAAGTTCCTCTGAAAACAATTAGCCAGCGCCTTCCTGCAATGTGTGTACAAATCTAAAGACATCACTTTCATCAAGAATAAAAAGCAAATTTAATTCTTGACTTTTTGATCAGAATAAATGCAATTATTTTGAGAAGATTACTAATAACAAAGTAAATTCATTGTTGTTTACATATGTGGGTCAGAGTCATGAGCTCATATTAGTGCTGTCTTCCAAGTACATAGTTCTGAAACGAACGGAAACCTGTTTTATTCAATGATCCTTTTTTCACTTCACTTTCCTTCCATGTCGTGACTGGAACAGGTGCCTGATGGATTTATTGCACATTTCTATGCTGTTTGTGAGCACATTAGCCCAGTCTTAGCTTGGGGATTCTTAGGACCCAAGAATTCAATGTATGATTTGTGCTGCTTCTTCAAGGTATGTAGATTCTAATTTCCCCAAAATCCATATTCTCTAAAGTTGCTAGTAATGTGATTGCAATTTCTTGTGTATCTATTTGCATTTTATACAAGCTAAAAAGCTAAAGTATTAATTGTTGGTTCAACACTTGGGGCACAGACTATTATGCACCATGTGTAAACCATGTGTACAGAGGGAATTGCAAATCTTCTGGATTATGTAATTAACCAAAGAAAAGCATTGGTTATCAATTGGATAATACGTTATTAGTTGTTCTTACATTGCTGATGTGAGATGTAGATGCCTGGCCATTTGGGAAACCCATTCACATCAATAAGAACATAAGAAGATAGGATCAGGAGTAGCCTATTCAGCCTATCGAACCTGCTCCATCACTTTATTAGATCATGGCTGCTCTGCAGCCTAATAATATTCTCCTGCGCTTTCAACATATCCCTGTCTGCCAAATACTTACCTAGCTCCCTCCTTGTAAATAGGTAATGGACTTTTTCAGAATGAGGTTCTTACCTTCAAAAAAGTTTGCAATTTATTTTTTTAATCTCTCATTTCTGGTGGTCCAATTGACTTGACTTATGCAATGGTAGTTACAAATACAATTTATACAGTGTCTTGCACATCGGGAGGATGTCTTTAAACACTTAAGCCGGGGAGTGGAAGCCAAAGGGGTGGGGATGGGAAAAGTATGAATGTTTAATTAAATACCTTTTTCATGCATAAGGTTTGCAAAACTTAATATCGAGCATCTTAAACAATAGTAAATCCTAATGACATTCTTTGTTACACACAAACCAATTCAGAATGAAAGGTTACAGGCAATAAAACTATTTCTTTATGTTTTACAGGAACAAGTTCTTTTTTTCCTGAAAGACATCTTTGATTTTGAAAAGGTGAGATACACCAGTATTGAGTGTCTTGCTGAGGATATCTTGCACCTAATACAACGTCGCACAGAGCTTCTGATGGCTTATCTTGGTGCCGATAGCCTGAAACAATTCAACGGGTGCATTGGTGTACACGGATCTGTCCTGCCCAATGGGTCTTTGGAGACACATGTTCAGTAAATTAAACAACACAGACTCACCTTCAATTCATTGTGTGAATAAAGTAGAGTGAAGATAATTTATTCTTGTTCAACAGGAAATTCTTGGGAGCCTTAAAGAAGCACAGCTAAAACTTTCCTGGACTCAGACTATCGAATATGTTGACTATATTTAATTGTAGACTCAGGGAGGTTTCCAAAGGAAAAGATCCAGGATTTTACAAAGTCTTAGTATTGCTTTGTAAGGCTCTGTCCGCATTGATTGTAAACTGTAGATTCAGCAATTTATAAAGGAGATTTAATTGGCCTTAGCATATATTTGCAATCATTTTACCTGCAATAAAGTTTGCGAAACCTTTATTTGTCTGCTTTTTTTTAATTGTTTAGTCATGGGATTGAAACAGTAATTCTATAGTTCTTCTAAGTGGGCAATGACTTAAGTGTTGAGTTTTGTCTACATTTATAATGGTCCATAATGTGACTGTGTACACCTATAAAATCTTTCACAGCACTTTCATATCGAACACAGAAAATGCACAAGATTAAATTTCTAATCTCAATATTGTTACTTGAATGTTATGTTTGCTAGTGTTATGTAATGAAAGTGCTGCTGTGAATATACTATACGTCCTTTAAGAACACTGACATGGCATTTTAGTATGAGATGGTTGCTTAAGTGAATAAAGTTCACACATATATATATCTATATTTTTAGAGCTTGACTTTATAGGTTGATGAAATGTCTCAGAAAATGTGCTTCTTATTTTCAAGGATTTCTGTCATCAACATTTCTGGTGCTCAGCACTGGTCTGTAAAAGCGTTATGTGTTCTCGCTCAACCACAACTGCAGGAAATAAAGCACTTTAAAAAGAAAGTTGTCTATTTTTGTTTTGTTAATTTTAATATGTGCGGTTTGATTTCTAATTAACATCATTGTGCTAAGCTAGCTGATCTTCACCAGGGTGCAGTAGTACACTTACCCTCAGTGTCTCTGGGCTAACTAGGTGTGTGTGTGTGGGGTGGGNGGGGGGGCAGAACAGCCAGGATTCCCACTACTGATCACTCGCCAGTGATTTTTGATGTAATATGTGCGAATGGTATCTGGTGAGGATAACTTTGGATTGGACTGTGCTGCTCCCAATGAATGAAAAGTCTGCAAATACTCACCATCTTGATCCACGCATGAAGAAAGGTCATTGGAATGCAGTACCAGAAAGTGACCAGGACACATAGAACTGTACTGCAGCTTTCCGTACGTGTTGAATGTTAGAGGAAGGAAAGAGAAATGTGTATGTTATTTCATCTCCTATATAAGGTGAGGCTTATAAACCCTTTCAAGCTTGCATCCCCATGGATATCATTAACACTCCTTAAATGTTGATAAGGGAACTGCAATGGCTGAAAAGGCAGAAAAAGGGATGTTCCAACATGCTTTAATTTGTAAATATGATTCTGATGAGACTGCTTCACTTCCCATGTCAATGTCTGCTCTCTGAAGGAGACCTGAGTCCTGGACATTACCAATGCCCTGCCTACTCTTAACCATTAGGAATGACATGCAGTGACTCACCACACAACTCTCTTGCTTGAGAAGGATGTATTCATGTTTCCTGAGATTAGAAACTGATGAGCAAAGTCCTGGGTACATAGCTACCTGGATCTCTGGGCAGAGCACTGAAGCAATATGTTGCACCATAAAATAGTTTCTGGGAATAAAGGGAACCAGCATTTTTACATGATGTGGGAAATACAATAAGACAGACAGAGAGGCATTTTAGCCATGTTTTAGAACCTGTGGAGGTCGGGTTTTCAATTTAAACTAAAATATTCCACATTTTGAAATGAAGACCTTTGTCTCACTACATTTGAGTACCATACAATTTGTTCCAAACAGATCCTATGATTCTGCTTGTCTAGGGGTCTGCCAGTCCAATAAAGAGTTTCTCTCTGAGTTTGTAGTCTTTTGTTGTGAAGATATTAACAGTGACTTGTGGAAAATTCATTTTGTGTCCAATGACATACTCAACTACTCATTTTGTTGTATAAACACGAGTCCAGATTATGATAATACACACACTACATTTCACATAAGGCATGCAGACATGTGGTACCTGATAAAAAGGGAAGCAAATTAACACAATGTGTTTTTGTTCTATTGGAAAAACTAACCCTGGGCAAGAACACACACATTTCAGTTATGCAGCCAAAGACCATCTTTCTAAGTATCTATAAAAGTCCTAAAAAAAAATCTATTCATAGTCTTTGACGAAGACTGTTAAGTAGTCGTGTATTATTGAGACCACTTTTTATTTTTACAGATCTGTTTTGGCTTTAGAGATGTAGGACAATGTTTCATTTATACAATTGTGTGATGGATGTCGTTTAAAAACAGCTATATCATAATTTAAAAGTTACGTAATACATATATACGTGGATCTTACAGCAAAGATTAACCCTGGGGCATGTTTTAACAGCTCCAATCATAAATGGTACCTCCAATGGGTAATCAAACCTTACTGGATTTGGCAAATTTAGGTCATATGAGATGGTAAAGAGGGAAGCTATAATTTCACATCTGGCTCCAATCAGCACAGATCAGTTTCTATCAACAGTTAACAGTGTCATATAGAGCGCGTACAATGATATTGAACGGTCAAAATTATTTTTGTGCCCAGATAATTTCTTCTACAGAAATAATTATTAATAATTATGAATAAGCCGCCCTTAATGCCTGTGCTCGTCTCTATAACTGGATTGGTGTTTAAAGCAACGGCATGTGTTGCAAATTAGATTTGAGGCTGTATTGAGATTGTAGCAATCGAACTTGTATTGCTACACATATAAAATGTAGAAATATACAGTCCAGACGCCTAGTTTGCAGGACACCAGGAGAGTCTGTGGATTTCTTAGATCCACGAATAAAAAAAATCAGTCGTAATAAGGTATAGATTGGTGAAAGAAACTTGCATTTTGACTTTTTGTTAACACCCCCCCCTCCCTCCATTTGCTCAGGGGAGGTGAGGAGGGGGTACACACACCCACACACACACACACACACACACACATATATATATTAATCAGCAGGAATGGCTTTAGGAAGTTTTTAACACGTCAGGACATAGACAGTGAATGAAAAGCATTGATGTGAGAGGGATGGGTGGGTGGGTGGGTGGGGAGGGAGATGGGTGAGTGGGTGGGAGGGAGATGGGAGGGGAGGGAGGGAGGGAGGGTGGGGGGTGAATCCAATGCACAGACGTGGAAACATGTGTTTGGAAACGTTGAAGGCAACAGCTGAAGCTGAAGCTGAATCCTGGCCCCGGATCGTGTGGAATGCGGTAGACACAGAGCGGACAGGACTTTTATGGAAAGCTGCAGCGCGGAGACGTAATTTTACCCCCAAATGACATTGAGTCTGTGGATGGCAGAAGAGGGAGTGAGAAGGCACCACCGCACCCACTCCCGTTAGTCGAGGAAGTTTGGTTTGGATTTTACCTTCCACCACCACCACCACCACCACCCCCACCCCCCCCCCACCGCGAAAAAAAAAGAAGGGAGAGAGAGAGAGAGAGAGAAAAAAAAGAGAGAGAGAGAAAAGCCACTTAACCCCCTCTTTCTTTCTCTCTCTCTCTCTCTCTCTCTCTGGGCTGCGAAAAAAAAAGGTGAGTTTGAACCGTTTCTGATGGATGGGAGAATAGTTCAAGGGGATGGGACAGAGAGAGGGAGAGAGAGAGAGAGAGAGACTGGGAGTGGGTTGGGGTTGGGGTTGGGGTGCAATCCGAAAAAAAAAGTAAAATACAAGTAGAATAATATAACGCTGTTGTTCAGTCCAACCAGAAGTTCGGGATTAGAGAGTTTAAGCCTGAGATCTGATGTCAGAGAGGGTTTGGCTCGGGCTGTTGCTCTCTCGGGCTGTCTGACTGCCTCGGGTACCGTTTTGTACCCCGAATGGGGACCTGTGAAGAGGCGCAGAGGATGGATGGAGGGATGAAGGGAGGGATGGATGGATGGATGGATGGAGGGAGGGAGGGAGGGAAGGATGGATGGATGGATGGATGGATGGATGGATGGATGGATGGATGGAGGGAGGGAGGGAGGGAGGGAGGGATGGATGTATGAAGGGATGGATGGAGGGAGGGAGGGAGGGATGGAGGGAAGGGATGGTGTGAGTGCAGGAGAACCTGGTCTAACAGCGAAGTCCTTTGCCTGACACGTGAATAGATGTGACAGCAGCTGTGTCTGGCAGCTCAGCATCAGAGGCTATTTAGAGATCCAGGCTAATAGCTCCCCCCCCCCCCCCCACCCCCTGAGCCACTGTAACTATAATACTTATTTATACCTCCCTCCCCCTCCCCCCCCCCCCCCACTCCCCACCAAACCGAATCACACAAAGCCACGCTTTTGGTTCTCGACCCAAAAGGATGCTTCTCGCCTTTAGACAACAAATGTGCCAACAACAGTCGTCGTTTTGAAACACTTTGGAGTTTCCTCTCTGTCCCAAGGTCACCACATAACGTAAGCTGCTGGATTTCATTACTCAGTGTTGCTGGTCTCAAAGCGCCCGAGAATAGTGAGTTATGTGACCTGTTTTCCCTCTCTCGGTTACTCTTTTTTTTGGGGGTGGGGGGGGGGGGGGGGGTTGGTGTGTGGGGGGGGAGTGGGGGAGGATGATAAGGTTTAACTAACCCTCTCTAAATACATTACAGTATCACTGTTTCTGTGGATCAGATGAACACCAAAAATACTTTCTGACTGACTGACTGACTGACTGAGTTACTTACTTACTCACTTACTCACTTACTTACTTAACTGAGAAGAGTTTAATTTACTTATTTCGGAATAACTCAGACCATCTGACAATTTGATTCGAAAGAACCTTTCCTAACCTCAGAGTTTGAATCCAGGGCTTTTTTTCTTTCAATCCCTAATATTAGTTTTCAAGGGCAGGAAGGACAGGGACAGGATCCCACTCAAGGTTTTCCACACTTTCCAATTTCCCATTGTGCCATCAGTTGGTTGTGTCAAGTGGGAGAGTGTGAAAATGTGTTGGCAAAGGTACTGACAGACCCAAGGAAGCAAATTGTTTGGCTGGCGGTTATGGCAGATGGTGCAATGGGGTTTGAGAGAAAGAAAATTAACCGTAAAGTTAAAGTGGATAAATAAATCCCCCTGTTAATAATATTAATAATCCGTATATTTGATAACAACAACTTGCATTTATATAGCGCCCTTTACGCAGGGTAACGCCTCCGGAGTGTTTAATAGTGGCGGAGGCTGGTACAGAGCCAGGGGAGGTGACCGTAAGCACTTTTGAGCAGGATGGTCTTCAGGTGTGATCTGAAAATGGGGAAGAAGCAGGGCAAGGTTAGGGATTGAAGGAGAGAGTTCCATGGTTTCGAGACAAAGTGTTTGAAGCGTGACAATGGTGGAGTGAAGGGTATGAGGGACAAACAGGAGGTCAGAGCCAGCAGGGCAGAGGCGGTGGGTGATGGAGTGGGTGGGTGGGGGGTGGTGACATAGGCGTTGCTGAGGGTTTCTGCTGCATTGTGTGTGAAATACAGTCAGAGATGGGCAATGTGACAAAGGTGGAGGAAAGCAGTCCTGGTCAGGGACTGGATGTGGGGTTGGAATGACAGCTGGGGATTAAACCTGATGCCTAGGTTAAGCACAGGTTCCGTAAGTGTTAGGGATAGGCCAGTGAGATTGAGGAGGTCAGAGCCGCAGGAGAGAAGACATTGACGGGAGCCGAGGGGTATGGCTTCTGTCTCGTCAACATTTAACTGCAGGAAGTTTTTGGTCATCCAGGCCTGGTGTCAGACAAACAAGCTGACAGGACATCAGCAGACCTGCTTTTCAATAGAGGTTGCATTCAGGATTCCAGTATCTATTTTACACTAAAACTGCTTTAAGTTGCTCAGTCTTTTAAATGGTTTTGTGTCACTTCCCCAGCTGGAGGGGGAGTAGATTTGGGTGTCATCTGCATACATGTGTAAGGTTATCCCGTGTGTGCGGATGACATCCCCAAGAAGGAGCATGTAAATGAGGAAAAGAAAGGGTACAAGGATCCAGCTGCCGGGTGGGGGTGAGGAAAAAACGTTTGTGGAGATGACGTGATATCGGTTAATTAAGAAGGCTACAATCCTGGCAAGTGCGGCCCCACTAAACTGGAGAGGCGGTGGAGAGGCAGTTGAGGATGGCATGATCGACTGTGTTGAATTCAACTTAGAGGTCCAGGAGGACAAGGAGGCAGAGGGAGCCCTGGTGAGAGAGAGAGAGAGGATGTCATTTGGGACTTTGATGTGCGCTGTCTCTGTCTGTGGGTAGGGTGGAAACCGGACTGGAGGGACTCAAGTAGGGAGTGGAGGGAGAGGTGTAAGCAGTGTTGATTTACAACATGTTCCAGAACTTTAGGACCTTTCATGTGGCAGGACATGTCAAAGTGCTTCACAGGATACACTGTAAAGTACAGTGACTGTATATTTTGGGACATTTTATTGCTGGACAAACTTTCTATCAGTTTAAATCTGTAGCTCTGATAAATGTGAACAAAATTGAAAACTGTTATCCTATACGGTGTGGAAATTGAATTAAAAGATCTGCTTTTGATCTAATAAAATGGCTGGAACAGGCTTGAAGAACCAAATGGCCCATTCATGTTCATTAATGTTTCTTTAATTCTATTAATATTCACAATGATTACAAAATCTAGTATGGAACAATGTCAACTATTACAAAATAACTCACATTTAAACTAAAATTGAAAGTGACATAAAACCATACATAAGTCTGAGCAACATAAAGCAGTTTTAGTATAAAATAGACACTGGAATCCTGAATATAACCTCTATTGAAAAACAACCAATATGATGTCCTGTTTCCATTGCTTAAAACAATATTAGAAATTAATTTGTAATAGACACCATCATAAAGTTATTTATCAATAAATTAGCTTATATTTGAACAATTGAAATGGAGGAGATCATAAGTATATTTCTAGTAATTCTTGCAGTTATATATTTTAGCACTGCTTCAAGGATGTGAAGACTGTAACAAATTGAAATTGATTTCTAATCAACTGTAATCTAAAGGGATTTTTGTACCAATGACAAATGGATAATTTCAAAATATTGACAAGCAGATCGGCAAGGAGGACACATCAAAATAGCAAGGAAATTATCAAATTCCTGTTCACAACTACCCATAAAGGCTAGTTTAAAATTGTGACTTTTCTGGAAATTCATAGTGTTACATATTTTAGATGAACAGTATCTGATGAAAGACAAGTAAGGAAGCAACAACAATAAATTACATTTATTTAGTGCCTTTCACGCTGGGAGGACATTCAAGCAATGAACACGCTTCAGTTCATCCACTTGGAACTACTTGTTGGTTTCATGTATTACAACATAGTAATCACATGGTGCATGCAATTGCTTTTTAAAAAAAATTGAATATTAACATGCTGAGCTGTGTACAGATATCAATTACATTAGGCACGCACTGTACAATTTGGTTTACTTCAGAAGTTGATGTCACTGGATATCAAGTTTAAATCAGGGAGGGCAGCCTTAGGGGAGAGAGGTTGAAATAGGTGGGGACAGTATTAAGTGGGGTGCCTCAGTGGTCAATACTGGGACCCCGATTGTTTCACGTGTATATTAATGATCTGGATTTGCAGACTCTTTCCTTTGTATTTAAAGTTGGATTTGATTTCAAGTTAGAGGGAACTTTGGAATTAGATGAGGCAGACAAGACAAAGCGGACTTGAATTGTCTGGAATTTTAATAATAATTATTATCCAGAATAATCACAGGCAAATTATGTTCAATACAGATAAATGTGAGGTACTATTATATAAAGGGAGTAAGAATAGGAAATGCATGTACTCCCATGATGGGATAAAATTTGCTTAGGGGGAGCTGAAAGAGTGTTAATTGACTTATCACCATGTCAAAACAGTGTGAGCAGCAATAAGCAAACTAAACAAGATGCTGGACTATTTTGACAAAAGTTTAGATTCCTAGAGGTCATGGTCAACCTGTACAGTGCTCTGGGCAGGTCACACTTGGAGAACTGTAGACAATTCTGGTTGCTGGGCCCAAGAGAGAGCGCAGAGGAGAGCAAGGAAAATGATTAGTTAAACAAAAGCTCTTCTGCCTTGAAAAGAGAGGTCTCAGAGCTGAACTTATAAAGGATGTTAAAAATGAGATTGACACACTGCCACCAAGGTCAATCCCAACAACGCCCCAGAAATCGAGCCTACAGCTTCAGGTCAGATACCAAAACCTGTTTCTGTACACGGGAGAGTAATTAATGCCTGGAGCGAGTTTCCGGGAAGAGCGATCAAGGCCATTTGTTAGACCCTTAAAGAAACAGCTTAATGGTGTAATGAGACTTCTGGAAGGATGAGGTCAAAGAGACTCTTCTTCTTCCAAACCTCTTTTGAGATCTTGTGAAATGAATTTGTACAGTGACTGGAGATTAATGTGGAAAATGCCCTGAAGCCGGGGCTGTATATTAGTTTGTTGTGTTGCTAGTAGTCACGTACAGTGTGGTCAGAGGGTATTGATGTGCTGTAGTTCACAGTTCTTGCTCAATTTTGACTTGTAACTTTTTAGAAGGAAAACAATTCAATGCAAATAAAAGTGTACAGTATTTCTGCAATGTTAAAATAATCTAGAGACTGACCTGGTCTCCTATAAACCCTCCTTGAGGTAACAAAGTGCCACTGTGGCTGAACCATTCTTTGGCATAAGAAAGCCCTAGAAGCAATGTAGAGGAGAGCAAAGAGTACAATAATAATAATCCTTGCATTTGATAGAGCGCCTTTCACATCATCGAGACTTTTCAAAGACTTCACAGGATATATTGTAAAGTGGATTGACTGCATTTTTTTTTTGTCTGGATAACCCCAGTGTTAGGGGAATGGGCTGTGAGCAATGATGAGACAAAGCTAGGAATCTTGAGTGAAGATATCTCAGTCGGCATCATTTAGAGGTGTTATTTTTTTTAAAAAATGGGATTGGTAAAGTAAATCCAGAATGGCACTTTAGGATTCTGCCTGACACTGCACATTAGCCAATCACTGCACTTTTGACACTGGCATCCACTCCAGGCATCACTTGGATATTGTGGTTTCAGGAGCAGTTGTGATTTACATCCAGTGCAGCATAAATGTGTTGAGTATAACTCACACTTTTCTCTCACTGATTTTTCTTTCACATGGTCCATTGAAAGCATTCAGTAATTCTAATGAAATATGCAGAACTTTCATTGGGCAGTTTTTGACACCACTAAATAGCAGATGCCCTGACCATCTCTTGTAACAATATAAAATGAACACTATTGCAGTGTTCTGCACTTACTTCAAGCTGTGTATGTGCAGACCTCTGAAATTGATTAATATCTTGAAGTATAAATGAGGCTTCCTGCTCCATGTTGTTTCAATGCTGGGAGTAAATTAGCTTCACCGTTACAATATATAAACACAACATACATAAGGGTCTGATATGAATCTAGGCTGCCTCAACCCAGCATCCAATGACCACAAGTCTGAAAAGCATTAAATTGCTTATAACTTGGCACTAAATATGTAACAGGCATGAAGATGGCTGACACACAGAACAGTCAATGAAATGGCTGATGTCGAAATGCAAACAAGTTGCATTGGTGCGGACAAGTGAGGCTGTGGGTTAGATTGCTGGGGCACAGTGAAGGATGCTTGAAGGTGACATTATACCCTTAAAAAGTGTTTCATTGCTAATACTGACAACCCTCACCTAGAAATGCCCAAAAGGTCATTGTTCGTTCTGGTATTTCAACAGTAACTTTGGTAAAATTAAAACATAATTTTATTAACTCACAAAAAAAACTTTGGTATTTAAACAATTCCATAATGCATTTGTGTATACAACATTCTCTTTTTCTGATACCAAAAATTTTAGGATGTTATGACAAGACAATTTCCAGTCATTAGAGCAGGTATATTCTTGCTGAGACACGAGTAGTAAAGCCATTCCAACTAGCCAGAGAATGCCCAACAATTTATAGTTGTCAGACAGACATCAAGTCCTGGATGAGAGCTAACTTTCTTCAGTTGAACGTTAACAAAACCAAGGTACTCCTGATTGGCTCCCGTCAGCGCCTCCACACCTCAGATGCTGATAGCATCACCATCCATGGTTGCACACTCCACGTCGCTAAGCCAGTCTGGAACCTTGGCATCTTGTTTGACCCTCAACTATCCTTTCTACTCCACATTCGTATCATGACCCGCTCTGCCTTTCCCCACCTCCGCAACATCGCCCGCCACTGTCTCACACTGCAGGACGTCAAAACCCTCATACATGCATTCATAACATCCAGGTTTGACTATGCAGATTCCTTGCTTGTCTCCCCAACTCCTTCCTCCATAGACTGCAGATCATCCAGAGCTCTGCAGTCCGTGTCCTCCACCGCACCAAACTCCGTGACTGTATCACTCCCATACTCGCCTCACGCCACTGACTTCCCATCACACAGAATATACAGTTTAAGATTGTAGTCCTCACCTTCAAAGTCCTCCTTGGCCTCACTTCTACCTACCTCTGCAACCTCCTAATCTCCTACCAACCTGCATGCTCCCTCCGCTCAGCAGTCTCTGGCCTGCTTCACTTCCCCTGCCTCGCCTGCCCCACCATTGACGAGCGGACCTTCTGCCACTCTGCCCCCACTTTCTGGAACTCCATCCCACAGTCCCTCCGCCTCGCTCCCTTCCTTGCCTCCTTCAAGTCCCATCTCAAAACCTTCCTCTTCGACCATGCTTTCGATCATCCTCCTTCCCTCCCCGAAACAGACTGTCCAGCGTCTTGGGATGTCCTCCCAACGTTAAAGGCACTATACAAATGTAAATTTGTTGCTTTTGTAGTAGTTTGGGAACTTATTCAAGTTAACTCATCAGAGAGTAACAAAATATTAGACTAATATATCCTGCTGTATATTATCATGCAGTCTCCCAGCAAAACTATTTTTAGATCAGGTTACAAACCAAATGAGTGTGGTACGATGTAGGGCAATGTATAATATTAGCAACCTGAGCTCTGCTACTCTAATTAGTGGACTCACCGTTGTATAAATTAGCTACAGGAAGAACAAGAGGAGTTTGCACATTAACCATCTGAGTAGTGAGTTCACTTATCCTCGTGTACTATAGGGGCCCACTTGTTTACAGCAGCTCTCCCAAGTCCTAGTGTGATTTTTATGCATCTAAATTGAGTTGGTCGGAGACAGAGTTTGATAGACTGATTGGAAGCTCTGGCTTTAAAGTCGGGTTTCAGACAGTGAAACATTTTTTTAGTTATGAAAAATAAACCTGAACCCTCACCTCCAAAATTCATGGTGGGAACTAGAAAAATATGGGCAAGTTGAAAGTTTAAAACATTTCAAGAGGTTAATAAAAGGCTGGAAAAGACTGGCGGGGGTTAGACGAAGTGGAAGAAAGTTGAATGGACAGCATTCAATTTTTTTTTACAGAAAATTGGTGTTTTAATGTTTATTTTACTAGTTGAGGATTAATGCCACAGTAATGGATACTCTTGATGTTTCAATAACGTTATTACTGTAATGCTGTTGTGTTCAGCCGCTCTGTGCACGAGTTGAAAACACAGGTCAGGTTAGCCGAGGGAAACAGCAATTTGTCAGGACAGTTGTCTGAGGATTAATCACAATTAATATCTTAAAGAAACTATTAACAATTATGTTTCCTATTATAATAAAAATAATCCTTGGATTTGATAAGAGCACTTTATCATGTCATTGAGATGTCTCAAAGGGCTTCTCAGAATATATCGTAAAATGAATTGACTGTTTTTTGTGGGCAAAACGTGTCTGATACTATGTAGGGCAATATATAATACTAGCAATCCGCATGGCATTAATCTGCAGAATGCCATGCAATAATACAACATTTTGAACTCCCAAATAATTTGATCTTTGTGGATTGGAAGTGGAAATTGTGTTGCCAGGTTCAGTAATTGTTTTCCTGTTGAGAGCACCGTTTAATATTGTCCAAACACCTGTCAAAAAGATTCAGGTTCAAAGAGTAACTTCACAAAGAGATCATCAGAGTGGAGTGATTTAAAAGGCATTGAAATATTCTCATGTGTAGGAATAAAATAATATCTCATTATCTATTGGTTAGAAAGACACTGCCAATGTGCAGCAGCAGACACTATCTACCTATTACTAACTGTTAGTTTTCCTTAAAAAGCTACAGTCCGGTAACTTTAATAGTAAAATTCACCATAGAAGTAAATATAATATTTTAAACATTCAGAAATATCCCACAAGTAAGTGCTTTGCAGATGGCATTGGTGAAAAATGAGGACATGTCACTAAGACTGACTGGTTAGGAGTTTCGAGCAGCAACAATTGCAGGTTTTTTAGTTGTCTGATTCAGTGTCTCCATCCAATTATCATTCTTAATTTACCAGTATTGTTTAAGCATGCTTGTATCAATGTTTGAAGCAAAAATACACAAGGTCAACAAATACACTTTTTAAATCTTAGACTGGTTTAACTGGGTGATCAGTTTGCAAGATTCAACATTTTTCAGTATTAATTATAATAATGATGCTTGCATTTGGTACAGCGCCTTATCATATCAGAAATTGTAGTTGTACATCTCAGATACGATTCTATTTGTATGTGTACCCCACAGTATTCAGGTGCTTACATCAAGAGCTTGAAGAAATAATAAATGGCTTATTATTTATATTGCTAAATGTGATTGGATACTGGAGAAAAAATAGTAATGCATATTTGTTTTTAGGTGTGAGGCGATTACTCTGATACCAGGTCAAATAAAAACGAAAACCAATCATGACCGATGTGGCACAAAAAGCCGAGGTGAGTCCAAGCTACAGGACCCAAAGTGATCTATTCAGGAGGTATCACTCTTTATTCCTTCCAAAAAATAAAACATATTTTAAGAGCTACTGCTTGGTACATTTTAATTGCTGATGAAACACTTTGCACAGCTGAAGATAGGTTTGTTAATGTTAATTTCCCTAACTATTGCCTACCATTTTGTTGTGCTTTAATTCATGAAGCTCTTGAGCATGTGACATAAAAGAATGTCTAATAGAAGGTTATAATATTGATGGTTTGCAAGCTACGAATGTCCTTTACTATTCACAGGGGAGAAGGGGCAGAGAAAATCAGGTCTCTGCAATCTTTCAAACTCCCCTTTGAAACCCCAATGAGCTTTCAGAACAAAACTCAAACTTTTGACACAACAGACTTGATGCTTCCTTTTGGTGTCAAAGTGAATTCTGTTTTAACAATAAGTAAATCAATGGCTTGATTTCAGATACTTACATGACATTTTATTCTAAGGATCTAAGCAACATTAGAAGTAACATTACCCCTTCTGTGTTGACCCTAGCAATGTATTATGTACATTTAATAAAGTGGAAGTCAGATAATGACTCTTTCAGCACTAAGTGCATGTTTAAATACAAAGCAGCATTTGTAATGTTTCTTGAATAATAATTTCACATAATACCATACTGTACTATCAATTCACTTGCAACAATTTTTGTCTTAATCAACAGTCTCGTCTCTGATGCATGTTTACATCATCCTAATCATAGTTTCCTTTTACTGTTTGTTTTCCACAGTTTGCATATATACATATACACACACATTTAATCACAAAAATTATTGAACGGTAACCTAATAATTTTTGGAATGACAAAACACATTGTGCCTTTGTTCCAGAGAGAGGAATTAACATAGTTATAACTGCACAATGCATTATTTTAATGTAAATCTCCAAAGAAAACATACCAAAATATGAAGAATATTTCATTAAAATGGCAATACCATGTATAAATATAGGAAAAGTGGATGCTTAATGTTTCACTCCCTAAATTATCTATTGTCTGGTTAATACTTGTCACATCATCTAACACCTTCAACTTTCTTCATTTATTTCTCTTCTCTTCCTTTTCTCTGTCTTTAACCCACATAGATACTTCTTTCTTCGTCTAAAGCAGTTCATAAATCATATGTGCCGAAACTTGGCAAGGGTGATGTTAAGAGTAAGTTTGAAGCTATGCAAACGGCCCGGGAAGAGAGAAGCCAGAGGAGATCTCGAGAAGAAAAGAAAAGAAGAAATGAACAGTATAAGCGGGAGAAAGAATGGACAAAGATAAAACAAGAGGTCACTTAGTCTAGACATCATGCTATCCTTTAAACTTTGTCACTTGTTCATTTATTTCTGGACAAGATCCTCGTTGTAATTTAAAAATAGAGAAAAAGTGCAGTTTTACCAACAATTACTTGTGAATTCAAGCTGTCTCTTACAGAGCAGTGGTTCAGTGTTTTGAGGATATGGCATGGTTGCAGCTCTTAGTCAACAATCAAGAAACTGAAACTTTTGAAGGGCAGAAACACTTCAATTGCTAAGTTAAATTATTAATCTCACATTCTTTTATTCCTGTTTATAAATCCACAAACTGGGCGTTCCATAAAATTACTCACATTTCTCTCAGCAACTTACATGAACATTTGAGTTGGGAAAATAAATGGATCTCCCGGTATCCATTGTATTTTGTTACTGTAATCTTTCATATTTGGACATTAGATCCATCATCCCGATCCATTGCTGCATCATATCCATTCAACATACCGTGGCTCTGTAATTTCCAAGTAAAATGGCAGTATTTCTCCTGAAGTTTCCTGTCATTTGACTTACAATACTTTAGCATCTTGATTAGAAGTATTATTTTATTCTGTCATTTTATTGCATGAAGTAACAATTACAGCATCATCATACCAGCATTTATGTGCCTGCTATAATCTTTTGAAATGTAGAAATAGAAGAATTCCTTTTGCACTAGTGGATTGAGCGATGGACTTTCAGTGTGATCTGGATAATCAGTTGATGCTCACAATATGGGCAGATGCAATGGTTCAACTGCTTGCTTCACATAATATAGGTCAACTAATTTTTTTTCATCTGAATGAAATTCTTTTCAGGACAGTACTAATCATAAAACAAATGACTTAAATTAAATCCTATGGAAAGAATGATGCTAAACCTTTCCATATTTAATTATTTCAGCTTAGGGAACTTCTTGCATCAGATGATGAAGATGAGAACAAATCAGATCAACTGAAGAAAGCCTATGTTCCTAAACTGACAGGTAACTAAGGCGGAACAAATACATCAAAGTGAGTGTTCTTTCATTGCATTGAATACGGAATCAATCCTATGTACTAATGCTTTTCCTGTTTTCAAAGGGACGGTTAAGGGCAAGTTTGCAGAAATGGAAAAGGTAAGGCAAGAGGAAGAGAGGAAGAGAACGGAAGAAGAAAGAAAGAGAAGAATTCAGCAGGACATAGTTGAAAAAAAGAAGCTGCAACGCGAGTTGGCAAAAAGAGCTGCAGAGGTACTAACTGTCACACTTCTCCCTAAAAAGATCCCATTATCTTAGGAATTTAACAAACTGTAGGTCTCTATTTGGCATTGCTGCTGCAAAATGTGGGAATAAGTAAGGAGTCTGCTCTCCTGGCAAGGCTCCAGTTTAAACATGAGGGGCCTTAAGCACTGAATATTAAGCAGCTGAATATTCTCATAACTTGTCATCTGGGTAGAGGGTGGAGGGAGACAGAACCCACTGGATTAGAAAACTGATTATTTTTTTTAAAAAAGGGACATTCTGGAAAGACTTTAATTAAACTGTTTTTTATTGTGTGCTTGTTTGCAACATTTAAACCCGAGTCACTAATTCCAAGACCATAAATCACAGTAAGATTGGCAACCTGATTGAACTGCTGCTTTGACTGGTTGCAAATGTATATTCTATTATTTAATGATACAATCATTCAATTTGGATTATATTAAAACATTTCACTTTTGATCGACGTGACGCTGAATAAAAGACAGCAGAACACATCAGTAATAAATCTCCCAATCTCAGAGAAATCAGAGTTGGTCAGCTCATTGAAAGAAAATTTCACTGACTGCCACAATCTTCATAAATGGAGCAAACGGATGTTTTGACATTGGTTGATATGTTACTGTGAAACTTTAGCAGTCGAAGAATAATCAACAGTGGAGCTATGGTTGCTTTCAATCAGTAATTTAACAGCCATGTTCAAAATTCCTTGTATTAAAAGAAAAGTAGGTCAAGAGTTTTTTTAAGATCAAATTATTGTATCCTTTTAGGAATAAGGATGTCATACCTCACATTAATAAAGACCAAGAATAGCTCAGCTTACACTCCACTGACCTTGGGGGAAAAAATCACTTGCGATAATTAATTTTTTTTACATGCCATTATTTATTAATGTAAATATATAGATGATCAAGTTATACCTCAAACGGATGAGGAGACATTCTACAGGAAGTCCCTGAGTAGTGACAAGGTGACGCACTCAGTGAGCAGGTGTCTCTAGCCAAGGCGGGATGGGACCTTAACAGGTTGGCCCATTTGCTGGAACAGCCTCACATTTTCCACCCTGGAGAAGAAGCTGAACCATCAGCAGTCATTAATTAATTGATTAATTAACATCAGGACTCATGGAGACCTGTGGTTCAGAAGTGAGAGCACTCGCCTCGCAAGCGAGAGACCTGGATTTGATTCCTGGCAGGGCGAAATGTTGGGCAAGTTTCCTTACTCCACACACCTCTATTTACCTAGCAGTAAGTAGGAACCCGGTTGTTAGTCTATTGGTTTTCCCAGGATAATAATCCCTCAAAAAAAAATAATTTGTCACTCAATGCACGACTGTTTGTGGATCACTGCAGTACGCAATTGGCTGCCGGGTTTTGCCCACAAATATGCAGTCAATTCACTTTACAGTATATTCTGTGAAGTGCTTTGAGATGTCTTGAAAAACGCTATATCAAATGCAAGGATTATGATCATCATCAATCAGCAGATTCTGCTGAAACACAATCTCTTCTCTTAAACTCAGAAGAATTGACATTGACTCAAAAATTTATTTGTAAAATAATTTTGGAAGTCCAAAAGTTCCATTAAGGGGCATCTCGATGTAAAAGACATCATCATGATAGTGAAAAGACTTCCCTTTGTTGCTTGTCCAGGACACCAACATATCTGTAGAGTGGTGCCCTGGCAGCGAATGAAGGGGCATGAAATGTAGACAGCTGAGGGGAAAGTGGTCAAAAGGAACTTGATGAGTTCTAATATAAATCTAATATAAAAGTTTAATTTAGACTTATCTTCAGCTAAGTGCATGGGAGAGGGCCCAAAGGTTTAGGTGCTTCTCCACAGGAGAAAGGAGACAAAAGAAATCACTGAGTCCTGACTCAAACTACTCGAGCACGCCTCCATGTGGTCATTTATAGAATAGCACAAGCAAAAAGCTTTGGTTGAAGGGATGGTACATTGATCGCACAGGGGAGAAACTACAAATAACTCCAAGGTATTTGTACATTTCCAAATGTGTGCCAGGCCTCACATGGCCAACGGCCTTGATGGAAGACATTGGAGAGCTTGTGGTGCGAGGGAACCTTCAGAAGAGGAAAGAGAAAGTTGGAAATTTAGTTTCCTCATTGCATTTTCACGTGTCAGACAAATGCCCCCTAGCAACGGTTTGCAAATATAATCCTCCAACGTCTGAAAGACGTGATAAGGTGCTATATCAAATGCAAGGATTATTAATTATTATTATTATAATAAGAAGCACTGTTGGATCACAGGGCTGATGACATGTTTACCCATTCGGGGCCCCCATATCCTCATTTAGACACAAACATTAGATCAGAGATTGCAGAGTCACCTCTAATCTTTGATGCTGCCCTCCCAAACATCAATCTTTTATCTTTCCGTGGGCACCAATAACTACCATGGTCCCAGCCAGGCCATGAAAAATACACCTTTAAAAACAAAGGAGTTCCTACATTAAAAGATGGAAGATGAAAGAAAGATGTTGGAAGGTAGAAGATATTAAAGATGAAAATAGGGAGAAACAAAATGGGAGAATGCAAAGGGAATTCAATATAAGGAAAATGTGATAATATGGCAATCATAGGTAGTATTTAAAACACGTATGTTCATGAGAATTTATATTTTGGTGGATATGTAGTAATATCACAGTAATAAAGTTAACCTAATGTCTGAGTCACTTTCTATCCAACATTAGTGCTTTATTCAGTAACATTACATGGGCTGAAAATATGCTGAACCTGTTGGCCCACAGAGAGTGGAGTTTCTGTAGACCTGTCTGTTGTCCAAGACTTAAAATAGTACAGCTATTTCCTACAAGGCAAGTGTCAATTAATCAGAATGAATTTACTATCCAAGAAAGAAGGGTTGGGGGAAGAAGCTCTCATTCTTTCACATAGAGATTAAAGGATGACTAAAGATAGAGTTCGTCTGAAGGGAATTTAAGAATATGAAAGGGAGGTTTACCAGTCTTTCCTTCTCCTAAAATCTGTGCACATTCTACAACTGCCACCATGCTAAACAAGTTACTTATTGTTGCTGTCTGTTCAAGCAGTGAGGTATTCAAGAGCCCTTTCTTGCAGTAATAAACAAACATGAAATACGTTGGCACCAATGAACATTTTACTTCTTTTCTGCTCGATTTGTATTTAGATTGTAGGCAGATTTCCCAATAAGTTGTTCCAGGTGGGACACATTTAAATGCTCAAGCATTCTGCAACCAAATGGGTAATGTTTTCCACAAGGAACAGGTTCCAAATGGTAATTATGTGCACAATGAAATAAACTAGTGTACAAAAAAGGGCAATGTTTCTTTTGAATTTAAGAGGCCCCAAATTCCAATTAATCTCAGCCTCTGAGATCTTATAATTAAAAATTGCACAGAATGGTGGAAAATTCTCAAATTTAGTCTGAATTTGGTTGCTGCTTTTCTGCAGTTCTCAAAACAGCCGTTTTGCAAACCAAAAATGAATTTAAGAATTTTCCACAATGCACAATCTGCCTAATCTTAAAGAAAAAATGGTCTTCCAAATTTCTGGCTAGCGTGGTTTTGAAATGGTCATATATGAACTGTTCGAAGCATCATAAAAAGTTCACAACTCAGGAGGCCACACAGCTGAAGAGGCCATTCAGCCCAATGTGTTCGTGCTGGAATGATTGTTCTATTATTTCTTCCCCAACCCCCAATTTGTCTCGTTTCCTTCCCTGCACCACTCTCAAACACATTCAGCTCAATTTTTCATGCTGTCCGGGTGCATGTCACGCTCCAGTATATTCATTAGTTATGTGTGAGCCTTGAAAAATAAGTGTTTGCAAGCTATCTTAACTGTGAAGTGTATCACAGCCTGTCAATACAGTACTGGCTGATTTTCCCTTCCCTACCCAGAGACATTAGGATCAATTGTAGTGGACCAACTGGTGCTGGGTTGAGAACAGCTAACTGAGCACTGAAGCTGTCACTTTCCAGTCTGTATGGTCCGGTGCGGTATCGGTACCCATTGGACCATCAGGCTATTTCTTTTTGAGGTGTTTTAAGAGGGATTTTGTTTTGGAATAGGACGGTGAAGAGGTTTCTGCGCTGGATATGCCTGAAGCAGCTCCGAGCACACCAGGCAAAATAAAAGTAAACTTTGAAGATTTGGAAAAAGCACGAGAGGAGCAAGAACAAAGAAAATTTGAGCAGGAGAAAAAAAGGAGATATGAAGAGAACAGACGTTCTTTTCGTGATGCTAAACGTCATTCAACAGCTCTCTCTGTAAGTCAATATCGCTGTATTCATTAGATCACTTTCCTTATATCACCTTTAATTACAGTAACACCGATTGGAGGAATTCAACTCAGCATTTTGTCTGGAACTTAATAAACCAACAACCAGCTGGGTTATAACTTCTTAATTCTTATCAAATAATATAATCACATATTCAAATATCAACAATGTACTTCTCACCTTCTTCAAGCTTTAAGTCTTCCAATTACTTTGGAGATTCAGTCTAGTTTGTTACACAAAGGTTGTGGTAATGTTATTAAAAGCTCTGAACTGCACAGAGCTAATTGCCAGTCCTCTTGCACTACACTTTGCCCTTGAAAACACAATACATCCTCAAAGCACTGTGCAAGTCAACAGCCTTTTAGATTAACAAAAGCCATGCAAGAGTGCTTTTTAAACATGTTTTATATCTGTACAATACAAATTCTGTGCAATCTATCAAAGGAGGGGGATGAAGAGCTCAACAGTGGAACTCCCAGCAAGGATGAAATCCGTCCTGGTAAATTAAAACTCAGCTTTGAAGAAATGGAAAGACAGAGGCAGGATGAGGAAAAGAAAAGGGCAGAGGAGGAAGCAAGGAAACGAATTGAAGAGGAAAAGGCAGCATTTGCTGAGGCCAGAAAGGTGTGAAGTCACAGTTATGCTTATAATATATTGATTTGCAATGGTGTCATTTTATTTACAATTGAGAAGGCCTGTAATTATTGAATCCACTGAATACTTCAGCTTATTTACATATTTTAGCATGTCTAAGAATGTGAGTTAAAGTTCTTTCTGTCCAATGCTGGTTAATTTTCTAAACTTTCATTTTCCCCTCACCTGGGATCGTGCAACATATTTCTAAATCGTTGCAATGTGGAAAAAAAGCAGGAATGTGCACAAGTGGTGGAGCAATCAAAACCATGTTATGTGGATGGTAGTGGTTAAATTGATATGGTAGAATTCACAGATGGCTAATCAGCTGTGATGTTGGACAGTGCCTGTTGTTAATCAGAGCCGAGTCTGATTCATCCGCTACCTTTATGTACAATCTGTCCAGTAGGGTCATGGAAAAGCAATTCAGAAAAGGAACCTTGGGTGATTTTGCCCTCCCAATCTTGGGGTAGGGAAAGGGGGGTTGGGGGGTGGTGCTTTGCAAAGCCCCAAATGACAAGTCAGTTTAAATCAACTCAGCACAGACTGGAGAATAAATCTGAGAGCTTACAGATGTGTGTGGTGCATTTTTCGCGCAATACATTTTAACTTGGACTGAGTTATACGGCGAACGAACCATTCTTAACACCGTGAAGCAAACTTATTTTTTAAAAAATGATCCTGTCGTATTGTAGACTCTAGTTGACGATGAAGATCCTTCCAATACTCTCACATATGCGAAAGACCCAGCAAGACCTGGGAAGCTTAAACTAAGCTTTGAAGAGTTGGAGAAGCAACGTCGCGAAGACGAACAACGCAGAGCAGAGGAAGAAGCTCGGAAACGTTTAGAAGAAGAGAGAAAACAATTTGCTGAAGCTCGAAAAAGCATGGTAGGTAACCTTGTGGAATGTCCCTGTCAGGGGTGAGTATACGGAAATTTGTAATGTGGATCAGCAACTTAATTTCCACTTGTATTGTGATCTGAAGCACTTATATCTATTTCAGCCTTACCCGGAAATAATGACTCAAATCCAGCAAAAACGAAGATGATTTTTGGCTCACCGTGTCCCCAAAATATTGATCACACAATTTCTAACTACAGCAAGATTGGTGTTGACTGGATTGCAGAGCTTAAACTCTAAAAAAAAGAAATTACTTTGCAGGTCCATCATTCTTCAAAATGGAAACATCCACCAAAATTAACTAAGATACACCAGTACCACATTAGCGAGGAATAAATCACGCTTTACACTGCTGTAATGATCTTCTTTAACTAGCTCACACCAACCTTTCTAAGATTCAGTTTTGTGCTGCTGTTTTATGCTTTGTGGTTAGTGAGCACTAAACATTTAACTTATTTTCCCCTGAATTTCACAATCACGTACAGAAGAGTCATTATAATTTATAGCAAATCCTGTAAAAACACTTTGAGACTTCCTCTGGACATGAAAGGTGCTATAACAAGTGCAAGGATTATTATTTATTGACACATTTAACATTAGAGTTCCATTATTTAACTAATAATTTCAACTATTTTAAGTTATTATCCAATGTCCTAATTATTTTTAAGAGTCCAGACCAGGATAGCATTCTGAAGGAGCATGAAAGTTCATACATGGAGGAGTTTGGACCAGACAAAGTAAGGCATATTCATTGAAAAATACAAATGATGTTTATGTTTGATAGCACCTTTTTCTTCAGCAGTTTGCACTCTTGCAAAACACAAATGCAGTTTTCCTATTGATCAGTGTGGTTTTGACTATAGTTCATTTCAGACGATGCATATTCATCAAACATTGGGTCAGCCAATCGATGAAAATCAGGTGAAAATCTTTCAAGGGAAGCCATGTAGGAAATAGCTTTGTATACGAAAAAGAAACATAATACAACACTAAAAGAATGCACCCTCGTTTTGTATGTTTAGGATGTATGTTTTATCCAAGCTCAAATTCAAGATTAACTTCCAATAGTTTGGTTTTGGTTATCTCTGACTTTGCGCTGACTAAATTTCAAGCAAAGTCTATCTGTGGATGAACAGAGGAGGGCTATATAAATTTTTTGAGTGTGACAGTTTTACGATGGTTGCTTTCAACAGGTATTTGATGATGAACCAAATGATCAAACAAAAATGTACTCAGAATCTGATGAACTACTTCCTCCACGCAAACTAGAGATTAATTTTGAAGAGCTGTTGAAACACAAGATGGAGGAAGAGAAAAGACGTACAGAAGAGGAACGAAGGCAAAAGATGGAAATGGAAAAACAAGAATTTGAACAAAAGCGACAGGAAATGGAAGAGGTGAGTTGCATTAAAAACATTAAAGTAATACATCAACAAATTGGTAAAATAAAACTAATCATTGGCTTTGATATAGCGCTTTTCATGTCTTTGAGACGTCTCAAAGCGCTTCACAGTGTATACTGTAAAGTGAATTGACTGTATATTTTGTGGGCAAAATGTGGCAGCCAATTACGCAAATAGTCATGGATTGAAGTGACCATTTTATTATTTTTTTTTGAAGGAATTATTACCCCGGAATAGCGATCCGCGAATAGACTAACAATCGGGTTCCTACTTACTGCTTGGTAAACAGAGGCGTGTGGAGTAAGGAAACTTGCCCAACATTTCATCTTGCCGGGAATAGAACCCAGGTCTCTCGCTTGCGAGGCGAGTGCTCTAAACACTCCAAAGAGAAGTAGAAGGAAGTACAATTACACAGACTTTTTTTTTAAAAATGGACAAGATTATATTGCAGAGCTCTACTATCAATCAGTAATGGGGGGTGGGGGTGGAGGGAGGTGGGGATAAAATTCCAACCTGCCTTATAATGGGGTGGAACTCACTGGTCAGCAATTCTACATTCACTGTGTATGTGTGCAGCCAAACACCTCACTTAAACATAGCAGCTGGCTCCTGTGCTTATAAAAAAGACCAATTCCTGGGCATTTTTCTTTAAAAAAAGTGACTAATTGTCAATGTTCACATTCCAACTATAAGCAAACCTGTGGTTATAAAGAATACACATTGGTAACAGGTTTTATTATAAAGCCTGTTGCCTGCTTAAGATTAGAAATCAAAAATTAGACTCATAAAAGGTCTCATTCATGCACTTATTACAAATTCTAATTCAAATGCTGAACAATGATTCTCTGTACTCAATGGTGTTCATGTATTAGGATGAAGTGAATGAGAGCAATGAAGTTTTGAGTTCAGAGTATGAAGAGTTGATAAAGCTGAAACGAACTGGCTCCATTCAAGCAAAGAACTTAAAGTCAAAGTTTGAAAAAATTGGCAAGTTATCAGAAGAAGAAATACAGAAAAAGATAGAAGAAGAGAGAGCCAGAAGAAAAGCAATGGATCTTGAAATAAAAGAAAGAGAAGCAGAACGATGTCAAGAGGTAATCTTTTTCTAAATGAAAAAAATACACAATACAATACAAAATTACATTGTATAGCGCCCTCCACGTCAGGAAGACGGCCCAAGGAAATGATTGGTAAGTTTATTCTCCCTGCAGCCAATGGAATATTTTTGGAATATCATTTTATGAATAACTTCAGGTTTATGAATTAATTTCATTTATATCAAGAGGAAGAATAATTTTAGCAATAATATTGCAAGGTGCCAATTCAAAAAAATGACTTACTGGAAAATAGTCTATTGATTGGATTTAAAATAATTCCTGATAATACACATGTACATATCAAGGTTCTTTCCGACAGTCAGATAAAATGGTTGAAAATATGACAGATAAATGGACTGAATTACTTTGCATATACACTTCCTCACTTCAATGGGGGGCGGGGGGGGCTGGGAGCGAACTGGTCTGCATTCAGTTTTGCAGTACTCAATTTTTGGTCAGTAAGTGATTCAATTTCTTACATTTTGTTTACAGTATGTAGTTTGAACAGTGAAAATAATAATCTTTACATTTGATATTAGCACCAAATGACAACAAAATGTTCTCAAAGAGCCCCCCACCCCCCTCTTAAATGTATTATTATTTGCGTGTGTCATTTGTAGGTGAATGCAGAAGCCAAATTCGTACAGCAATGTCCAATAACCAGCCAGGGAGTTAATGATCAACTAATTGTAGGACTGTTAGCCAGGACAACAGGAGAAAATCCCTTCTCTTTTTTAAATAATGTCACAGTTTCTTTAATGTTCATCTGAACAAGTAGACAGGATCTCAGTGAAATATCTCATCCGAAGGATGGCACTTCCAACAGTACTGTGCTCCCCCATTTCTGAATGTCAGTGGAGAACTTGAGCCCAAAATTCCATATACGAGTCTTGAACCCACAACCTTCTGCCCCACAAAAAAAGTCCTACAAACTCAACCAAGCTGACACCCAAAGTAACAGAAAAAGAAAAAATGGAGACAAGGTTATATTTCACACATCACAAGTAGATCCTACTTTAGTCTTTCCCAAATTATCAATAAGACAACTCCTTCGTATGTCTGTTTCAGTCATTTTGAACCGCGGCGACATCTGTATCATTCATTGCTGACAAGTTTAGAATTTTGAGGAATTCTGCGGCTGAGCCATGTAATTCATTGATTTACAACCCGACCCAAGAACAGCACTCTCTATGTCATTTATCTTTCTCAACTGCTGTTTTATGCCTGCAGGAAGAGACAAATATGGAAGCAAACCAAACCAGAAAAGATGACGCTCCATTTACTCAAAAGGTTGACATGAAAGCTCGCTTTGAACAAATGGCAAAAGCAAGAGAGGAAGAGGAAAGGAGAAGGATTGAAGAACAGAAACGTTTACGAATGCAATTTGAGCAAAAAGAAATTGATGCAGCATTGCAGAAGGTAATTGTTTTCCCAAAACACTTAATTATCTCACCATGCATATGGTTTAGAGGTTACCTCATTCAAGATATTGTTCTAAGTGCTTTCTGCAGGGTTTCTGGACAGATAGTGTAAAAACAAACAAAACAATTTACAAATAACAACCTACAAAGGTGTGGTTAGGCAATGGAATAGCTAGCTTTTTGGCTGGAATCCAAAATAAGGAATTTCTAAATTTAAATGTTAAACAGCATGTTCAATACATAGTCTGACTAACTCATATTTCTTACAGAAAGGGGATGAAGAAGAGGAGGAAGGGAGTATAATTAATGGATCAACTTGTGAGGATGATGAAGATGAACTTGTACGATCTGGAGCTCCGTGGTTCAAGAAACCTCTCAAAAACATGTCTGTTGTAGATAGTGAGCCTGTAAGATTTTCTGTTAAAATCACTGGAGAGCCTAAACCTGAAGTCACTTGGTGGTTTGAGGGCGAAATGTTGCAGGATTGTGAAGACTATCAATACATTGAAAGAGGAGATACATACTGCCTCTATTTACCTGAAACTTTCCCTGAAGATGAAGGAGAATACATGTGCAAATCAGTCAATGCCAGAGGCACTGCTGCTAGTACTTGCATTCTCACCATTGAAAGTAAGAGCTAATTTTGTACAACAGTATATTGAACTGTCTGAAGTCAGAATTTCTCAAATAGAAACTAGTTTTATTCTTTACAATACTTTTGCTTCTCTTTTATAACTCACTCCATTTATAATTGTTTCCTTCCTTTTCCAGCTGATGACTACTAAGTGCTCTACTCTACTCTACTGGAATTTCCTTTCTGTTCTCAACTTTCTTCCTATATCCATCTTTTCTTTGATGGGGGCCAAAAAAAATCCCATTGCCCTTGGAAAAGTACTGCAGAGTGAACTGTCATTCCTCTTAGGGTTAAACATAGCCTAGGAAATTGCATGGAGGTTTACATGATTTTGTTCAATTCACCATTTCAACTGATTATCTAAAATTCTTATTTAATGAAAGCTATTATAACTACACATCATGTTGCATGGTTGAACAGTGGAACCCACTTGTATTCACCCAAGAAAAGCTCTCAATGTGTCAATTTTAAGTAAGTTTTGTCCTGTAACAAAATTGCTGGCTTTTAACAGGACTCTTATTGTAATTGTATAAAGATCTTTGCACACTGAAGCAAACTGCCTTGGGTTTTCAAACATGTGTAAAAAAATTCTATCAAATGTAACATAATGTTCAATCACGAATATATATTCAACAATTGACCAAACATTTGGGTACCTGCACAGAAAATGGTTTAATTTAACCACTTTCACCACTGTGAGTTACCTTAACGCCTTACATACAAATTGTTCATGGGCAGGGTTCTTTCATGCAACCTTAAATCAGATACGGTCTGGGAGACAAGTTTGTATGCTGGAGAATTTCTGACCCACAGATGATTTTTAGAAATGTTCTTCATACAGCACATACTTTTGTAAAATTTGATTTCTGTTCAATTGTACTGAATTTTCTGATACAATTTAAAATGTACTTATGAAAGTGTTTTCATTGGTCCTCTTTATTATGTGACAAAGTATACCGGGTATATACATATTGTGACTTCGGGGGTACAGATATATTCTGATGGTACCTATGAAATCACCACTGCATCCAATTTTTTTTAGTGATCTGGTTTAAGTCATAAGACCTGGGGATTATCTCAATATGCAAGAGTAAAATCATATTCTTACTTGGACAGGAAAGCAGACAACAAATAATTTTTTGCTCCTTATTGATCAGTTGTGGTTTAGTAATGTTGCAGAAAATATCTTCGTAACAAAGAGATTTGTCACTCCTTTGAAGGTAGTCTAATCTTTTTTTAAAAAATCTTCCCATAGTTAAGTTTCTATACCAAGGATCAAAACTCATTTGAGACTGGTCTCCCAGGCTTCTGTTAAAGCCACTCTAAGTGCATGTGCAATTTTGGTAAGACCTCTAACACCTGAGCCCACATGCCCTTCTGAACATGGATGTTGAAACCACAAATATACCTGCTGGGGAATAATATAAATTACCCCACTGCAAACTTTTATGTGACATTTCCTGTGGCACTTTGTTGTGTTCTTTCAGCTTCACACATCTTCAGCCAAGACCAGTTATGTTATTTGTGGTCATCTGCTTTCTTGTAATAAAGTTTAGTCACAGTTGCTTTCATTTGAAGCCTGATGGTCTCATTTACAAGATCATTTGTCCAAGTCATCAGCTTTCATGCTAGATCTATTCACTTGCAATCTGTGTCAAATTTCATTTCAGTTTTCACAATACTTTGTTGCTATTTACACAATTTTTAGTGCAATACAGGATTTTCCACTTTCAACGTGTAACATAGCCTCGGAAATCTAAGCAGTAATGGACAGTAAACTGTGCCCCCACACTCCCCAACCCCAAGGCGGGTGTCAGCTAGAATTAGGGGTAACTCCAAATTCTAAAATGGACCAGTGAAAATCAGTGCACTGTATTCACAAATCCTTTGAAACAAAAATTGGGTATCCTACCACTGCATTACTATTTGGCTTGAAATATTTATCTTCACAAGAGAGCATGTTCGATTTCTCTGAATTTATTCAAGACCACGCCAATTTTAAGCATTTTTATAAAGGCCCCTTTTCATCATTTGTACTGTATAATTTGAATATAATTTAGCACATGCAAACAAATCAGCAAGATGACAACCTAATTTTGACCTGCAAAATGATTTAATTTGCGCAAAACGGTTAGCTCTAAGTAATTCCTTCTAAAAACCATCTGTAGTTAGCTTCTTCAGTCTCCAAACAACAGGTGAAATAATAATCTATTGCATATTACCTACAAAACAGCCAGGCTATCACTCCATAAACCTTAGCAAGTAGATAACTTGCCTTTAATGGAAATAAATGCTATACAAAAGATGATCAGAAATGAAGGTTGTTATATAGGCAAATGTGGTAGCTAATCAGCACCTCAATCACATGGCAGATGGAACCTAAATTAACAGCAACTAAATTTTGTGTCAGAGTTGTTCACGGATTTAAGATTCACCGATGTTGCAATTCCACTACCAATTTGAGATCTATTCCAACCTGCTGCAATGAAAAAGTGTAGTGAAATCCGGTTGGTCAACATAGTGATAAATTGGGTGAATATAATGATTTAAATAACTCCTTCCAAGTGTATTATGTAGAATTAATTACGATGCAAGAATTATTTAATATTAGCAGTTGCACACCTTCTAATGCAAAGCTAAATTTGATGAAAATCCCAAATCTCCAAATTGGACACTGCTGATATTTGATGGATACTATACAATAAAGAATGGAACATTCACGTTATTTGTGTACTTCAAACTTTATTTATAATTCCAAAATCAGTACAATATAATGCAGACTTAATCCGAATACATTTCAAGAAAACAAGAAACACCATCAGAACCAACACTTTGTTTCATTCTCAAACAGCTGTTTCGTCAGATTGAGAATTACCTTATATTTCAGCTCCAAATCTGTATGAATTCCCTCTCTCCAATCACAGCAAGTCTCTTATTTGCTTAGTCTTCTTCTCCAGCAATGCATTTTCTGAAGATAAATTTCCTTTGCGACAATAGCTAATCCACCTCATAGCCATGTGTAAGAAAAATATGCAAAACAAATATGCACACACCTATCTTGCACTGTCTTGCTATTAAGTGTATCTGAAACAGGGCTAACTGCAAATATGCAGCAAATTTAATCACCTTCCTCTGAATTCTAGCACTGCTGCCATCTATTTCAACATACATTTGTTTAACTGACACTAAAACTTTCCTATGTAATCTAACTACAAAATTTAAGTATAAAAAGCAAACATTTGTTTTTGCAGATTTTGAATCAAGAACTTGCACATAAAAGTACCACAAAACCTTTTCAAAAAATTAAGAGAAATGGACAATAAAAATAACTTCAGATATTACTTTAGGTAAATTCAAGCTTTAAATTTCAGAGTATATAAAAACAAGATATATTTTGGAAAATTAATCTACGGATTCATGGAATTAAATTACTGGACTACTAAAAAAAAGTACAAGATCATACTGATCGTTCTAGGCTTTTACTGCATCTGGCTGAATCCATATATACCCATTATTGAAGCAAATCGTTATAATCTTTGTACATTTCAGAAGTTAATTATCAATAATTCACAGTAACAAACAAGTTACATTTAATCTAAAGAATACTATTAATTTCCTTTAGAAAAATAATCAAGAATGCAAATACTGCAGTGAGTGATCTATAATAGAAAGAAATCTAGAAACAATGTGTGAGTTACTCTTACATTGTACTGATTAGTTAAAACTTGCATGTTGTTTGAAGCATGAAAGATTTATTTGCTAATTTCTCTCCTCCCCTGAGCACTGAATCTTAGCAAAAGATCCACAGGTGCCAATAGCTTTGCTTTAACTCATCCAACTGGCCATTCTTCACATGTGAAATGACAGAAAATGATGACAGGACATTTGACGGGGAGGGCATCACAGTCAAGCCTGCATACAAATGCACTTTCAGGGTGCGAGTTATTGCATAGCAATTAGGAGTGAGAATCCATATGATATCCCCTCTCCCACCCGGCGTTAAGACTGCCAACTGTTGTCCCAACTGAAATCTGCAAACTCAGCACAGACCAGGAATCGAACCTGCGATCTTATGTTCTGTATGGCTTAGTAGTACATCACAAAGCCATCAGGGAACCCACTAAATATGTATTTTTATCCTGCAGAAAGAAGTATATATTTTAACATTTAATTGCAACTGAAACATGGGAAACAAAAACAAGTGCACAGCCAAATATTGAAGCATGCCCCACCAAAATACAGTTTCCGGGAAATTCCTAATTCCCTGCATATCAATGACATGTTGCCCTCAAAAATGTTACCTTATACAGGCAGCCCTTGAAAGGTCTATGTTCACCAGTTCAACAGGATGAACGCAAAGGAATCCTCCATAGGGGTAGAAACTATCTCAGGACCTGTTCCTATGACTTATGAATCGGTGCTGGCAGCTAGCTCTTCAGCACTGTGTACAAGAACGAAGGCACCATTTTTCAATATGTCACAAAAATAGTGAGATAAGCAGATCAACGTTTGAAAATAAAACTCAAGACAATATCCAACAAAGTACACTTCACTCCTCTAAAACGTCACAGCAGACTGCATCAATATACTTAAGATGGACACACAACTCTTCATTTTACAAAACATTTAATCTTATCTAAACTGATCCAGAACTAAATTTTTTAAAATTCATTTCAGGACATTAATAAAAACAAACTGCCAGTACAATTATCAACATTAGAAAGTCTCATCCAAATAGAACCACAACTCATCTTTGTTAAAATGCAATAATTTTCCTAAGTTACAGCAGCGCACATTATTGTAGATATTTTAACCCTCTCTCCATCCGTTGTTCAAACAGGTTCCAAGAGTTGTGCATTTGTGTGTGTGTGTGTGTGTATGTGTGATTGGGGGGGGGGAGAGAGAGAAATCAGGCAATGATTTATGAAAGGTACCACCAGCAAGACTTGCAACCTATTAGTGAAGTTATAAACAGCAAATATTTATGATGCAAAAAGAAAACTACACCTTTTTTGAAACTGGTCCATAGTTGTACTGCATGGGAAAAACACAAGCAATTGCCTGTGAGAGGGTTAAAAGAAAAGTTGGGGACAAAATCTCGTGCCAATACAAGACAAAAAAAACTAGATATATCCAACAAAGTATATAGACAAACAGAAAATCTCATTATTTTAACTTGTAAAGGTCATACCTTAAAATACATTTTAAAGTGTACACTATAATCTGCCATTTATCAGGTGCGTCTAAATTCAAATGCCTATTAAAGCAATAAGATCACATTGCAATTGATTTCATATTGCAACTTTTCTTATGAGAACCTCACAGGTGAAGAAAAAAAATCACCTCTAAATGAATCATTGATATGTTGGGCCTGATGTTGTTCACAATGTAACATATTGAGATTTCAAATTAAAAGTGAATGCTGTTGCAGTTTGTTGAAAAGATCTGCAACATTTCTGAATTACATTTTTTTTGATTATATCCAAAAATATATTTACAGAACTCATTTTGATTAAATCTCCAAAGACAAATTAACACTTGGCTAATCTGATTGCATGTAGAATCACATTTTTTGTACTGTAAAGAAATGCTGAGTTTCAATACAATGCATACATAATGAGGGGCAGCATCCCTAAAATGCCTTCATTCATGCTTACCTTTATTGCACTGCAGCAGAACTTAAGGTTCAAGGTCTGGATGGCACTGTGAAGTATAAAAATTGCACTTCGTTTGCAATGAGTTGAGACTTCACATGGTACAAGAAAACCATACCAAGAGCCTCCATTTTGAAACATTTATTAAAGGTAGCATTATTACTAAATTATGTTTCAACTTTCTCAAAAAAAGCCATCAATGTGCACATGGAGACTCCAGGAATTGTTAAGAGTTTTGATAATATTTAGAAAACTATTTTTTTTTAATATAATATATATGGGTTCTGCAATCTTAAAATGTCACTCAATTGTTTCCATAAGATCAAAGCACCAAATGTTGCACTGACTGCTATCAATTAGTTCCAAAACCTCACGCTGTTCAGGACCACAACATGAACAGGTCTGTTACCTAGATCTACACAAACCAGCTTTTATGAAAACTTCATTCGCATTACTTTTTATGAAAGGGTATATATAAATTGCTATAACTATCTTTTATTAAATAGGCAACAGAAATTACAAGCGACATCTGTTTATTTTGAGTTGAATTTTTGTGTGTGGATGCAGTGTGGAAAGGGGAAATGGATTGCAAGTATAATGAATAATAAGGGCAGAATACAGAAAAAAGGCTCCTTCTTACTTTACTTTTAAGCTTTTTTTCCTGCTCCTTTTTAAAAGCAAACAATGACCCTTCTTAGACTATATACACATTATGAACATAATGCTTTCCATGTAACAATGAAGCTATCTATAAATATCTGTATCAAACTTAAATGTGGTTAAACAAAAAAAGTTTAAAAACATCAAATTGTTTACATATGCACACCGCAAAGCATTCTCATCAACTCTCCAATTTTTCAAAATTACTGGATAAGAAAAATTGGTCAACACAATGAGGGTTCCAAACAGATTGCAGATTTAAAATGCAATCTCAGATATTAAAATTTGTTGCTTCAGGAGAGAATGATAGAAAATGGGAAGGATAAGAATGCAATCCTTTCCACCCATTATGTCAGCCAGTCATAAAAAAAACATGGAAAATCACTGACTACACAGCTAAGATTAACACTAACAGATTAACTGTAATATCACTCAGCCAGCTATCAGGACTAAGAAGTGAAATATAGAAAGGAAGTTTGGTGCCTTTCTCTATATTTGGTGAATTATTCTCACTGAATTATCTATACTGGGCAAGACACTTTCTTCCATATGTATATTAAAGCAATGTATAAAAATGAAAACACCTAGTCTAACAATCAATTCTAAAATCTTGATTGTGCTAATATATTTCTTTGAGCATTTTAACCCAGTCATAGTCATCTGAATATATGCATTAAATTATAGAAATACAAATTCTACATGCACTATGAATCCATTTCGATCAGTGTCAAACTGTTTTTAAGGCAGACACCAAAACCTGCCCACACAGAATACAATTTTGGACAGTTAAGATTGTTGGCGGTGATGATCATCCTCACCTTGGGATCCGAGACTGCTGATGACCAGGATTAAGGAGTCTGGATCATCCAAGCTTTTGAACAGGAACGTGTATCCGATGGAAGATTTGGTCATGACTAATTCAATTTGGCTTGGTTTTTGTCTGCAAGGTCACACTGTCACAATGGTTTTAGTCTATAATTTGACAAAAGAATAAAAGCCTAAATTTAAGAACAGAACAACCTCTGCGATACCAATGCTGACGAACACCCTATGGTACAATATTCAACAAAATAGTCCTTCTATCTCATTCTCCCTTTATCACATTAGATTCATATTTAATTGAGAATCTCAATAATCCATTCAGTAGTGAGAGGTGTGGAGAATAAATCCTAACCTTAAAAAAAATTTAAGGTTATGTCCTACTTTTACATATTAATGTTTGGGATAAATTGTATTAACTAATGCACAAAGCAATACATTAAGCAAACATTTTTCTATTTTTTTTCCACAGAAAAGATGATAATAGACACACAAATGTGAGCATGTATGATAGATGAATTACATCAGGTTAAATAACTTTTCATTCAGTAGAGAATATATATTTTAATTGTGCTTGTGGCAGCTACAGGAT